TCAGTTTCAAGCAATTTTGTGTATGTTTACGAAGAATGGGTGTATAGCTGATTCACAGCCGGCTTGAGATATCGAAAAAAGGGTCCTGGCACGATAAGAAAAGAGACAATGCCTGGTTGGTGGAGAGCGCAGACAGGCCACGCCCCTAGTGCCCCAAATTAGCCATGAATCGGCTATACGCGGAAGACTGAGCAAGATTTGAAACCCAAAAAAAATTATGGAAAATTATTCTGTTTTTTTGCGCACTGTTTACAGAAAACCTTAGAATTTATCTCTTTTTTGGTTGCTTGAGCCGCTACTTTTTCGAAAAGGTAGTGGCGCTGTGCGTGCGCATTGGCCGTATACCGACCGTTTAGTTTTCCTACTGCAAAAAAATATTCTCCCAAAGTGGAAAATTACGTGGAATTTAAGAAGACCACAGAAAAAATTAACAAACTTTGGTGAAGAGATGGTTGTTATTGACGTGCAAGAAACGGGTGGCCTCGCGACAGCCGATCTCGACGGCGTCGTACTCCAGTGGATAGTCTTTTGGCGGAATCTCGTCCGATGGAGGCTCTATCGAATGATTGTTCTTCTTGCTACGTCGCGACCCTGGCTTTTCCACTATGGCTGACGTCGCAACTTCGGCGAAAACCGAAGGGTTTGGTGATGAACGCAAAGAAACTGTTCGTTCAACCAAGAATCTGAAATTGAAATTTTGTTTTTTATGTTTACCAATCTTTCAAAGCGGAGCTCGTTCAACTTGCTATTAGTTGAACTTAATGCATGGAGAAGAAGAAGCAAGAAGGATCTTTAGAACATTATTTTTGTATCCTTCTTTTTTCATTCGGACTTACAAGGGTTGTGTGCGCGGTGAGAATCAAGGTATGATCATACCTTGATTCTCACACATATATATGAACTTAGATGTTCTCGGAGAGAGTGTTCCAAAACGTAAGAGAAAACCTGCTGAGCGCCATGGGACACATGAATGTACGTATATTTCATCGATTTCATATGTAATCGAATGCTCTTAATGTCCTAAAGCCATTGGCAAAGTCGTGGCTTACTGCAATAGCGGCACGATTAATACAATAAGCGTTGATCTACAATAGTTACGTGAACACACTAAGCAGAATAGCTTTTTCAAAATAATGTATCTCCAAAAATGACGTTTTCGAGGAAAAATCTTTAAATAAAATCTCAAAAGAGAAAATTGAGAGAAATCTCACAGCACGTATTTTAAGAAACCCCACAAGAACGAAACAAAAGTTTTCGCGTAAACAAAAAATGTAATTTTCAAGAAACAATGTGAGGACAACCTCACAAGTTTTTTTTAACTATTAGCGCTCCCCTGTTTTGGAACATGTGTTTCTAGTACTGACACGGGAAGTCCAATAGGTGGTGGGTTGAGAACTTGATGAACTAATGTATACGGTAGGTACTTAAGAAACCATGATTCCAGAGAAGTTGAAAAAGAAATTCGCCTTTTTCGTTTTATCAAAGTTTGCAGCCAAAAAAGTTGTGTACAGCAAATTCTGAACCCTATGCTAAAATTATTGTTTTCATTTTGGAAAAAATCGAGACAGAGACATCAAAAGCAAGCTTTGTTCATGAATAATTTTTTTTAAATCTCATGGAACACCAATATAATACAAGCTCTCTTCCAAACATCGATACATACATTAAAAACATTTTATATAATCGTGTTTTTCCTTGTACTTTTTGACATCCAATCTCTTTATTCCTAAGTTTGAGAGCATGAGCTCAATTTGAAGAAAAAAAACTAATTTATACTCACTGACAATATCCGAAATTTTTGATTCCTGTGTTGTAAAATGATTTTGCGTTTTGAATAGAGTATCCCTGAAGCAAAAAATAAGTTCATAATAAATCAGAAGGAAGGCTAACGGAAGTTGAGCTGCCATCAAAATCAATAAGACGATCGCCGGCACAAAATGCATAACCGCCATTCGAACGTGGCAAAACCTGACGATAGAAAAGAAAACTCTTGATTCGTCTAAATCCTGCTTTTCTGGTATTAGCTCTTAAAAAATCAAAATTAGTCAAAATTTTCAGTGATATTTGAATGATGCATTTGTGAATTTTTCTTTTGTAAAAGAGAAAAAATGTCATGAGAATAGCGAAGAAAAGAAAACTGAAAGGATGGTCAAAAGAATTCGAGACTTTTTCCCGTTGTATGATCATATCAACATTTGTTTTCAAAGTCATTTTTCAAAGCGATGGTTGGAGTGAAAAAAAATATCAATCAAGAGAATGTGAAAACTCGTAATGAACAAAAAAAGAAACTCGCTCCAACTACGGTTATTTTCTTGTTGACCATTTTCAGGCTGAACCCGTGCTTATTGACAAGCTTGTGCACATCTGAACTCAAAAAAAATCAAAGAAGCACGGGAATAATAACTCACAAACGTTAACAAGAAAGGTACTTTCGTTTCTGCCTAAGCCTTCCATTTGCGTTTTCGTTGGTGGTTCGATGTTCCAAACCCGCAGCACCGTGAATACATACTGTAATTGTTCCTGACCACAAATACAGTTTTTTGCGACGAACTGACCGGTGGAGGAGTTGCAAGCGCCTTACTCAGCGAGTACAAGCATGGTGTTACCATACCGTTCAAGTCGAGAATCTGGTCTCCATGGATTAAATATTCACACAAATCGTCTCGTACTCGTTCTATCCCCATATTAAAGTTCACATCAACAAAGGTGAGAAACTGAAAAATGGATTTCAAAAAAATGAGAAAATTAATTATTGACCGCTCAGAACTAGGGTAAGAGATTTCCAGCGGCCCACAGAACTATTTAAAAATTTATGGAATTGAAAAATATCCCAAAATATGAAATTCTCATGAAGGAAAAGAAAGAAAGAAAAAAGTGTGGTTTGCAAATGGATGACTTACAGAACATGCAACAGGCTCAGGAATCACAACTTTCACAACATTGTAAAAATTGAACGGCGGTCGCTCGCCGCTCCGAGGTTTTTTCCCTATCGTAGAGTAAACCGAAATTGGTTTGTCGTCTTCATCGGCAGTGGCGTCGACGGTCACGTCTTTGGCTACTGAAGCGTCTCTTCTTTTTTTCGTTCGCTGGAAACTTTGCGGTGAGTAATTATATCTACTCTTATTTTCAAACCCCTGAACCGGGTTTGGCCGCTTTCAACAGAGACGGAGACCTGCTCAACTTGGAAACAGAGCTCTGTAAGACGATGTTTTTGAACGCGGTACTGTTTGTTAGGTATGGAAGATTACTGGAATACTCAGGCTCTGCATAGAGCCTCCTCGCTCACACAGTCCCTACCACACATCTATTCTCACAATCCTAACCGCCAGAGTTTCACAAGTTCCCTAAAGCTCCTATAGAACCCCATAGATCTGGCTTCGAGCACCTTGGACCCGCCAGCAAACGCGCGGCTCTTTCCATTCTGTCTATTTGGATATATTTTAAAAATGAATCCATTCAACGCTCCAGTCGGTTGTTTGCATCTAAAGACAGCAAAAAGATATCTTTGCATTTAAAAAAAGTAATCTTTTACTGAAACGGATATCTAGATGGTTTGACTTGGATAGCGGCGATACAGTCGCTTTACGTCGTAAGTCAGAATTATAGCCCAAATTACTATTTTTGTGAAAAAGTTGATAGGAAATTCAAAAGTCAGTACTAAAATATATCTCTAGAAAGAAATTTCGACTAAGACCGCAATAAAACCTTGCTCTTCACACCCGAAGTTGATTCTGTGGACTTCATCTAATAAATAAAGACACTCGGTCTGACTTTCACGAGTAATTCAAAATAACGTTAGACAAAAAATAATAAAAACAGTGGAATGAGTTTATTCATTTCGGTAAATAACACTATGAATGGAACGCTCGAAGAATGTCATAATCGGAATCGAAGGTCTTCTTGTCCAGAAGACCTATGTTCAAGTCGGCGAGGTCGCGCATCGTCATGACACGGTGATGAAGCATGTTCATCTGAAGAGGTAAATGTCGAGAGAAACAATGAATCACTGACTTTGGCAAGAAGCTTGTTGATGTTCCTGAAGTCCTTCATTGAGTCTGGTATGAACTTTGGCGGGTTGTCCTTGGCTTCGTTCATGCCGATTTTCCGTATTATCTGAAGAAATATTCTCAAGTTGAGTTACGCGAGTTGTATATCTGAGCCTTTGAATGTATATGCTCGATTATCTCATAATCGTTGGACTGTCGGGCGCTGTCGTTTCGAACTTGCTCGAACTCGTACATGATGATCATGACGTAAATATTGAGAAGGATGGTCGTCGCCCCAAACATGAAAATGACAAAGACAACCGATCCTGCGCAGAAACTCGCAAATCAGATAGATATCCAGGTGGAACTACCAAGTTTTGAAATTGTGAACAAGTCGGCGATGACAAACTTTCCCAACATGCCAGCCAGCGTCGTTTCAAACGTTGTCACTACCGATTTGTAGCTGAATAGGTTCTATTGTAATTTCAATTATACTTTTATTCGAACCCATCAAGCTTATCCCAGAGCAAGTGATACAAGGTGCAGTTGAAGGAAACACAGATTACGACGAAAGCAACGCCGAACGAGAGCATATCGCTACAAGCGTTGTCCAGCGTGTCCGCCAGAACTCCAATGCGCCGGTTGAATCTGGACTTTTTATGGTAGGAAGAAGAAAAGAGAAAATGCAGCACCCGCATAGTAAATTCATGTTTAGTTCACTCGGAAAAGGCAGCTATGTCTATGCGTTAGATTGAAATGATAATTTGATAGCCCTTTCATTTTTTGGGGCTTTTTCTAGCTGTTAGGTCAAAAAGAGCAGAAAATAAAAAGAAATTGAAAGGAAATCATAGCGCCGCTCTTGTTTTTTTCTATATTCAATACCTTTTTGATCCTTCAGTTTCTCTGACCAATAAAACAACGTTTTGAGGAAAAAAAAGAAGAAGAAACAGCTTCAGCTCTGTTTGGTAAAGGAGAATGAACATTTTATTTTTGAAGTGCTCGAAATGAGCTAGTTACTTGACATACGAATTTCAAAACGACTATACTGGAATGTTTATTTTTCAACATACCTGAGGATCCGGATCATTTTGCACGAGACAAAGAAAACGACACCGGCGAGGCAATAGTTGAAGGTGAGTTCGGTGTCGCGTTGCTTCGACAGATTGATGTAGGAATTGCCGTTGGTGGCCAGGAACATTTCGACGGCTTCGTTGGTGTATATTTGTCGAAGCCAATAGGCGATTACTGAGGTGAGCGCCAAAATTCCGATGAGCAGGTCCATCACTTGCCACGGCGAACAGTTGCTGAAAAATTTCAATATTCTGCGACAGAGTCGTGTCGCCTACGTGATGATCAAGTTTTCGAGGAATCCCAGGACGCTCTTCTTTTTTGATGCAGTCGACAGAACCTTGTACCGACTGTAGACGAAGAACAAAACCTCTTTGATGAAAGTGAACAATGCGAAAACGACGTACAAAAACTGAGAAAGCTTTTTCGTGATGCTGGCGACCTACAGATTCACCTCAAAAGTGACAACGATGTTACCACTAGAGCCTTCGGACTTGATCAGTCTGACTGTTTCAATCCAGCCGGTGGGGTAGATGAAGCCTTCAGACGGTCTTTCTATCAAAAGTTGAACTACCGCAAAGTAGTTAACTTGAGCGTTGTACACCGAAAACTCAACAATCACGGCCCGCGTGTTCTGAAACAACGAAATAGGAAAAATAGGCCGTCGACTCAAAACCTCGTCGATCCAGTTTTCGTCCTTGAGCTGTTGGAAAGAAGCGGCAAGTTGCGATCCAGTACCACCCAAACTAACCGTATAACCTCCTCCACCATATCTCCCAACCGATCCTTGTATAGTTCCAGCTTCAAAAAAATCCGATAAAAAGTTTTTTTCCGTTTTATAATAGATTACTCATGAGGTTCTCTTGAGTCTTGTAGGTGTATTCATCCCGAGTGTCGTTTTCATTCCCTTCGAATTTCGTCCATCCTGGTTGCATTTGCAGAGTTTTTTCTTCAGTTCTGAAGAGAAACACTACAATAAATCCTGTGAAATCCCTTCATGAACTTTCGCTTTTTCTGAAACCTAAAACATAAAGATGCCGAAATTTCATTTTGGAAGAACAAAAGTCGTAACTCGGCACATGAAAATATCCGTAGTTAGGGGATGAAACAAAATTTTTTTTCATTACTTAAAAAGGATTATTAGAGTGCACTTTTGAATCCGACTGGCGAGTGAGGTTTAGTGATCCACAAAGTTCCCACAGTACAAATAATAAATTATGAAATAAAAGTGAGATTCTCGAAAACTTGTCGCTCTGTTCTCGCACGGCTTTCGCATTTTTCTAGGCTTGACTTCACATTTTGGAAAAATTTCGAAAAGGTTCGGGTCCGAATGGCCACATCAAAGTGTTTTAAGCCGTAAAAAAACGTAATTCACTTCGAGGAAAAATCCTTTTCGCAACTGTTGAAATAGTCAGCGAATTCGGGAGCAATTTCGCAGGCGTCGGGTTTCGTCCTCACTTGGCGAATAGTTCCGATCCCCATGGCTCGAGAAACCTTGAAAGAAGATCAATATACAAGAAAAGAAGCCTAAAAACTTTGTCATTGAGAAATCCTCTCATGTTATAGGCCGGTTTTTCATCGTACCAAGACGCTCGCAAAGCTGAAAAAAAATTTTAGCGGAAATTTTAAGCCGTTTTTTTCGGGACCTTTGGTTAAGTCTTTTTCTGCCCAGTCCCAGAAATCGGAAGGTTTTGTGATCGCCATGAAAGAGCCGTCTCCATATTCATCCATGTCCACATTCAGGAGATTGCGCACCTCAAAATATACATTAGGATCGTTCAATTGAACCGGGACACTTGTTTTTGATAGTAATATCCCTGGCGGTCGCGACAAAAAAACGTCAGGCCGATGAGGATGAAAAGTGAAGCGAACAGACAAATGACGTCGCGCACAGTTTCGAAAAGCTGTTCGTCTCTAAAGATCGTTGGTTTTCTGATGATTGAAATCTCTCAAAAATTGTTTGAAAGTTTTCAGCAAGTTTTTCCACCTCATTCTTCGGTCGTCAGTGTCTCGCAGTTTCAATATATCAGCGATTGTCTTTCCTACACCTTTTTCGGTATGTCCGGACGTCGTTCCTGCAATGAAAGTTTCTATCTACTGCAGTTTTTCAATTGAATCAGACTTTGGAATGTATCAGGTGGCTGGACGTTCAACAAAAGTTCTTCCAGATTCGTGCAAATTTTGTAACCTTTGTTTCTTTTTATCATGATTGCGGCAACGATCATTCCCTGAAGATTATCTCAACATGAACCTGAGTGCACAAAAGTTACTTTCAGAGGCTCGAACAACAAAATCCACGCGAATAGCATGAATATGAACCTGCGAAGAAACGCTTGAGAAGGATCTTCCGAAAGACGCATTCCAGCCTGAAAATCGGGCTCGAAATGTGCGAAACTAACTGTTTGCCAACGGAAATGACGAAGAGTATGCCGAAGAAGCCGATCATCATGGAAACAGACTGGGAAATCAATCCCAATCCCCAAGGTAAAGTTCCCGTTTTTGGGGACCCTGTATGTCTTGCCTTGTAAAACTTCAGTAGACGTTGTTCTTCATTAGATCGACAATTTCTGAAGAGCTTTTTGGAAAAAAGAGCCATTTCAAATTCAAACGCTCTGATCCAAACATGTATTGAAGCAAGCGACGTCAGGACGAATCCCAGCACAACGCCGACGATGATCTGCAAACCTGAATAATCGCAAAAAAAGCGTCGAAGCCCACGTCTTTAACCGCAAAAGAGAAGCCAAATAGGGTTTGTGCGTAGAAGACGTTGTTTTCGAACTTTTCCTCAAAATTAAGGACGGTGAAATCGCCTGTGTTTAGAGAGACAGAACCATTTTAACGATGACGAGGTTGATGATACACAGGATGATGAGCGCCGCGAAAATGTTGCAAATGTAATCGTAGCGTTGCACGCGACTCCTCCAGAGCATTCCACCGCCTCAAGTATTGTAGAAAAAACTTTATTCAACTGTCAGCCAAAAAAAACCGGTAAAGGCTGCACACCAGGCAATCGTTTGGGCGAGAATATGTGGGCTCATGGCTTCGTCCAAAAATTTTTGCTTTTTTTGTACTTGGGATAACCTTTCGGTCTAAAAATGAAAATCCAGATCTCATAACGAGGAAGATATAGACCTGCCCATCACCATTGGTCGTGCCTAGCCAGTTATTGACAGGAAAAATCGAGACCTGTTTCGTCTGCAAATCCTTGACAATAATCCGATTGCAGAACCAAGATTCGCGATGCTCGGACCCAGCTTCTTCAATCCACAGCCGAATGTAGGTCAAATCCCCGAGCGGTCTGTGAAAACGTTGACAATCAGTAGAGGCCTCCTCTCACAATGCCGTCGTCATGAGGAATCTGGAGGTAGTGCCCCAGGTGAACGGTTGTCCCCATTCTTCGTCCTGGTCCGACTTGAAGCTTCTAGCAATATCGTCAGTCTCCGTGCCGGATAAGTTGAAGCATATCAAAAAAAAATTATGAAAGTCGCAATCAGTAACAGGGAGCAGGAACTGTTAACTAGTTTATTGCGGTTACTTTGAGAGATTTAGCTTGTACTTCATTTACCGCTAAATGATGAAAAAGCACACCTGGCTGTCCGTCGTCGCAAACATTCTGTAGCCAGTCTCGACCGCCAGAATGTACATGTAGCCATCGGCGGGGTAGTTGTCCTTCAAGAACCGCAGCCGGCCTTTTGACTCGTCGCGCGTCTCGAAAATCACCGCACACAACATGCCGCTCATGTAGAGGAAGATGCAAAACATCACGCAAACGACGACTCCAACGTTTTTCTGAGATTTTCCACTCATTATTGGGGACAGATGAAATTTTAGAACGAAAAATATCAACCATTTATGCGCTAGTAAGTTCAAAAAGGAGCTTTTAAAGTTCGTTCCGATAAAACAAACCAGAACAGCTTGAAAAACTTGAAATCAACGTACTTCGTTTAATTCATACTACGCTCCCCCTTCAATGCCCAATTTTTGCAGTTCGACCGAACTTGAATAATAATTCATCCAATTATTTAGAGAAAAGCGCGTGCTTCACAGCAACAAAAAAAAAATAAAACATTTTTTTTGATGAAGTTTCACTTATTGTGATAAGTTCAAATCGAAACGAGGCGAGTTTTGCAATTATTCAATTCGCATTGAAAGAAATCATCATTACTTGGATAGAGAAGCGCCTACCTGCATACCGTAACCTAGCTACAGTATGAGGGAAACGACTCAAAAATTTGCGTTACTATTTCTGAATTAAAACCTACTTTCTGTTTATTATTCCACTTGTAATATACGGGACTTTTTCAAAATTTTCTCAAGCTAGCGAGATTATAAATTTTAAGAAAAGGGAGAACGGTTCGGAAACAGTCACAAACGGATTCAGAGCACTGAATGGAAAGACTCGTTCTACCCAAAACCTGTCCGAGTTAAGTTACCGGCAGCTTCTGTTGGATGTACTCATATTTGAAATCAGCCGGGATCTCGGGTGCGAAAACGCCGACAGAGAAAAGAGTGAGATGATTGGTAGAGCATTTCACGATCTGATCACCAGCCAGGTACATCGGCTACAAAGATAATATATTCATGAAAGCGCTTTCCAAGCGAGATACGCTGAGTCCTTCATTGTCGAACCGATCTGCAGTAGAAAGATAGTAATAACAGCCTTTGGTGTAGGCGCGGATTTCATAGTCGAAATCGATTTCTTCAAAAATCCGGCTCGAAAATGTTGCTGACACAATTCAAAACTTCGTTTGAAAGTCCATTGAGAGTCGTCAACAGTTCCGTAGTTGGCTAGCGACTCATTGACGGTATCTGTCCGGGATCCGACGCCGAAATAGAAAAGACTCGTCTGATTGAGCAACTGCTCTGCCGGAACGAATATCGTACTTATCTCTGAACACAGAATCAACAGATAGTAAAGGGTTTCCCTCTCACCATTCGCTCTTTTTAATTGAAACCGAACATCATGATCTTGTGGAAGAGGTCCAGGGAGCCGCTGAAAAGCTAGAAAAAGCACAGGATGCGGCATATCGACGTCGAACAAATAAAGCGAAGGAACAATCTGAAGTTTTATCTGAAAAAAAAAAATGAAAGAATAAAGTTTCACTTCTAATTGAAGAGAGCTATTCCAAGAAGTTGTCTGGAAAGTGTGAAGATCCAAAATCTGATAACTGTTGAGATCACTGGCCACGATTTGCGTCGACTCCGTTCTTTCATCTGAAGAATATTTAGACAAACTTAAAGAGAAAAACTCAAGAAGGCTCTCACCTAAACCTTTTCCTTCGAACGTTATCGGTTCTGTAGCGTTTTCGATCCTAAAATCTTGCATTAGAGGAATAATTAAATAAATGCTCACTCGATGATATTCTGATTGAGATCTTTGAGATGAGCTTCCAGAGCGCCCGAGGAAATGAGTAGTTTGAAGTTGTCAACATAGGCGTATGGATTGCTGTCGTAGCACACGAGGCCCAATTGTATCGGACTGACGTCGGTGATTTTTGGAGAATTTAACTTGCTAGAAGAGCTCGGGAATTGAACCTCAAACCTATTTTTGCGGAATTCTTCAAATTGTTAAATTACCAGCCATTCACTGCACCTCTGCGTTCGCGAGAACAACGAAGACGGGTAATCAATCTCGATGTACATTCCAGTTCCACTTGAGTTTTGCTAAACAAAATATTCTTTATTGAAGCGTTTCAAAAAAACATGTGTTGAAAAAAATGATAATTTTATATGATGTTGAATTGACTAGCCGATTATTGCGTTTTTTTTAATTATCGGTGTTTTTTTGCTCACTTGAACAATTTTTTTCAGAAAAAGAAAAGCTCTGATTTCACTTCGATATCCGGTCACTCAAAAAGCAAGTCTGAGGATACGTCCGCAGGCTACTGTAGACAACTTCCCGAACACCGATACCGGGCAGATTTCGAAATTAAAAAGTCGGAGAGTAAAATAAAACCACTTTTCGCATATTATATTTTATAATTTCGAAATCAAGTTAACTGAGCCAGTTATATTTAAATGATCAGAGGCTTCTAAATTTTTCCCAATACTGTCCCTCGCACGGGTCTCGATTTAACCAAGGACTTATTTAATATAGGATTACCAAACACAAAGATTTCTCACAGCGTAAACGTAGGGAATGTTTCCAGAAGCGACAGCTCGAGCCGCCAAGACGTTTTCTAAAGTGTCCAGGGTCGAAGCCATTTGAGCGGCCAGCTTTTTAGCCTTGAATTTTCATACTTTTAGTTTTTTCAACTATTTTCTCAAATTTCGAACACTTCGAAGATATGAGTAATAATCATCAATTAGAAAAAAACAAATTCACGAACAATCGATTGTTGGGCGATTCTCGTAGCTTCCGCCGCCCATTCATCTGGTGAATATTCTTCCACGTATCGAATCCGACCTGTAAAAAATTTATGATGATCTTGTAATAATAGAAACAAGACCTCCAGCTGGAGGAAGGACGTTGAAAATATCGTCGTAGTTGGCTTGCTCGTACTGAAGATTGGCTAAGAGGTCGCTAGATAGTGGGTTGTTCAACGCCGCCATCACCGAAGACGTCAACGACGTTGAGATGTCCAGAAGCGTCGTCGCAGCCTGGAAACAGGAACAGCCTTAAAACAAGGGGATATATGCAACTTCATCGAGTTGTTCGTCGGTCATTTCCATTCCGTTGTTCTGCAGGTATTGCTGGGTGTTGTTCAAAATGTCGCCGATCATTTTTTGTGATTTTTGGTTCATAAGACTCTGCGGCGTGATGGCTGAAAGCAGTATCCGATAAACCGTAATAAAGAAAAAATTTTTTTTGAAAGTGTCTATTCATACGAAGTACAAAACTAACCTAACTGAGTTCCGGTGATTTCTCCTTGAGTGCTCACTTTACCGTATTTTATCACGAATCCATTGGTTCCATTACGAAAGACCACTCCGCCAGTTATAAGCATCTTCTGGTTTTCCGAAAACTCCATGAAGGTCCTGCAAAACAGAACTATGAACCAAATGCATATAAATCAACTAGCTTTATGTGGGGCTGCGAGCCGGCCGAGTACGATCCAGCTGTTATTCGTATGCCATAGTTTCCAGAAACCATTGAAACGATCTGAATGCTGTGTTTTTGAGATCAGAGAACCTTATTCAACCAACTATTCAATATTTGTGAATTCTCTTCGATTTCAAGGTCTAACTTTCTATGTTGGAGCCATATGACAAAAAAAAAATTTCTTCAGAAAAGTTAAACAATGAGATATTAAACTGTTTTTCGACTCGCCTGCCAAGTTGCGCTGGTTATCGCAACGTTGTCAGACGACGATTTGAAGTATACAGAAGAACCGTCTGTCCAAATATTGTAAAAAGAAACGTCCAGCTCGTCTTGATTATCAAAAATGATCTAGGTTTTTTTGTATGGAAAATTCAGAAATTCCAATGTTTCACTTTTCCGTCGATAGTGATGGGGCTACCAGAGGTGAAAGTCGCGTTTAAATCGTCTGGTGAAGAGTAAGGCGTTCTGGGCGAAAACAAAGACACGGTGACGGACTGCGAAAGAACAGAAACCGTTGGCAAATTTGTGTCTGCAACAGTTTGCTTTTTTTTCGTTAAAAACTTTTAAATTCGGATCAGCCAGAAACTCTTTTTTTCAGTCGATTGCTATTGAAACTGAAAAAGGACTTGCCACACTCATTGTTTTTGAGTATCAGCTACAATTGACACTATTTCTTTCTCAGTATATACCTGGATAGGCGATCACAAGACCCATGGGGTCGTTGCCAGCAGCCTTCAACGGAAGGTCAACAGTCCCTTGGCTTTGATCTTGAAAAACGGATAGGTCAATATCTGAAAGAAAACTAATAAATGTTTTTCCATGCATGTGTGAGCAACTTTCAATGACGTATGGTTCGACCAGATACATCTTAATATCTTCAGCATCCGGGTCGCCCGGGGTCACGCTCGCTGTGCAGTTGTCATAAGACAATATCGCCGAGGAGTTGGTCACTTGAATGAATTTGGCCTTTCCTTCTCTGAAACGGATGATCTTCACGAAAACAAAAAAATCCCGGACCCAAGGGTAATCTTGAAGGACGTAGAATCGAAGACAACATCGATATCAAGCTTCAAAGCGGCCGTGCTTTTGGTTGCTTGCAGAAGCGCGATAGTTTTTGAGTCGACCTCAATTTTTACAAACCTGTATAAATCAACAAACAAGGTATCTTCTCACTATGAGCGAAAGAGTTGCTCTCGTCACTTTGATCCAGTTGTTGACCGACACATTAACCTGACTCTGCTGTTTCGCTCCAAACTGGTCATAGGAGATGTTCCACGCTGTTGCGAACGTCGAAGGGTAAACATCCGTTTCTCCAGCTGTCTAGAAACGATTGGAGATTCATCGTTTAAATTTTTTAAGAATGCGACAAGAACCCCCAGACGACATTTTTCCGATGTTTAAAAACTTCTCATCACAGTGATTTCGCGAATTTTGGAATATCCGTCAAAGAAAGAAAAAGATAATTAAAATTTGGATTCCGCGCAAGACGGTCACGTTTTAAAACAACAAAGAAGAAATATTTTCTTAGTTTTTTGTCAACTACCCGCTTATTTATCGAGCTATTTTGAGATTTTCGTGAAGAGATAACCTCAGCAACTCCTTCAAGACGAGCGACCGCATTGTCATCGATAAGAGTTGTCATTTCGAAGGTTCCAGCCTCAACAGAAACTGATCGAGTGTCGAAGGTGCCAGCCAACGTCATCATCTTGTCATCCATGGTGACCTACGGCTGCTTTCAGAATCCAAATCTCCTATGAAACTTGTACCATCACATCGTCGCCATCTTGTTGGACATAAGCTCCTCTCGTATCACCTGTCACGTAAATTGTATTCCCATAGACGGTCATCTGAAATCATCATATTTTAAGCTTTTATAATGGAATGAAAAATATTTTTCAACCATAGATCGGGGTGTGACAACGGTATAGCCAGAAGCTTGTATGCTCCCGTAAATGACGACGTATTGACCATTCACATCTCCCTAAAATAAATCAACCCTCATCATCCGAAAGTTATTGGTGTGGTTTTTTGACAATGTATCAAGCCAAATAGCCGTTTTCAGCTAGCTGAGGAATATTCTATCTTGGCAATTAACGAAAACTTGAAACTTTTTCTTGAGCGAAAAACGAAGAAAGAAAAACCGTTGACGTGACTCCAATCGAGTAGACCATGCAACCTTGGAGAGCTGAGTCCAGGACTGATAGAACGCTGTTCATCGACTGCGGCGAGGTCATGTTGACTTTCGACAACTGTTCTATCACCTTTGTCACTTGCTGAAATCGTATCTTCGTTGAACTTTTCACTTCTGTTCAAAAATGAAACGTCAGCCAATTGTGAATTGGTTTTTGCAATGTTGTCCTTGAGCATCGTCAGAACTTCCACGTTCGACATTCCGGCGATATCAAGCTGATTGCTGAGAAGACTTTGAGCTACATCCACTAGTTCTTGAGGCTGAATGAAGGAAATTTAAATAATGCTGAAAATCTTGCACCGGAAGGGAAGAGATGCTTTGAACCAAGGAAGATCCATTGCTGATGGGCGGATAGGATGACGACGAGTTTAGAATATTTGCCAGCGAATTTTTCAAGTCTTCCTTTTGTTTTTCTATAGCTGCTTCTTCTTCTGCTGTTAGAGGAGGCATCGTTGCGAGAGTGATCTGAAGATTTCATAAGGAACAAGGGTTGGAAAAAATGTTTATGAACAGTTTTATGAAAACTTGGAATAGTTAATTTTACTTATTTGTAGCCTTTTTTGACTCACGAAGTTCAACAGGTTAAACTAAACTTCCTAAACAGATTCACTAACCAATTTTCGTGTTGTGAAAGTGGTCACAATATTATCTCTCGAAGTCCCAGATGAACCGTTCGCCTTTCTTGTCGTGCCCAGTTCTTCCGGCGTTGTTCCATTTAAACTCTCTCCCTCTCGGGTCACTTTCGTTTCCGCTTTCGTCGACGAGAATTTCTTTGTAGTGTCAGTTTTCGAACTTTTCGATGTTTCGGATGTGTCCTTAGTTTTTGAGGTTGTACCTTCCTCTAATTCTTCTTTTTTTTCAGTCATTCCCGTTGAGCCTTTTGTTTTTTTCGTTGATCCCGCTACCAACTTCGTGGGTGTAGGCCGAGCTTTCTCCGTGATCGAAGCGTTGGAAACTTGGTTGGAAAAGTTCGTTGAACCACCTCTAGTGGAAAACTTTGTGCTTGTCGAACTTAACGACGCTCCAGATTTCTTACTAGTACCCGTTGGAAAGTTCGTTGTCTCGAATTCGGTATTTTTTGCCCCGCTCGCTGTGGATTCTGTGGCTTTCTTTGTAGTAGGAGCCTCTTTAGTAGCGTCTGCGTCATTTGAAGCGGTTTCACTCCCTTCTTCTGTTCTGCTTCTCGATGTACTCGGAGAAATAGGAGCTGCTGTAGGGCCATCATGTGAACTTTCTGGAAAAAAATATATTTATACCGCCAATTTTTTTCTCGATTCGAAAGGCGAGATGGGAAGGTCGGGAAAGATGAGTTTTCGCGTGTGCGACGCGAATGCCGAGAACTTCCAGATCAAAAGCCATTAAGAAAAAAAAATAAATGTGAAAGTTATTTTACTGTAATAAACTGTTATCCATTTAATTCAACTTTTGCAAAAACATACAAAGTTAAAATTCATCGAAAATACAACTTCGAAGATTATTGTGGTTCCACTGATATTGGATGAAAATTTGTAATCTTAAAGAAAATTTATGCTCAAGAAAAATATTTAAATTCGGCTTGAGTTTCCTGTGCAGTAAAAAAATGGATCGTAAGAAGGTATCTTTATATCAGAACCCATTTCGCACTTCTCGACCGCCTTTAATTGTTTATACAAACTTGTTGAAGTTGTGGAAGTTCCCAAGACGGTAACAGTGAGCACGTGACTCGCTGTTTCTGGGGTGTTGGGATTTTTGACGGTTATATTTATTTCAAAAAGGCCGGGGCTGACAAACAGCAAACGAGCCTCAGTGGGTTGGACATCGGACATCCATGACACTTTAACGCCTGAATTTCAATAGGTGAAACGTCCGTTGAAAAAAAAATTACCATCTTTTTGGAAACAGGTCGACTCTGAAGCTGGGAGGAACTCAGCGGGAGGCTGTCGGCAAGTGTAAGACATATTTTTAAACAAGTTCTTGTTAGGGGTGGCATTGATGCTGAAATTTTCTGCCCACGAGACGGTCATTTCCCAACTTCTGATTGAAAGTTCGAAATCGTAAGGAATATCAGTTGCCTTAGTTTCTCCAGTTGCTGTGTTTTCTGTTTGTTCAGAGAGAGATGTGGTCGAGGGCATCTTCGTAGAAGACTCAATTGGGTTGGTCGTTGATGGAAGGTCGGGTGTTACAATAGTGACAAAATTGGTTGACTTTTCAGATGCGTTGGCCGTCCCTTCGGTGATTGTGGCAGCAGTTGAAAAGGATGAAGAAGAAGAAGAAGATAGGGTGGTAGTTACTGCTGTGACCGTGTTAGGGGTTGAAATGATAGTTGCAGATGTTTCTAGGCTTGTCACAGTCGAAGATGTTGACAAAGAAGGGTCCGTCGAAGTAGGAGTTTCCGAAGTAGGGGTCTTCGAAAAAGACGTTGTCGAAGCAGGCGTCATCGAAGATGTCAGGAAAGATGTTGAGTCAGAACTTTGCGATGTTTTTGAGGTTGCTGCAGAAGTAAGAGACGTCAGCGTAGTCCTCTCTTCTAAAGTCGTAGGAGACGTTAACTTTGAAGTCAAGGTGCTGCTTATTGTTGAGTTTTTCGTCAAGGTGGATGGCTTTGTGGTAGTACTCGTTGATGAACTGAAAAAAAGGATTGGCTCGGCGTCGCAGTTTAATTGCATTTTTTTTTTTTTTTGATGAATCAAACATGAAGGTGCATGATCACTAAAAGTTATAGAGTTACGAGAAAAAGTCATTATGCAAAGCATTTTATTGCAACTTTAATGTTGTGTGTGAAAATCTTTAAAAGACAGAAATTTGAAAGAAAAATGGACCTAAGTTCTGGTGAAAGTTGTCATTTGTATTTCTGCTTTTTTTCTGATCGACGAGAGAAAAACCTGGAAATCGAAAAAACAACCAGATATACCTGGAAGTCGAAATTTTGGTTGATGTTGTGCTGGAAGTCGTATTCGAATGCTTTCTTGAGGATTCTGTTGTAGACGTGGTAGGAGTGCTTGTGCTAGAATAAGTCGAATTTCGGGTTTTTTTACTGGTGGGAAGTGAAGTCATCGTAGAAGTAGTCGTTGATGTAGTAGCAGGTGTAGACTTAGATGTGGACGTTGACGTTGATGTAGGCGTAGTCATTCGACTAGACATGGTCGTAGACCTAGATGTAGAAGTAGAAGTAGAGGTGGGAGTAGAAGATAAAGTAGAAGTAGAAGTAGAAGTAGGAGTAGAAGTAGAAGTAGGAGTAGAAGTAGGAGTAGAAGTAGAAGTAGAAGTAGGGGTAGGAGTAGAAGTCGAAGTAGAAGTCGATGTAGAAGTCGAAGTGGGAGTCGAAGTGGGAGTCGGAGTCAACGTGTAGGTGGAAGATAAAGTCGGAGCCAAAGGAGAAGTAGAAATCGAATCAGTAGTTGAAAGAGAATTAAAATCAAGAGTGGAAGCCGGAGTCAATTTAGACGTCGGAGCGTAAGTGGAAGTTGAATCGGATGTCGAGGTCGAGGTCGAGGTCGAGGTCGAGGTCGAAGTCGAAGTTGAAGTCGAAGTCGAAGTCGGAGTCGAAGTTGAAGTCGAAGTTGAAGTCGAAGTCGAAAGAGGGGTTGAAGTCGAAGTCGAAGTAGGAGTTGAAGTTGAAGTTGAAGTCGAAGTCGAAGTCGAAGTAGGAGTTGAAGTTGAAGTCGAAGTCGAAGTCGAAGTTGAAGTCGAAGTAGGAGTCGAAGTCGAAGTCGAAGTCGAAGTCGAAGTCGACGAGGTGGTCGTGGGTGTAGTCGTGGTCGAGGTGACGCTGGTGGTTGTCGTGGAAAAGGAAACGCAAGTTCCGAGGGACGAGTAGATAGAAAAAGTCTCACAGTTTTGGACACTGACGGTAGCTGAAAAAAAAAATTCGAATTGCTGCCCCGATTTAAGATTTGATTTATTGAATATTATGTGAAATGTTTTCCAAACTTCACTGAAATGAAAATAATATCAATAAAGCAGGATTATCAGGCTTGAAGAAAATGAAATTAAGATTTTTCTTTAGCAAAATTTCTTGTTGAGGTTTTTAAGAACGCACAAGTCTTTTATTACCAAACGGCACTCTTGGGGGTTGACCGCTCCCAACTTTCTTTTCTTTTTTTTATTTGAACCTGTTTTGTGGTAAAGAGGAGGCGCTTACTACTTGAAGGTGGCGTCAGGGACATTTGCGTGGTCGTCGTCGACGTGGTTGTAGGCGTCGTTGTAGACGTCGTTGTAGACGTCGTTGTTGAAGACGTTGTTGAAGACGTTGATGTGAAAGTGAAGTCGCAGTAACCGTCACTCTGAATTCTTCTCTTTTTTTATCTAAGAGATTTATCAACTGACAGCATCTCGTTTGACTCGGTTTCTTTGCTTTTCGCTGATTTCGACAGTCAGGATTTCAGACTTGATCGAGGAGTTTCCGCGAACGACGGCCCGGTAAGAATAAAAGCCCGCCTAGAAACAAGTTTTCATCTGTTTTCGAGTGAATCAACCTGATCAGGTACAATCGAGTTACCGATGAGGAGCGTCTCCTCCGACGCAAGATCTTGAATGAAGTATCGCGGCTCGACTTGGCCTGCAGCTAAAAATTGATCAAAAACTGATTTTTCAGCAGTTATACGTTCTCGACGACAAAGTTCTTGTCCGTCAGAAGAGTGTAGCTTGCCGAAAAGACAGCGTTGATTGGAAAGGAGCGGTGCTTCTTCGTGATTTTCGTACTGACGCCAGATCAGCCCATCGGAACACAATTCCGCTTCTAGAACAAGAGATTCACAAAACTGCGTGCCCCTTCTACATTTCATTGACATCGCCGATGAGAGGAAAACTGAAGGGGCGACGCAAAATTTATAGTGTCAAATGTTACGGGTCTCGAAAGCAGTTTAAAGTAGTTATCAAAACAAATAAACTCAAATCATGAAGTTCAGAAATTTGTGCAAGTTTTCTTCCGACCGGTTTTTTCTAAATGCGACCTTGAACAGCGCAGGATCCGTAGATGAAGTCGACGACGAAGTTGACAGGAGAGCCAACAAAAAGTTGCGTTCGAAAAGCCATGGAGTCGAGGTCAGGATTCGCTCGAAGCAAAATTTTAGATATCGGACATCCATGGACCTGAGAAACACAAAAATTTTCGCTGAAGGGGAAATAGGTTCACTTTGACGGGTTGGGAGCTTTGAGCAACGTCATCGGAGACAATGAACCGATTTTCTCCACAATCCAGCGGCATCGAAAGCTTTTCTCCAACAACGAACCCATCCACCGTGATTCCTGATTACTTCCCCTAGTTGAAGTCAAATTCGCAGTTTTTTCCGTCATTTATTTTTCTTTCAAACTATTGTTTCCGACCTGTAAAGCCAATTTTCCGCGACTTGAAAGACGGAATTGGCAAGGGTTACTTTGTGAGTAAGCAAGGTTGCTTTTGGCGGAAAACTCGAGGTCAAACTATGGGAAAGTATAGCTATATGAATGAAAAAAATAATATATATATAAGCGTTTTTTTGCCTACCAAACTGCGAATTTTCTAATGATTGATAAAAAAATTTCGTTTCAAGAACTTATCTGGTGCTAAATTTGACTGGAAACAAAAAAAAACAACTTTTCCAAGGAGATAATGAAAGCTAAGGCATAATTTGAAACGGCGCACAAAAAGATGTTTTTTTTTTTTAAACTCATTCGCGTACTGCACCAGAAGTTCACGAAAGACCGCTACATATATTGTAGCCATAAAACTTGTCGATTAATGGAAACGGAGAATCTCATATCGGAAACCCCATTCATTACTAGTTGAAATCAAAAACTAGTTTAACTTAATTTATTTCTGGGAGAAAATATGCAAGTTTGCCAGCGCGTGATTGCAGAAGATGAACTTTTGATTAAAAAAAGCTTTATTTAATTTTGTTTTAAATTCAATTGAAAAAACGTTTTGTAATAGTAGTAGCTGAATTTCAAGTTGTTGTTTTTCTTTCATGTTGGAATAGTACGGCGCCCAGCTTGTCCAGGGCGTCAGATTAAATCTCAGATGAGAACATAAATGAGAACCAACCAATAGGGAGGTAGGAAATAAGAGACTATAATTAGGGACCGCAAGGCCACACCCCCTCGCTGACCAAAAAACGTCGTATATTTCGTTGCATTTTTGACATTTCATTGTTGTTTATGCAGTTTCCCTGAACCGTTTTGGGAAAAAATTGAGGGAAACATACAATCGGCTATGCTCTACAATTCTACATAGAAGAAATAGCTGTAAATAAAAAAGGCTCGGTTAAAATGACGTTTTTTCGCGACGCCTTTGTGCGAAAAAGTGGAAAAACGTTGAATACTTACAATCCCGCTCGTAGGCAAGTTATTTTTTTTTCTTATTTTGTTAAGCATGTAAAAAAATACACCATATAAGTAAAAAAATAAAAAAAGATTCCTGCTTGTGCTTTCAAATATCGAAGCGTCGGATAAACGCAACTTTCGAAATTCGGGAACTTCGGCATTTTCCGCGAAACATCGTAAAAAATTTTTTTTAGCTGTTCTCTATAAATTTTAGAACACTTTGAAAATAAAAAACAAAAACTTTTATTGCAACCTTAATTTTAAAAAAATAAGTTTTGATTTTTGATTTTTTTGAAACACTTGGAAAAGTGTTTTAAGCCGTCGTAGGCAAATTATTTTTTTCTTATTTTGATTTGATTTAGTTTTTTTCTTCAACATAGTCAAAAAAATAAAAAAATCCTGCTTGTGCTTTCAAAATTTGATTCATTCTAACGATAAAAAAACAGCGTCATGCATTTGCGCGTTGGCGAAATTGTGCATTCACCGACCCACGAAAATTCCGAATTCGCGATGTTTTTCAAAGCAAAAAAATAGCGTTAAACTTTTTTTGAAATGAGTCAAAAACGTTCAGTAATGTAATTCGGAAAAATAAAAATAGAACTTCACATGCTTTTCCAGAACAAAAAAATTATTTTAGTCTCGCCAAACTCCCACTATCAGGATTCCACTGGAAAACACGTTCGAAGTCGGGAAATTCACCTGAATAAGACATAAAAGTGGATTTTAATGAGTTGAGCGCATTTAAAAGTGCTGTATTGCCACAAGAATGGTTATAAAAGTCATTAATGATTAATTTATTCGTGTTTCTATGGATTCACAACCTTTTATTGGTTCCGAATTCTGTATCGAATCTTGTTTCAGGGAGAATTTGCGTTTATCCATGCTTCCTAATGATATTTTAACAGTTTTGAACATCAAAAGCATTGAAAACTCCGTAAATATTAATTTTGCTTTTTTTGCCGTTGAAAATCGTTCAACTTATTCTTTTTCAGTGTTTATTTTTGCGAAAAAAATTAACAAGAAACTTTTTCTCTAATTTTTTTACTGGTCTTTGAGAGCGCGCCGCACCCTTGCAACGCCCACTTTTTTCGCGACCTCAACCAAATTTTCTACAGAGAATTGAAATCGCGAAACGCGCGCTTTAATGGCTGTAACTTCGTTCAGAGTCAATATTTTTCCAAGATTTTTTTTTTAAAGTTGCCAGGACTATGAAGTACACGGTCATATGAAAATCATTAAAATCTGATGGTTTCTAGAAAACTGCCTGCGGTCCCTAACTATAATCGGCTCTTTTGTTTCAACTTTTCGGAACCGCACTTAATTTCAAATCCATTGCGTCCATTGCGCTGTACCTGGTCTCAAGGCAGTGAAAACAGCCTCGCTTGGTGATGTTATAGCGACGGACCAAGCCGAGGTCGCAAGACTTCCAGGTAAGACAAAAAGCTGAAAATAAAGCGAAGAATATTTTTATTCCGACTTATAAAGGAAACCAGAAGACGTAGAACAAGGCGAAGTTTCATGTCAGAACTGAGCGGAAATCCGGCCGTTTCCATGTCTTGGCTACCATTTTTATTCGTTTCCCAGGGTGATCAAGCCAGTAGACTGGCAACGAGCGAAATTTCAAAACTTTATTGGGAGAGCAACGAAAATAAATGGAATATCAGCAGCAGCCGGCGCCGTGGTGACTTTCTTCCTGTCTGTAACTTTAAAAATGAAGAATAATAAGTACAGAGTTATCACAAACTTGTTATCTCCAGTGTCGTCTTCATTTTTCTTTTTCCTTTCAGGAAGGGTGTGTCCGCGACAGTGCTCAGTCTGATGGCAAGAACAAGTAGGAGAAAAAAAACAGAAGAAAAATGGGTTCGACTCAAAGAGACTTTTAAATTACTCAAAGACATTCACAACATTCAAAATTTTGGGGCAAACATTATTCGAACTTTCGATGAATGTTTACTACACAACTATTGAACACTGATAGAATAACAGCAAAAAACGACTCAAACTTTAAAAAGTCAGAGTGATTCCTTATCGGGCAAAACTGGAAAGCTCCCCAAAAGCTTTTCTCAAAAAAAGACCTTGAAAGGGTCCCCAGCAGATCTTTTTTATATCGTTTCACTTCTTTTTTGCATCTTTTTCACATCATCTAACAAAAAGGATGCTGGAAAGCAACTGAGAAGATTCGAGATGATTCAAAAAGGATCCTCTGAGACTATGAAAAAGGTGCTCAAAAGCATTTTTACATCATTTTAGGAGCCAAAAGAACTTTTTTACGTTTTACCTATGTTAGGGCTAGAGAAAAGTAGCTTCTATAGGGGTCAAAAAGTGAATCCTATTGGGATATAACATAGGTGGTCCATATTCTTATGATTTTTTGTTAAGATATGAAAATTAAAATGAAAAACTTGATGCATTCATCCCTTTTTTCATGCGAAAACGCTACTTTATTAAGATATTCACAAGGAACGCTTACTTTCATGGATTTCATAACAATAATCGACCAGCATGCCCCCTAGAGGGGTTCTAAAGAATTCATAAACTTTAGTGGCCCCCATATAGTGATCCCTAGAGGAAAATTTCAAGTGCCTCTAATATCACCCTATAGAGGCCACTCTATAGTTCTCAAGAATGGCGCAAAGGGAAACTGCGTCTGCATACAAGTTGCTTACACGAGACGGAAAATCACTTCGAATGCGCCTAAAACAATCCGAGCTGAAGCGGTCCATTTTTTCTCAATTTCATCCAGCTTGATTTTGACTCATTCCCCCCCTTTTTAGTCATTCTAACTTCGCGGAGCGGGTTGCGTTCTTGGCTCAAAGATTTCTGAAGATGTTCATGTCGAAACTAACCTCGAACTCGTCCTGCTCCCAGGTGCTCGGGTCGTCCCACTGCCTAGGTTTTACGTAAATACAGCAGCAGTTCGACTTCAAGCGACCTAAGTGCTCGTTGTCTGTAACGAGTACCAACTTTAACTACGGCTTCGAAGGCCTAGATGATAAACCAATAACGTCAGCAGCCCAAGTAACGTGGGGTGGACTCGGCGGAGCTCGGAGGCGGAGCACGAGCTGCTCACCACTCGCTGGTTCCTGTTTAGAAACATAACTTTTTCATGGCCACAGCAAAACGACGCGCAAAAGGTGAAATCGAATTTTTATTATGAGTAAAGTCAGTTTTGTTTGCCATTCCTTCAGAGACCACTCACGGAAAATCGTACACTATTGATATCTATCAAAATAATATATCCGACTCAAATGGAAAAAACACTTCCAGTTAGAAGTAATATTATGTTTCGATCTAAAGTTTTTTCCAATATCAAAATCTGCTCATCAAAAAATTTCAACAGATTATAGTACCTGAATATTTTCCACAACAGCCGTAGTAGTCGTTGTCATTTTCGTAATGCCATCGTTTGATCTAACATTCACGTCATAACGTAATTTATTGCATTTTCTTAATTAGGTAAAAAAAAAAAACAATGCGAGATTATCATCAAAAAAGCATACGTAAAAAACTTACGATTAAAAAAACTAACTTAAGAGCGGAATATTAAAATGCAGTCAATCTTTTCCGACTTGAAAGGCGAGGTGGGTATACTGGCAAGGGTGAATTGCTTTGTACGCGACGCGGCTTTTGGCGGTAATTTCATGGTTAAAAATAAGTCATTCAAAAAAATGTAGGAGAAAAAATTGTTTTATTTATCATTTCAAACTGTTAGCTATTTCAGCCCCACAACAAGCCCCCTTGCTAATATACTCATTTTTCCTTTCAAGTCGGGAAAGGTTTACCATAAAACTACAACAAAAAAACAAAAAAAAACAAAAACAAAAATTTTTTTTGAAGAAAACTATTCCTAACTAAACATTTCAATAGAAAAATTTGAAACCTACTTTCAGTAACAAAATCAACCAAATGATATTCATAAATGAGCAAAAAAGAGAGCTGAAAACATTTTCAAATGAGAAAGGCTCGTGGATTAATTGAACTGTTTCCTCATTTTAACCGATTATGAGACCAATACCGAACTTGCCAGCAGCCTAAAGAGAACAAGTCAGAAGTTCAAACTAAAGGAAGAAGTTTACCTTAACATGGTTCCAAGTTCCTGATAGAGCCAGCGTGAAAGGCATCTGCTGGCTGAGTCTTTTCTCGAAGACTCCACCAACCGACCTGAAATCATGGTTGAGAAAACTGCTCCATTTCAAGAAACGACCATTCAAGGAATCTTCTAGAAAATTTCAGAAGAGGCTTCAATCCAACTAAACGGAAAAAGAAAACCCTATAGATGAACCTAGCTGCAGCAGATTCCATTGTTATTTTTTTCCGCAGAGCTCATTGGTTGGTTGGTTGTTTGATTGGAAATCAAACTGATTGGCGATTTTCTGCTTTTAGTTGTAATGAAACAAGTTTTCAGTCGCTCAAGACTGGAAAAGCTTATATTTCATCTTCAAATCATTTATCAAATCATTTATTTTGTTGGTTTAGTCATAGATGTATCGACTAGGCGGTGAACAAGAACTTTGAAAGCTATAACGAACAACCGCCTTTGGCGAGCTAGAAGTCCAAACGTGTAGACGAAAGAGTTGAAAGCATGGTCTTACGGTCCTTCGTCTCGTCCTTCTGCGCGTAGTGTATCCAGTTGCGCCTTGACGAGCTCAGAATGTAGCATATGTTGTGCTGGAGCCCGGAGACCGTGCTCTAGATGGAAGCCTCAGAATGAGAGCTACCACTTCGAGTGAAGATTTTACACGGAATGAAGATTTTACACGGAATGAAGATCTTCAAAAATACCGAAAAACAAAGGAATTGTTTTTTTTTGTTTTCGAATTTTCAATGAGTTTAAAATTCTATTCAACTACCGACTCGTGTACTAATGATCAATTGAAATACTAACTAATAATGCGAGAAATTTTTTTTCTCATTTTATTCATTACGAAAAAAATTAAATACCAAATGGGGTTAGCACCGTCTATTCAGACAATCTTTTCCTCCAGCCGTTTCCCCAAATTAGCTGTTAGATTTATATGATACTTTATCTGTTGTATTTGTCGTGCAGATTGCGGAAAGGCGAATAAACACTTGAAATGAAATGCAAGCCTCACTGCAATGAAATTACTACTTCAATTTAAACTGCAAAACAGTTGGATATTTTTTTCAACTTTTAAAAGGAACCAGTTAGTGTCGACGCTGGCTCGCATGGTGACGCCTTCCTCGGGAAGCTCCGCTTGATAAGCAATCGTCGTAACAGCCTGCAATTTCGTTAAGAGGTAATTAAAAAAATAAGGGGAATTCTAAAATTGGAATATAATATAAACACCTTTTTAAAAAAATTACTATCGAATTTTGTTTTCTCTAGTTCTTTTTTTCTGACGACAACTCATGTTTGAAGACCGAATGTATGAAGAATTCCAAGTCTTAATACTCGAATTTTCTCATGAAAAAAACAAAAAGTCCGACTAAAGCCTTTCCAGCTTTTTTCCCTTGTTTTTACAATTCACAAAACTTTTATTTAATTTTTTTTCCTATTTTTTTTTCGTTTTTTGCTCATGAATCAATTACCTATTTTATAGAGGAAGATTCAAAACAAAGAGTTTATCGAGAAAAAAAAAGTCAGAAAAGGATTAGTCGGAAAGTTTCCTAGCTATATGAAAAAATCTGAAAAGTCGCTGTTCGAAATTTCGATGGTCTTTTCTTCCTACCACCGCCGGAATTTATTTTGCTCAATTCGTTTTAACACACCGCTCAAGATTTTTAAGATTTTAAAACGGAAATTATTACTCATTCTGAAAAAGCAACAGCCTTTGTTGAAAAATGAAAAAAATTCGAGATTATTGGTGCTACGACAACGAATTTTCCATCTCTAAAGTACAGTATCTAAAAAGCGCGCATTCTGAGGGAACTGTACATTTTTTTATTGAAATTTAAAGAGTTGAAACAAGAATAAACTTTAATGAAAAAAATTTAGCAAAAAACGCATAATTCACCGAACCGCTATTTCTAAAAAGGCAACAAGAGATATTGAAAAAAAAAACAAAGCTATCTCTAACGTCGACTTACCTCTCCTACATTCGCGTTGCATTCAAACTCGACTCCGAAGGCAAGGTTGTCTGCTTGCTTATGATAATAAGTAAGATGAGCGCCTGAAAACTTTTTCGCTGAATTTTGAAACTGTTCTTCAATCGATTTAGCATGAAAAACAGCAAGAAAACATCAATTTACCAGTGCTGCCAAGGGTTGCGGCGGCCGTCCAAAATGGTGCGGAATACCTCGCCGCGTACGATAAAACAGAGATTTGGCTCCCTGAACCAACAATGATAGAAAGAAAAAACAACTGATTTTATGAACAAAAAAATCTTGAGCAAACTAGTCCCGTAGAAAAAATTTCTAATTTTTATATCAATTTTTCGCTTTTTTTTTATTCTGTTGTTTTTTCGATCATCTTTTTGAAAACTTTGAAAATCAAGCGACAATTACGATGAACTTTTTTCAGTTTGTCAATAAGCCCACTTAAAGTGTGCTCCTCTTTTTTTCAAATTAGTACGTCGTTTGAATCATTTGCAAAAAAATAATCACCAGGGATCTGCTTTCCATACTGATAGACGATTTCAGCTCCGATGTCCAAACGGTTCGTGAGTCGTCTGAGAAGCTGTCCGACCATAATTCCGCTTTCGCTCACTACATCGATGTTGGCCAACGTGAGGCCTAGTGTGGATAGACGACCTCTGAACATGGTCGAAACTATAACTCCCAAAGAAAAGCATAAAAAAAATAAATTTAATTCTTAAAAAGTTTAACGCGAAACTTTATCGACTTCATTTCCCCTATCAATAACTGTACACAAAGTTGTAAGGTCACTGAAAAGAAAGCTGGCCGATAAACGACAGAATTCGCGCTTATCTAAAAAATGTATCTTAAAAAAATAGGTTAAATTTTATCCGTAATAATTCACGCACCTATAAATTTCAGCTGCAAACGCCACAAAAATATTTCTCAAAAAGCATGAAAATTGCCTCTAAAACCAAAAACTTCCGAAAGTTAGACTTCATTTGAACAAGACTTATTAATATTGAAGACACTTTTATTAACGTTCTAAAACCTACAAAAAAAAAAGTTTTCGAAACCCCTTCACAGACATAACTTCCCACTCGTTATTCTGAAGCCACCCGAAAGAATTTTTCAAAACGAACTTCGAGCCCTAACTTGGCGAACTGACAAATGTTCAACTTCTCGGTAAAAATTTTGACAAAACCAAGTTTTCGGTCTCAACGTTGAGCCACAAAAAAGTATGGCGAAAAGCGTTTAATTGACTGGTTCAAAATGAAAAATAAATGGCTAAAACTCGGTATCTACTAATTAAGGTCTTCAAAAAATTGATTGGCTCATCGCTTCTAAGATTTTTTGAAATTTTTCTTAAGTTTAAAAAATTTTTTTGGGGTACAATCTCGTAGATGTCGTTAGCTGATGACTGAAACTAGAACTTCATTTTGAATTATAATAACTTTGAATGACGATGCGGCAGACTCCAATCGCTTTAACCTACAGAAAAATCGTAAAGTTTCAACTCATGACGCTTAGTGTCTAATTTTGGAAGTTTTAGAACAATTAAGAAAAAGAAGAGAAAACCACTAACAAAAAGAGATGAATTAGTTACAAGAGGGAAGTGAATTAGGCTCTACTTCAACTCAAATTGTGTTCTCCATTAAATTATTATGAAATGTCGAGCGTTGCAAACAAAAAAACAATCCATCAAAAATTTTTGCTATCTATAAGACTGAAGTCATTATTTTCAAACCAGAATGAAAAAAAAAATGAGCAAAATTCCCAAAAATACCTACCTTCTTTCGAAAGTAGCCTGAGCTCCTGCGAGTTTTCCTTGCTGAACTTGACCTTGGATTTTCGTTCGCCAAACGCCTGAAGCCTCTTTGTCGAATGATTTCGTGGAGAAAATTTCGAACCGATTTGATGAAGCAAAGTGGCCGTAGTGTTCCCACTGACGTCGGTGTCTCCCAACAAGATAGGGTAAGCCTCAGCTGGTCCAACCTAAACATTATTTTTTTTTCTTGAATATAAATTATGACAAAAATCAACCTGATTTGTTCCAACGTAAGTGGCACCAAATCTATAACCCGTGTTCATGGGAGAAAGGGACAGGGTGTGTGAAACCTAAATTTTTATCCAAATTTTATCAAATTAACATATGCAGTGTACTTGAAAATGGGAGCTCAATCCTTTGTTAACCATCAACTTTGCGCCCTCAAAACAAGTTGGAAAAACATCCCTCGCTTTCCTATGAAGTTCCTCATAAGAACCTAAAAACTTGCAATAATGTAGGAAATAAATGAAAAAGTTTAACCTGGATTATTAGAATAGGCCTGAGTACTCGGAAACGTTTCCACAGATTCCGGTGATGTTGTCATTCTCTGGAAATTAACAGTAAGTAATAAATATGACATCCTCAGAATGTGTGAACGTGCAAAAAAAAATCTATAAAAACAAATAGGAGATGCAAACAGAATTTAGTGTTTTTCAAATCAAATAAAGCGCAGAACTAAGCAAGAAACTTCAACGTTAATAAGAAAACCTATTGCAAAAATATCCTGACTTTTAGAATTAGGCCTGATCGACAAAAAAAACTTGCACTTCAGGGAGAACATTAAGTAAAATATCCAACGTTCCTACTTTCAAAATTATGCCTCATCTTTTAAGTTGTGAACATTCTGAAGAAAAAAAATTGAGTAGCTTCTAAAGATTCGAATACGGAGGATCATGTTTAAGACCTGAAAAAAATGACTAAAAAAACTAAAAAAATAAATACGAAAAACGATATTAAACAACAGTTTTAGGTTTCATCAGAATTTAAAATGAAAATGGGAAAAAAACGCTCCATCGAACTAAAAAGTCCGGGCGTCACTGGAGCGTCGTCGGGCAAAATTGCAATTTCATGCCGTGCACGACATCAAAAAAACATAAAAAGGAATTTTTTTCAAAAAGAGTTAACTCTTTAATTTTTTTAATTAACCCACATTACTTTTGAACACTAAATTTAATTTTTGAAAAAAATTTAAAACAGTGAAAAACTTTTTTTCAATTGAATTAAATTCAAAGCTAAATTGACGCACGGAAAAAATCATTCAAGGAAATTATGAATCTTACCGCGATTGTGTGAAATCACAAAAGACAAATAACATGAAAAAGAAATTTTCGATTGAAAGAAAGTGACGACAAAAAAATATAAATTTTTTTATTAAAAATTTTTTTCGGCGAGAAGCGATTCAAAAAAAGTTAAAAAAACTTAACATATTACTTTTTCGTCATTAAGCAAATAGAGAGTAAAAAAACTTTTTTTGAATACGTCATCATACAATACCTTGACGCAAATGCAAGCCTGATTCACACATGATAAATGTTATCAACACGTCGGTCTTCTATTTAAACAGGTTCAAACATTGAAAAACCGTTGGTTTTTATAAATATTTCGAAGTTTGAAATTTTTGCTTTTTATTTGGATGCATTTCAGAACCCTAGATTTTTTGGATGTCTTTGGAGTCTTCAAAAAAGCAAACTTTTCAAGAATCATCTCCTCCAGGATACGACGAAGCCATCATCTTACCAAAAAGTCATCTAGATAATGTAAGATCCGAAAAAAGGTTTGTGTCAAATAAATACATCAGGAGCTGCCACCACCGTACTCGGATATCGCTCCAACTTCATCTAGGAGCTCGAAGTCCAAAGGCTCAAAAAAAACCTCTGTGAAGCTATTGAAGTACACCCCCCTTTCCGAAGACTCCATCTCAAATAAAATTGTGCCAAAAGATGCACACAAAGGATTTGAGTTGAGAGAATTTTAATTCTGCAGGAGCCATTTATAATTTTTAGGGAATTCGATAAGAAATGGAAAAAGTCGAGAAAACACGTAGAAGTGGCAGAAGTCGTATTCAAAGTCGGAGCCGAAGTCGTTGGACAAATTATTGCTCATGTGATTGTGGCTGCCTTGACCGGAGGTCATCATCATTGAAAATAAAAATAACAAGTCTGTTTATAGCATAGAAAAAAAAGTCATTTGAAGACATAGAAGCAAGATCGTTAAAGTTCATAATGAAAAAAATAGTATTACCCGTTAGAGAAGCTAAAAATTATTGAAAAAATCAATGGGAATGTTATTCGTCATCAGAATCAACGGGTTGTTCGTCGACGTCGCCAGGAGCCTTGCCAATGGAGCCATTCGCTTTCCACTGCTCACTCCGGCGTCGAGTTAATTCACTCATTAACTCCGTCAAAGCGCCAGCACGTTTCTGAAATCTAATGACATGAATACCTGAAGACGTTTGCAAAATCGACTAGGAATATTTCATTATTTGTGAACTTTTCTTTCCGCTCAAAAAACTTTATAGGGAATATTTTCGTGATCATCAAGGCCAGCGATATTCTCCGCCAAAAATAAACTTCATCAAAAAAGATAGACTAACCACATCTAGAGGTCCCATTCATATATAAATCTCATCATGAGTTCAGAATGTGTCCTTGTGGGTGAGCTCTTAGGAAACTTGGTCGCTAATTTCAAATATGAAGTAAAGTGAAGTTATCAGAAAAAAAGCGAATTGAGTCAAAAATCTTTAAAAAAATTTCAAATTTTTTTGAAAGCCAGCAAAGAAAAGTAGCTTTTGAAAAAAATTTATTTATTTTCTCTTTTTCAAAAAAACTTTTCACTGTATTAAAAGAAATTTTACAGAAAAGTCATAAACCAAAAGCCTTTTTACCATTTTTCCTGGCCAAAAAATCCCTTCAATTCAACTTTCCACTACCGTAAAAACAACTTCAAAAAAAAAATTTTTTCAAATGAGAAAGAAAACCTGGAGCTGAAGTCTGTCTGCATCATTTATGTTCATGAAATCTTCTTCGACTGTGTTGATAATCACCTCTATCCTGAACAGAAACTTCAACTTAGGCGGCTTTTTGGAGTGGTGAAAAACCTTTCCATAAGTTTTACAACGTTTTTCATTCCTTCGGAAGAACTCCCCCAGGCGTTATCTTCCACGCCAAACAATTTAGCTAGGAATTCTTTGAGAATATCGGGCGATTTCCCTGTAAATAAGCTCGTAATATGCTGAAAATAAAGATTGAGGTACCTTGCGTGACAAGTCCGTACTTGATGGCGGCGAGCGAAATTTGTGATGGCGAGAACATCATCATAACATCCGTTTGTAAGGCTTTCTATAAAAGACAGAGAAGGAGATTGGATGTTGTGGAAAAAAGAAACTTGAAACGCTGATTTTCGAGAAATTTTAAAAAACATACATCAAAAAATTTGAAAGCATCATTCCGTATCGTTTCAAGGTCAAAAGCCAAAAGCACCATCCGGGTTTTCATTTCCATCAGATGCCCTTCAAACGGCCTACAATATCAGTAATAGCATGGAATTTTCATCAAAAACCAGCCTGTAAGGAGCATGAACAGTAAGATTGTAGTTCAAAGATCTCATTATTTCCGGTTCAAGTCCCAGAATGCGACTCGTGTTTTGTTCTGGAGATCCTGTCCTAAAATTGCTCCTTTTAACGAACATTTTCGACTTTCTCAAGGTAAAAAACAACTTTTTGACGGGTTAAATTTACACGCAAAATTTTGCTTGGGCGTTTGAAGAAGCATGAGCAAAAATAAGGAAGGTCGTGACAAAAACCCAATTGAACTTTTTTCTTCAAAGTCCCGTCAAACTTCGTTTTCGAAAAGCGGCAAGCTTTCGTGAGTCGAAGAATCTCACTTAACTCTACAATACAGCGCGAAAGGGAAAAGCACAGAAAAGGTATAGTGTGGTTCATCGCTCACGTAGGAAGATTCCGTTCTTCTTTAACAAACAGTTATAATGCTCTTTGAGGTGACTTTTTTCCACTCAATTGAAAAAAAACAGCGTGAGAGGAATTTGAAGGAAAAGGTAACTAACGACAAGTTGGAGACAAATTCGTCGATTGTGACGTAAAATTCATCTGTTTTCATTGCCAAGTAGAAGCAGGCCATTATAACTATCTGAAAATCGAATTTTTGAATAAATTTAAAATGAATTTTTTTTAGTTTTACTGTTTTAATTGAAAACCACTGTCCAAAATGTATCATCTCTTGCGAAGGCCAGCTTATAAGGAAGCTTTACAAGTATGCTGTAGGACCGATTACCGATAAGCCTATCTCATCGTGCATCCTATTTAATGATTGATCTTTGATTACCAAAAGTTTTCATCTTCTTTTGAAAGAGAATTTTTGAAGATTGACTTTCGAATTTTCCTGCCTTTATCTTTGTTCATCATTCGTCAAAAAGAAGAAAAATAGAGACTTTGGGACTACTCTCACTGGCCGACCAATCGAGAAACAATCTCTTGAAGTAAGCATAGGCTGTCCATTTCACCGATGGCCAAATATGCGGTCGGAATTTATCGGCAAATCTGAGAAAAATATATTTTCGCTTCGATATTGTTTACATATTCACGGCCGGCTGTAGAGGTAAAAAAAAGGACACTAGCAAGGTAGAAATGTCTACTTCCAAACGTAATTATCCTTATTGAGAGATGCCTATTTTATTCAAACTTTCCGCATGTTTTAAATCTCGACTCAGCCAGCCGTAAATCAAACGTACCTTGTGGCTGCGTCTTCCACTATTCTTTGCATGATGAGTTCATCCTCGGGGTTCAAAAATAGTTCTTCTTCACCTTTACTCAACAGTTCTTTGTGTTTGGCTCGAAATATATTGTTTGCCTATAAAATTGATAAAGTGCAGTTTCGAAAAAGTTAACTGAGAATTTAAAAAGCATGGAAAACTTATTTTCTTGGAGTTCAGTGTTTTCAGTCATGCCAAACTTCTGCGTCTTTGAGCACTCCAGAAAAGACTTTTGAAATGACTATAACATACATTTTTCCGACGTAACGCAATCTCCTCCGAAGTGAACGTCCAGTCTTTTTTTTGCGAGCTTGTGGCATACATGAACGCTCTTAATTGTTTCTATTTTTATTTATCGAAAAATTACTTAGATATGTTTAGTCTTTAAAAAACTTTCAATCAAAAAAAGATCATTCAGTCTTTTTCAACATATTTATTGAACTGTAAATGAGTGAATTTGGGTCATAACAACAAAATCAACAAGCAAAAAAAAAAACTTTGAGTAAAAATAGATGTTATCGCTTTTTCTTCTTTCCTTCACTTTGCCTCTTGTGCGACTTGGGGTACCCTTTCTGCTGGAAAGCGCCTCGTCTTGTTTTTGCCTCTTTTTCTTTTAGAGCAGAAAATCTGAAACAAACTTTTCGATGATTTCTGTTTTTGTCGATGTTCTATATTATCAGCACCTAAAACTCACCTTTTCCGTGCTTTAGCCAAATACTCTTCACTATGCAATAGTTCATCGACGACCGTCCGTTTCCGATCTTTCTTCACAACTCTGCTACTGTAAAAGTCCTCAGGGGCGTCAACGATTTTTTTCCCACCTAAATATATAATTGAAACTGAAAAAAAGAAAAATTTTAACTTGGAAATATTTGGGAAGTCTCGTTCTGTCATTTCGACGGTAATGAGAAAGTGGATCGATAGCTCCTCGCATTTGGAGCACCTCCAGATCGTTCTTGTTTTCCTCCGTGAGTTCCGTTGCAGGCATATCGAACCACTTGGAGCCAGTTGTTTTCTCACGCTCTGCCTTTAAAAAAAACTTTTTTTTAGATATGAAAACTCTATCTTACCTTTCTCAAGCGTTTTTGCGCTCGGACAGACAATAACCTTGTCTGTGGACTAGGATCATGCTCAAACTTTGGTCCGACTACGGCTTTCTCCAGCAACTATATGAAAAAAATCATTGAAAAATAAAAGATAATTTAATACCGTTTGAAGGTCTTTGTCCATCACGTACGGATCTTTCGCCGGTTCCTTGAGAAGCTCTGCTCTCAAAACACTCGAACCTTCATTGATATTAGCTGTTCCTTCTTTATCAATTACAAAGAACTCATCAAAATCTTTCTGTAATGAATTGAAAAAGAGTTCAGTTAATCCGAAATACCGTCGTTTCAGAAGTATTCGTTCCTTTCGTGAAACAGCTTGCATCTCTTTCGTCTTCGGAGTCGCTATTCGATGACAAAGCCTGATTTCTCTTTTTTCTCATTTGCTGCTTGAGATAGAGTAGTGACATCTGAAAAATCTGCGATCTTAAATAAATCAAACAGAAAAATTGCACAGTGAATTTGTTTCCACAGTTAATTCGACCGGCCGTCTTTAAAAAACGACGGGACGTTTGTTGAAGACGGCCGGTCTTATAAAAATTTTTTTGAGTAATAAAATAGATAATCGATACTTTACAACTCTTATTACCTCGAGAGATAACTGATTTAGAGGAGCGCAAGCGGAAAAGCAATATAAAAATGTGGGAAAGTTGAAAACAATTGGGTCTCAGAACAGGCGTTTTCAAGATGGCTGTTCGTGTTTCGGTAGTTTAGAGGTGTCGTCTCGTGATAAAATAGAGATTAGTGTTATCTTGATGAAAAGGTTCTTAAAATGGAAAAAAGGACAAAAATTTGAAATTAATTTCTGGCTCTGCAACAGACGACGGTTACCGCAAGAAACTACAAATTTTGGAATTATTCAAGCAGTTTTTGAAAAAATAATACGCCGAAAGTTTTTTGGACGTGAATTTTTTTTAGAGAAATGAATTTCCAAAAAAGACTGCGCACTTTCTTGCATGCCAATATGATCGAATGAAAATTCACATTTGCCGGAATCACTCAAGTGTTTGATTTAACATCAAATTTGAACACGGCATAAATGATTCATTCCCTTAAGAGACACTCAGACGTGTCAACAGCGCACACATGCCTCAAACCGACATTTTTTTAATTTATTTAATTTTGTTCAATTTGAACGTTTCTTATTTTCTGTTCATGGAGTTCTCGCACTCACTTATTTCAGTTTAACCAAGGATTAGCGAACATTTACGAGGATTTTTTCATAATTTCAAATTTATCAGCCGCCTATCCGCGCGGAGGAACCATGTGGCGAAAGCTTTTTAATGCATCGTGTTAAATGAGTTCCAAAGGAGTAAAGGTTCACAAAATTTCAACCGATTTAGTACAGTGGGCTCATTTTGCTCGCTGGTAATTTAGTGGAAATGACTGGGAAACTTTCAGTGTATAAAGTTCAACTGGTGATACCAAAAGATCTTTTTTCAGAGATTCTTTCAGTTCACTGAATAAAATTGTTGAGGTCAGATTAATGGATGCCTTGCAATTACTTCATTCAATTTGCGATCAATACAAGGTATGATTAGCTTTTTGAAGAGTTTTTTCACCGAGAAAATCAGACGGAAGCGGAACGGTTTTATATGAACTCTCGTCGGCTTTCAGCAAAATACAGCTTCAAAGAGTTGTCGAAGCGGATATTCGATTCGCTACCTTTGGATGCTGTGAGTCATAGAAAATCGATGAATCGGGAGGTTGAGGCTACAGTTTCATTTGTAACACTGAAAACAAGATTTTTTTGATATCATATTTTTTCATGAAATTTGTTTGTTTTTGAGTTGGCTTCCACCAACCGATTCATCTAAAAGCAGACTAATCTCGAAAAATTGATATTTTAAGTTTCCTTCTATTTATATCGAATTGTTTGATATGATTTCTCACATGGGATATGGCGTGATTCAAGTTGCACGCCAAGATCACGTCTTTGCAATGCCCATTTCATTGCTTCTGGTCAATGTTTGCCTCGATTTTCGATTTTTTCGAAATTTTAATGGCTTAGTTGATTATCTCTTACCAACTTCCAACTGCTCACAACGAATTGGTCCAACCAGATGTAGGCAGCAATGAAGGCAATGAAGACCAAAAGGATACCAAATCTCGAAGGAAGCGACGAAGCAACAACAAAAAGCCAATTGTTCGTTTCCCTCTCAAACTTTCAAGTTTTTTGGCAACCTTTCAGACTCGTAAGGTAATGATGGCGCCACGTGTCACCTTCGATTTGAATGTCTCTGTCGAGCTCATGAAGCGTTTTCTACCAGTTAAAATCAGCGCCGAGGTCGGTTTATTTTCGTACCATTTTCAGTGTTTAGCTCACATTTTGAGTTTCAATGGATAAAATTGGTAAAATAGGCTTTTTTTGAAAAACTCGCTTGGTGACCTGCTTTAAATGCCGCACCACTTCGACAGGGTGAATCATTTCATGAGGCGAATTGAAAATAATGAGGGAAAGTTCTATTCTCCAAAGATGAACCGATTTCAGTCGAAACTTTGGAAGCAGATTCGCTATGTTTTGGTACCATCAGGAAATCAGGCGACTTTAAAAGTTTTGGCGGAAGTCGTTTGTGATTCCATCAAAGAGGGTACGATAAGGTGATACGGTTGTAGGATTCTGAAAAATAAATTTGTGCGCAGCTTCTCCGCTCTGGTTTTTTGCATGCAAGACCCTGTGATTTCTCCGCACATCGAGAGACCTGACGTCATTCTTTTTGCCCTGTACATCGGTCCATTATCCGCAAATACTGTCGAGGTACATTTTCTTGGTTTTCTAAAAACTATGGGAGATCACAGCAATTTGCAATGAATCGAAGCGAAGAGTTTCGTGCAAGATGCCGTGAAGTACTGCGAAGTGCGGTTCAAGCCCAACGAGATCCTCTCTCCTTCAAGTTGTTTTTTTCTCAGCTTCACTGACGTTTAAAACTTTGTTTTCAGAGTGGCAACGCCAAACAACTTGTATCCTGGGCATTTGGAGCGTCGGTCTTACCGAGATTTCGCGGCTGACACGACACGGCTGCTTAGAGACTTGAATGGAGGTGCCTAATGTCTTATTTCGGAATGAAAAGCGAAGGTTTCAAGAGTTCCAAGGCGAGAAGGAAATCCATGTTGGCTGGGCCTGTGCCGCGCTTCAAAAGTACGGACGACGAACCTACGTGGATATGGTCAGCAGAGCTATTTTCTTGAATTTTTTTTTTCGAAACAAATGGTAGTTTAAATCAGAACGAGGGGCAAGTTTCCGACTTATGACTCCTTGAAGTTGATCTTCAATAATATAAAATAAGCTCGTTCAATGTATGGACACTCAACGCTTTGAAAGCGGGACAATCAAATGTCCACCTTTGAACTTTGAGTTTAAAAAATCATATTTTGGCTTTAGGTCTCTTAAATTCATGTTTCATGTACCAAACAATTAATAATTGTGTGCTGGATATTCCTTGAAAAACATTGCTCTCAAAAAACCTCAAGGAAATGCTCAAATTAAGGAAAACTTTAACTTTAAGGTGTAAAACAGAGAAGATTTCGTTTTACATGATCATTTCTATCGAAATCTAAAAAAAGTGTTTTTTTTTTCTTGAAAATAAGTTCTTCCTGTATTAGAGGACTAGGAGTAAATAATGAATCATTCAGACGTGGCAACATGAAAATTTCTACGACCTCATTTGGACAATACTAGCCCAGAGACCGTCATTGAAGAGGTTCGATATCCTTATTTCTTCACAGCAGCTTCAGGAACTTAGAGGTGTATGAAAGAGTGCTTTTTTAAAATTTGATCCGTGGCGCTCGAAAGGACGGTCTTATTGTCAGATAAAAATAATCAATTTTTTTTATTAAAATATTTTTCTTGACTTCTGGATTCAGATACGTTTGCGATTTGCTCGAAAAAAAATTCAATGACCTCGCAGCGGCAAATTTTTGGCGCCGAATGCGTCCTCATCAAATGGATTTCATCAAGATCCACAACAAGTTCCCCTCATCATCTTTTCGATGTATTTGAAATTCCAATTTTCAGAAACATCGCTATGATAAACCCTTTGGACGACTGTGATGGCTTCTTGAATTTTCCGAAAGAAGTGCAGGTTTCGACCTCCGCTGTTGTTGACAACTAAATCTGGAACAACGCAGAAAATCGAAATGGTTTCAACCGACTCCGATTTGGAAAGACTTCATCATTTGATTGTGACGCGGGCTGAATCGGAAAATACGCTTCTAGTGGGGCTTGATGCCGAATGGAGCTCATATGTTTCTTATAGCAGGTTTAGCTATATTTTTTGTGATCGAAATTATTTTTGATTCATTCAGCATGATTTAAGATTTTTTTTTCAACTGTTTTTTTGAGTAAAAAGAAATTACAGTGCTTCTATTTTGCAAATGGCTCTCCGAGATAGCGTCTTCATCATCGATATAGAGTCTCGATTTATTTCGCATACCAACTTGAAGTATTTCCTCACGATGCTTTTCGAGAACAAAAACATTTTGAAAATTGGTAAGGTGAAAAGGAGTATTTAAAGTATTTTGATGTTCAAGGTTTTCAATTCGGCGAGGATTTGCACCAACTGAGATGCGCATTGCGTTCGTGTCCAGTTTTGTATCACCCGGAACGGGTCGTTTGCATAGGGCGAATCATCACTGAGGTCTCTTCCGATTAGAGTTTTCTATATTTGACTTGTCTCAGTTGCTCGAAAAACTGGAAACTGAAGATGTTGTGCTGCGCCAGAAGCTTTTGCCGTTCATGGATGTCGATCTGAAGGGTGTCGAAGTTGCTGCCCGTGATGTTGCTACGGAAAACGTTCTGGAGGGCGAAGGTAAACGCAAATTTCTTCTCAAAGTTGATAAAGCTTAAAGATTGTTTCTAGGTGTAGACCTTGATCTCAGCATTTTGTCAGAAGACGCGGAAGAATCGAAAGAAGACGGTGAAAACAATTCAAAGGTCAGGTTTCACTGAAAACTTCAGGCGGAAATTGGAAGAAGTTATACATGCGTAAAGACAAATATGAACTACTCGGCTATGTTCGAATTTTCCACATCTTAATTCAATATTTAAAAGAAATAAATTGAAATTTAAGGGTCCAAGTAACGATCTTCCACAGCCGTTTATGAACAAAGGCTTAGCGGTTATTTGCGAGAAAATGCTGGGAAAGCCACTCGACAAAACGGAGCAGTGCTCTGTTTGGAATCGTCGACCTTTACGCCCGTTGCAAGTGAATAATCTGTCGTTTCTGGATTATCCGTAGAGCGGATTCCAACCGTAGCAATCACATGTTGTGGATATTTTGTCTGCATCAGTTCAAGTGTGCGATGTGAGCATCGAAGATATTTTTCAAAATTCGGTCGTAGGTAGTCACAGGTATGAGTATTCAAAAACACGAAGAATTATCTGCTATGCGCCATAGGGTACTGGGAGATAGCTTGTCGAAAATTTATAGAAAAAGCTCAAAAACAAATTATCTTCAAGTTTTTGTGGAAAAAGTTTCTTTCTCGTGTTTCTTATGATATAGTGAATAACATTAGACGTTTTAAAAATTGAAAAACCGGAGAAAACTAGTTTTTGAGCTTGTCCTGACATTTTCGACGGGCTCAATCTCAGTGCCCCATAGCACTTAGCAGACGTTTCTTTTTATTTTCGAATACTCATACCTAAAACTATCTACCACAGAAGTTTGCACCTGATCTGCAATGCTCACCTCCCACACTTTCCTTTTCAGCTGATTTTTTGTCATAGCTATCATGTCCAACTGCAGTTGCTCCGAATTCCAATTCCGAATTGATTTCCCAGATGAGGTACGCGGCGATGGATGCCTACTGCATGCTGATGTTGTTCGACGAGTGCGAGAGACTGGCTCGTGGACTAAAAGTCGACTTCTGCGCTTTGATCGACAAGCAGCCGCCCATTCGAGTTTCCTTGCCACTTTTGAGTGGCGGACCGCTGTGATCCCCTCCCTAATAATCAGTTCCTTCTTGTAACATAATTTCTTGTTTTCTTGGTGCATTGTCATTTAATTGTTGCGGAAGCTTTTGTAACTCTTTCTGTTTGATTGCGATTGTTAAGAGATGCAAAATGTTGCGAATATCAAACCTTCACTTGTTTTTTTCACATCATATGGCTCGCCATCAAAATGCTTTTTCCTTTGCTCTATCTCAATAACCCAGATTAACATGTGATACAACCATTCGATACTTACAAAGTTATTTCATTGTTTGCCATTAGATCTATGGTATTATTATGATTTCCGAAGTCGGTTGAACAAAAATCGCCCGAAGCCTACGTCAAAACTTTTTTGATTCCACATAAGTTTATGAAGGCAGATTTCCGATCAATCGCCGCAGGATTGTTTTTTTGATCGTGTCCATATGTGTCTATATTCGCTATTAAGTTTCGAATCAAAAATGAAAAAGGATGTTGATTCGCCGATTTATTCAATAAACTAGTTTTTTTAAATTTTCGTCAATTTTAAATATGGAACAGTAATAAAAATGCACCTACTATTTTTCCGGAGAAGAGAAACTTTATTCGCTATGATGATAACTTCTAAATCGATAGGATAATCGATTGATTCCGTTATCATACTCGATTCATATTTAGCTTCTCGCCAAGTTTAAAGATGAGGGATATTTCGCAGAAAAATAACTGTTAGATTTTTTAAATCAGTCATGAAGTATACTACTCACGAACTTAGAATTCCAGTTTACTAGTCGTTTCCTCCTCTTCTTCCTTTCTTGCTTCAATGATAAGTGATAATAATTTATTTTCGGCAGATAAATAGATGTAGGATGTTTCAACGCCGGGTTCCGTCCTCGAAGAAAATACCGCCGTCCGCTGCGCAATACCTCAAAAATGCATCATATTTTTCTTGAGATCTGTAAACTGTCTTACTTGGGACAAATACCCTTTTCACCGTCGTTTCCGTCGATTCCTGGTTTGCCAGGAGCTCCGGGGTTGCCGTCAGGTCCAGTCTCTCCGTCAGAGCCCTTGGCTCCAGGCTCGCCTTTGGCGCCAGGCTCTCCGTCTTTCCCAGGAACTCCAGGAGCTCCACGAGGACCTTTCTTTCCTGGCGGTCCGGCTGGTCCTTTTGGACCAGGTGTCGGGGCGACGTTCTCAGCCGGTCTTCCTGGCTCTCCGGACTCTCCGGCGAGACCATCCTTGCCCTTATCTCCTCGACGACCTTTGAGCCCTTGAGGTCCCGCTGGGCCTGGAGATCCTTTCTTGCCGTACTGACCGAGGTCGCCGTTTTTTCCTGGTGGCCCTGGCTTTCCTGGAGGTCCGGTTGGACCAGGTGGGCAAGGCTTGCATGGAGGCACCGTCACAGCCTCGCATGGCTTGTCTGTCGGTCTTCCTGGATTGCCACCGAGGCCGTTGGCGCCTGCTTTTCCGCTGGCTCCTGGCCTTCCAGGCGGTCCTGGTGGTCCTGGAGGTCCAGCAATGCAGCAGTTTTCGCATTGGTCCTCCTCTTCCTCCTCTTCTTCCTAAAGTTCATTTTGAGTATCTTCAAAATCAACCGCTTATTTTGTTGCATTTTTTTTGTTTTTTTTTCTAAGGGATTTGAATTAACGACGTATTGAGATAGTAATTTTTAATTTGAAAAAGCTTTCGACAACCTTTTTACCAGTAGCGATTTCATATTCAGCTTGAATAAAAATTTAAATCATTTGGTTTAAAACAGTTTCCAGAGGCTATATTCACTGAAGAAAAAACTTTTTTCTAATTTTTTTCAATCCTGTTTTCTTTTAGTGAGTCAATATAAATGATAAGATGTCTAACTTCGAAATGCGCAGTCGTAGTTTCCTCAACAAATGTCGAAGTTGTGTGCTCCTTGGTGGTGGTCTCAAGATGACGACGAGTGGTAGGGGCCTCGACCTCTACACTGCTCTCAACGACGCCTTCGCTGGCGCTGCCGTAGGTTGGAGCCGACTTGGCCGTGGTTGCGGTCTCAGTAGTCGTAACTGGAGCCTTGGTAGTTCTAGCAGCTGTCGTTGTAGTTGTTTGGGCAGCAGTGGTGGAAGATATTCTTGGTTTTTTTGTCGAGGGTTCAGGCGGAGATGAAGGCAAGCTATCGTAACCTTGCTTAAAGTTTTTTTTTTCATTTTATTACTTTCTTTCGACGCCTCACACTTTGGTCTTCGTTTTGTTCAACCGGAGTCGACGGCTGATTGTGTTTCGGAGCAGAAAAAGGCGTCGTCTAAGTCATGTCTCAGTCTCTTGACAAGCAAGTCTTGAATAACCTCGTCTGCGCCGAAATCGTAGCCTGCCTGTCGGGCCGTTCTGTTTCCTCGGGCGACAAACGAAGCCCGCAAGGCGTAGACGTCGTTCCAAAGAACTTTGGCGTTGCTCTATGACATTATTTTTCATTTATGAAGCTCTGGTTAAAATCCTACCTGGCAATGAGACATTTCAGTCTTCATTTGAGCTTGCAGATGACGTGCATAGTTGTGGACGATGGGAAGCGTCACACAAATTGAAATGATTGCCAGCGTCGATACGGTAACCGTAACGTAGCCGATAACGCGGTACGCCTGAAACCATTGCTGTAAGTTCCTAGAAGATCTTTGAGGAAGGAAACGTAGTTAATTTGGTAATACTCATCTCCAAATTTTCCTTCAGGTCTTACAAAATTCAACGACTTTTTGAATGATGCATTTTTTCTTTTGAATCCAATAAACGAACCTTGGTATTTGAGTCGGCGTCCTGTAGGGCCATTTCGAGTGGTCGACGAACAGCTCGTCAAAAACGCTTCTTCCTGGCTTTATAGCGTCGCTGAGGCTTGCGAACCGAACCTTCGACGCTGTCCATTTTTTTCATCCTTCGAAACTTCCTACCCGTCCGCTTTTTGTGCCGCTCCGCAGGCGCGAATACCCGACCAGCGTCACGCCTTTCGATCCCCTACCATCCGCTGATTGCTGATATTCCAGTGGAACGATGAAAAAAAAAACACTTAGATAAAGATGACCGATAATTATCACATTATTGACGGAAACAGAGGTTTTAGGTATTTTCAACTTACTCCACGACTACGAATCTTGAATATAAATAGAGAATATGATTCTTGATGATTGTCTATTTACGATCATCACTAAAAAGTTAGAGTCAATATCTGTCTGCGTTTCAAACTACACAGAGTTCTTATCATCAGTCTATTTATATTTTATTTTAAAGTCTCAAATCTGCTCGAACTCTGTTTGATAGACTCCGCAAAAGTATCTGCGCGATTGTCTAGTTCTGGAGATAGATATTGCCACCTGTATTTATGAAATTTGATTGATAATTTTTAACTATATAACTTCAGCTTTAAAGAACAAAAATTTTTAAAAAGTCTTGCGAAAGTTTGATGAATCGATCACTATACTCATGTGAAAGCTTTTTAACTAACAAAAATTCCTAATTTTGGTGAAATATTAGTTCTTATCAACTTAGAAACTCTCTTCCTACTTTTGAAAATGTTTAAGGGGTGATTTTCTTTAGTCAATTCAACAGTTGGTATGCGAAGGGACCTGGCTTGTCTGAGTTCTTCACCAAACATGCGTTAACAGCCACTCTCTCTATATATCACGTCAGGACTCTTCTTTTTCAATAGATTTTAAGAACAAAATCCGTTATTCTTCGAAATTTTAACGAAGAGGTGTTGAATCATCTGATTCCAAACACTTATTTTGGCGAACTTAAAGGATTTCATCCCTTTTTAAGAATAGATTATAGTTTGTTCAGATTTTGAATGTCAAGTAGACGTCATTCGAAAACCTCTGTGGATGGCTCGCTCTCTGATTGGTTTATCGCGCTATTAGGGGGCGGAAATTGAGCGAGAACTTGACATTTAAAATCTGAACAGACTATAATTGCGCAGAGGATCTTTCCGAAAGGAAATGCAGATCCATTCTGAATTTTATTCAAGTAACTTATCCGTTTCCATCCAATTTATTTCTGGTGTGGAATCTTTTGAGGAGTTCAGAAAAGAACTTGGTATTATCTTTATAAAACAGTTTTTCCTCTTGCAAAATCACGCACGAAAGTCTTAAAGATCACGAATCAACAAAAATTTTATTTTTAAAGCGCTGATTCGCAGAAGAAGAAGACAGACTATTAAAAAAATTTGGGGATGAATTAGAGAGATTTTAACGCAATGCAGTTTTATAATTATGGGACTTCTCTGTTGCGCAAAGAGCCAACGTCCTCTTTCCATTGGGTTTCATTTCAAATAACACTTTCTGTGAATGTCCTTCCGATCCAAATAACTCTTCCAGAATGAATTCGAAAATGTTTATTTCCAGAGCAAAAATCGATAATAATAAATATATTGGATGATCAACGTCGTGTTCCATCCTCGAAGAAAACGCCGCCATCCTTAGCGCAGTACCTGAAAACGGTATGAGTCACTTTTATCAAACAATTTTTGAGTTTAGTGAAAATAAAAACTTACTTGGGGCAGATGCCTTTCTCGCCGTTGCGTCCTGGCTGGCCGTCCTTTCCTGGAGCCCCTGGAGTTCCATCTTCCCCGGGTTCACCGTTTTCACCGCTTGGTCCTTTCTCGCCTTGTGGTCCTGGCTCGCCATTCTTTCCGGGATGTCCAGCGGGACCTCGCGATCCTTGCAGTCCAGGTTTTCCTGGTGAACCTTTTGGCCCAGGCTGTGGTCCAGAATTCTTTCCTGGTTCTCCAGGTGCTCCAGGCTCTCCAGGAGGCCCTTGATCTCCAGAAGGTCCTTGTCTTCCACGAGATCCAGGCTCGCCAGCTGGTCCTTTGCCTCCAGCCTTACCTGCTGGTCCAGCCAAACCGTTCTTCCCGGCTGCTCCAGTAGGTCCGCTTGGTCCAGGCTTTCCTTGAGGGCATGGTGGGCATGGTGGAGGTGTCACAGGTTCGCAAGGTTGCTCTGGCGGTCGTCCTGGGTTTCCGTTGAGACCGTTCGCACCGGCTTTTCCGTTGTTTCCTGGTCGCCCAGGGGGTCCTGGCGGCCCACGCGGTCCCGGAGCGCAGCAGTTGTCGCAAACACCTCCACTCTTGTGATGTCCTTCCTCGTGTTCCTCTTGTTCTTCGTGTTCTTCTTGTTGTGGATGACTTCTGTCAACACCGGAGTCGTATGAAGAGCGATGAAAAGCTGGAGGACGTGCAGGAGCTGGATGGTCGCTCTCGTCGCTGTAGTGCGCTTGAGCCGTGGTTGACGGTACATTGTGTACCTGAAATGGAGTTTTTTTTTATTTTCAACGCTGTCAATTTCTCTTTCTTTCTTTTAAATTTTTATTTTACTTTAAAAAAGAGACCTCTTCGTTGCCGTATCCAGCATCACGAGCCGTTCTGTTTGTAGCGAACGGGAAAGATGACCGAAGCGAGTTCACGTCGGCGTATATTTGCCGCGCGTTCATCTGCAATCAAAAATTGTGGACGCGTTCTACTGAAATGACTGACATTGCACTGCGACATCTCGTGATGCATCTGCCGCCTGACGCTGTGCACGTAGGTGTAGACGACGGGCATCGTCACGCAGACGCAAAGGACAGCCACCGCCGAGAACGTCACCGCTGCGTAGCCGATGACTCGGTACGCCTTCAAACGATTAAAATTGTGAGACTTTCTCAAAAAAAAAGACGTTTTCCTAGACTCACTGTAAGAAATGAGAGTTAATATGTGTAAGAAGTTTAAAAGACTATGAAGAGTATCACAAACGCACCTTGATTTTGATGTCGCTGTCGTCGGCGCCCATCTTGCACAGAGTGTCTGACCAACTGACCACGCCCTCTTATCTCCCTTTATAGCGTCTCTCTGGCCCGCGCAAAACTCATCTGACGACGGCAAAAACCGCACAAAAAGTGGCTGGACGTGCTTGGCGATTTTCCGCTGATTCCTTTCTTCCTCCCTTTTGGCGTTGATATGACTTTATTGCAAGCGTTTTCAGTGATACCATCATTTTTTTAAAAAAAGGGATTTTATTTCGCTACTTCTCAATAAATATGATACAATTTATGTCTATTATAAAACTTCAAAATGGTCCTGTGATGTCGACGTGGTGAGGGTTTTCGGCTCGAAACAAATGTCGGGGACGCTGTCGAAGACTGAATAATCGGTGGCACCGGCTACCATATTCGGAAACCACATCTCTTTTCGGAACATGCTTGTACCATCGTTCAGTTGCGGAAAGATGTACTCCCAGCCGTAGTCTAGTGCTAAAAATTTCTGGAGACTGACGTGAAAATAAATTTTTCCGAACTGGCTCGAGCCAACAGTTTTTCGAAATTCATTGCTTGTCTCAAAATAATATAGTCGATGTGCCACGACTTGAAATTTCATGGAACGACACTCCGGTGGATGGCCGTGAAAGCTCCTTGCCTTTGCGAATTTCGGTCGCGCTTTCCATTTTTTCTTTAATTTGAAATTTTGACTATTTCTGTGCGAAAGCAATAATAGTTCCGTTTTTGGCACATAAAAAATAATTAAAAAGTTGTTAAAAAAGGGAAAATATCAAATAAAAGGAAAAAAGGAAAGCGCGACCGAAATTCGCAAAGGCAAGGCGCTTCGCGACAGCGCGCACTAGTTCCACAAGAACATCGGAGTGTCGTTCCATGAAATTTCAAGTCATGGCACATCGACTATATCTACATTTAAAAAAATTTCAAACCAAGTTTTGCTTGGCTTTGATAGCCTAGTTTTCCAAGGTGTTCTGAAGTTTGGACGAGAATGATTTCCAACTTGATGTTAGGCAGAATTTTGCAATTTCTAGAATCAATCGTGAAACCTCCATTCAATGAAGAGTATGCCCGAACAAGAGCCGGATGAACTCCATCGACAGTGACGTCAAGTGGGGGCTCTCCTTCGAAAAAGTTGACGTCGGTGTAGGCGTTGTGAATTTTGAACGCTTCTTCTCGTTGTTTTTCCACGTAGGTCAGTCCTTGTCTGTATTCGATACGTTTTCGTACGTATTGAAGGTTGTGCGAAATCTCACCTGCGGAGAAACTCGACGTATCCGAAATTCTGACGCTCGCAGCCAGACTTATTGAGTGTGAAGGAGTGGTTGGCAAAAACGTAGTAAGACGCCAACCAGTCAGTGTCGTTTGGCTTGAGTCCGACTCGATGAAATAGTCGCTGCCGCGTCGCGTCTTGCATCCAGCTCATTCCAAGCTTTTTGGTCTGAATTATTTCAGCTCATGCTCACATTTCTCCAGCTCTTTTCAACTGCAACTGAACAGGATTGAAGTAGATATTCGCTTCTTTACGAATGTTTTTCTGCTGCATAAGATTTCCCAACTAATTTATCAAACCGAGCCGTACCGTGTACTGATTGGCGACAGTCGTACGATTGGTCATGGTCAATGTGCCCTGAGAGCAGTGTTGATTAAGGTTCCAAGGAAAATACAGCGTCTCGTTGAGGATTTCTTTGTGCTCACTCTCTGCTGAAAAAGAGAAATGGCAAGATTTCCAGTCGAGTACCTACAGGTGATCACCGAGTAGACAATGCATCCCGTCGCAAAGCCGATGAAGATCAGTCCCAGCGCGATTTTGATAATGATGGTGCGCACTGAAGGCTGTTCGTTTCGTTCGACGATTGAGACGTCATCTCCGAAGTCTTCGAACACTACTTCCCTGAGAAAGAAGAAAGGATGCAAGTTCAAGGTTATGTCTCTATAAATATTCCCATTTTAAAAATTTTATAAATCAATCGTTGAAGCTTTATATGTTCTCAACTCAAATTATATAACGATTTTTATCCTCTAAAAATAATTTGGTCGAACTTTTTGCCAATTTTTCACAGAAAAAGATAATTTTTCAAGGTTCCCATTTCAACAATTTCTTCAACTTTGAAATTACTAAATTTTTTTATTTACAAAAAAATAACTTTACTGAAGACGCTTCCGATTCCGAATCAAACGCCGACATTATCTCATTTCCAGAAGACAGGTGAAATCGAGGTACCGCTTCTTCTATTAAGACCGATAAAAGTAACTCCAAAAAAATAATTCTTATTTCTTAAAAACTAACTATTTTGGGTTTTCGAAAATGTAAAAGAAATACTGATGAAGAAATCAGGTTTGCATGTTACGGTAGTGCTTGAATTAGCTCGTTCAGAAATCAGAAAATGTGCTTCGAAGAAGAAAAGAAAAACGTTCAAATATAACGGTGAAATAATGAAAAAATCTCTACAATCGTTAAGAATCTGATGGGTGACACGATGTGTTCCTTATCGATCGTGAGCAGAACCGATTATCAGACCGACGGTTTTGGAAATTGTCCCCACCTATTTCCGTTTCGGAGCAATATACTATTCCACGCGACCTTGTCAAATTATTAAAAGTATCGATGGCTTCTTCGGGAAAATAGGGCTCTCATGGTAATCATTATAACCTCTGTACTACAGTTGCCACATTGTTGTTTTCCCGTTTTAGTTATTGAAAATGGCGCGAAGGAAAGTTCATTGAATCCCGCATAATATGTACAAAATAAAATAAAACAAAAGTTGGTTTCAATTATTCAATCGGTTTCGACTTTCAGCACAACTCGCAAGTCTTGGCGCAATTCTTCCTTCTCATTTCGGTCGAGTAGAATCCGTTCACACAATAGCCGTTTTTGGCCCATTTAGCGCAGCTGAAAAGCTTTTGAGCATCATTATGATCAGATACACGTGATACTATTGCAAAAACAGTTGACTCATTGAATAAAATCTCGAAAAGAGGTAAACGAATGAAGAAAACTGAGAGAAAGTTTTTTTTAGTTCCCTCTACTTAGATATTAGCTTATCTTTCCAGATAAAAAAAATATCAAGCTCATAAAACTTTCTTCTCTAACACTTATCCATTCAATCTTTCTAAAATTATTAATGCACTCCAAAACGAAAAAAAAGTTGTATGAATCAACTTACTCGGACACTGGTAACGCGAAACGGACCTGCTCCGGTCTCTGGGCAATTCTAAGGATCACTTAAGAGTGCTAACGCTACTAAAGTGGTCACTAGAAATGCCCAGAAACGTCCGGAGCACGTCCGTTTCGCGTTACCAATGTCCGAGTAAAGTCATATAGACAGCAATCTATTCAATTTTTTCTGACTTCGGTAATGTTTTCCGAAAGGAACTTTTTTTTTTGATTTGAAACAGTTCTTAGTAATTTCTGAACTTCTAATATATACACTGTTTGTAATAAAACTTACGTCGAAACGCTGTCAACGCAGTTGATTGAGGCGACTTTCACGGCAGTTGGAGTACATTTTCCGCAGGTTTTTGCACAATACTTGTTCAACATCGGCGCCAATTGAGCATAATTGCAACGGTCGGCAAAAGTCGCGCATGTGCTCAGAATGTCGGAACATTCTTCTTCCGTCACGGATGTCGCTGGAATTATTTTTTAGAGTGAAATAACTACTTTCTAAAGTTACGGCACGCTGTAGAGCAGAAGGTTGTAGGTCTGTCTACGGAGAATAAAATTTAAAAAATGGTTTTCAGCTCCCTATTTTTCGATTTTGCTTCAAAATTAGTAACACTACTTTGATGCTTCCTTCTTGAAAAAAGCTTTAGAGAATGAGATTCATATGATCGAGTGCATCCAAAAAAATCTCTGTAGAAAAATAAAAACTATATTCTTAGACTTGTATCATCAAAAAAAAAAAAAAATGAAAATCTCATTCTCGGCTATGTTTGTACTTCCTTCCTTTTAAAAATTGATAACCATTTGTTTTAGAACCTGTCTCTCAAAGCGGAAAGAGTATTAAGGTTCCGATAAATACAGGAGTTTCTAATTCATTAAATAAAAACTTCTGAACTATCTCAATACGTCCAGGAAAAAGCAGAAATACGTCTATAAAGTATAAAAACTACAGATGGAAACGAACTGGTGCAGAATCCGCAGCTCTTCGCGCAGACGTTTCTTAGAGAGTCTGCGAACTCGTTGCACACTTTTGGGTCTTTCGGACAAGTGTTGGCCAAGTCTATACATTCCGCCGATTTCATGGAGGCCTGAAGCGAAAAATCAAAGTAAAATCTCTTTTCTCATCAAGAATGAAGTGAGATCAAAAGAATAAGACAAGTGAATAATTTGAGAATATTCAGGTTTTGAAAATCTACGGCTTGAACAGTGGAAAAACAATAAAACTTTAAAAAAAGAGATCATAATGAAATTGGACGACTCACGTCTTCAGTTGAAACAATGCGTTTTTTTGTTTTCGACATTGGTGCGACAACTTTTTTTGGCGTGATAATGTTGGTTGTAGTTTGATTCGATGTTGTAATCGGTGGGGTCAGAGTTGATGTTGTTGTTTCCGAAGTCGATGTAGAGTTCGAGTTGTCCACGCCTGGTTAAATCACAAATGAACTAATTAATCATCTGTGAAACTTACAGCAATAGATGAATCCGTGGAAATCGTAACACTCGTTTCCAGGAGAAACAATGCATTTGTTTTCTTTGCATGCTTAAAATCTCTATTTAGTTTCAAATGACTTTTTGCTCATTTGGACGATAAGAACCTACCGAATCAAGGTGTTTTCACACTCATCTCCACAAGTTCTGAACACGTATTTTCCCCTATTTCCTCTACATTTGTTTAATATTATCATATCAATTACCAATATATTCGATTGAACCGCATAAAATTTCGATCCAGAAATTCGAAAAATCAAATTAAGAAAAATAATAGACTTGATTTCCGAACTGTTTTTAAACAGTTAAAACTCACTAGAGTATTTGTCGCAAGTAGGGTACCGGTCCTCTTCATCAATAATTTCGATCACTGTCTGAATGGAGAAGTTAATCATGAGGAAAGCTAGGAGCAGCTTTCTGGAGACACACATGTTAGAAATAACCACGGATCCCAACGACGTGCCTAAAAGGAGCTCTTTGGCTGTCCAGCTGCTCCTAAAGTCTCATTGTCCGGTTGAAAATTTCTTCTCGCCCAACAAACTGATTCATTTTGGAGCTCGCAACCGGCTGTTTGTCTTTTCTATACGTACTATTCAAATAGTCGTTTATATATAGTGGTTTTGAGAGAATTAGCATTCACATGTCGGTGGAAATTTTCGTTTTTATATGAATGGAAATATTGAGTCGAGAGGACCATTTCACAACTGAAGCCTTTGGATTTCCTTTCATTCAAGTTTCACCTCATTTGATAAAGTTGCATTCTTTTCAAGAAGGAAAGCGAGAGAAATACGAGGTAGCTACAAGAAAATGCGAGTCCAATGCGACGACAAAACTGTTAGTTCAAGAGGTTGTCGGAGTACCGCCAACGGACTTTCTATTCTCGCGCGCCAGACTAGGCAGCTATCTTTCGTGATAAGGATCAGCGCTTTCGCTGGATGCGTTGATAGGAAGAGAAAAGGGGCGGACGCACTGAAAAAACAAGACGCCTTCGCCGAAATTCCTCCGTGATGATTATCGCTTTGTTTTTTCAGGAAATTTGCTTGGAACAGTTGAGAGTATCAGGCTGTAGAATCGCCGTCAGTGAGTTTTATTTTGTCCAGCATTTTCTCCACGGGAAACATGAAGAAATTTTGGTCGAAAGAAACGAAAAATTAACAAAATTTCTAGACAAAGTGGACTCAACTGAATGGTTGAAGCTTCTGAATGAAACGAAAAATTCCTGAAAGCTCTGATTGTGACCTGCAAATGAAAATCTCACACAGAAAAGCATGTAATTTTAATTTAGGAGCTTTCTTTTTTGTTCTTCTTCTCCCTCCGAAACGACGCTGCTAGGAAATTTGATGGAAATATTAAAAACTTTCACGCGTGGAAGATCCTTTTCGATTCAAGTTCGTTCCAAGCGAATTTCGACTTCGACGTTCGAAATAATCCAAAAAATTTCGATTTGAAGATTGTATTTGCAAAAGCTGGGAAAATTTTGAGCGGTTCCTATATGATGTTAGAAGTTCAATGGATCCTATGAATAAAAAAATCTCCTAAAAATAAAAAAATAAAATGGAAGATTCATTCAGGAACTTTGAAACCCCTTTTGCCAAAGGGTAAATTTTACATTGAGACCAGATTTTTCCAAGTTTTGCACATATATGTTTCCTCTGATTTCAATAGTTTTTCATCTGATTTCAATAGTCTAGACGAAAATAAATTTCATCTTAAAGGCATAGGGGCAGTAAAAAAACTGTGTTTCAGTTCAAATCAGTATTTTGTAGATTTTTCATTGCGAATCGAACGGTGAACTTGGAAACGTACAGAAGCCCCTAGGTTTGGAGCAAAAATGATTCAAAGTCGAAAGGAATCAAAGCTTGAGTTTCCGCCAAAAGGGCGCTTTGCGGTAAAGTTGCTCTATGGACAACACGTTTCGCCATTTTTCGGTTTTTCGCTTTTTTCTTCGTTTATTTCAACTTTTTCTGTTGTTGCCAAAGCTTTTTTCGTCACATAAGCTTTCTACTAATTTATAATTTGCAAACTTTGATCGCGAAATGCTTTTTTTGCGAAAAATAATGATTTTATACAGCTTTCAGTTGGGATATCGATATTTTGCGTTTTCTTTAATATTGGTGTGGTTTTTGTTTTCTTAATCAATTTTTAAAGAAAGAAACCTCTGGCTTAAAACAGATATCCGGTATTCCTCACAAAATGCGAGTCTAATGAGACGTCCGCAACATCGCGTGCACGGCTACTGTAAACAGTTGTCCGCAAAAGAATCTTTTTAAGGAAAATGCATCAAATTTATGCCGTTCACAGTAATTTCCGCGAAATTCAAAATAGCCGTCAGAGGATGGGAAAGAAAAGTGAATTTTGGAGAGTAAGAGATGTTTTTGAGTTTTGCAAAATTACTGTGAACACGGCATTAGAATTCATGACAAAAAGAAAAGTAATTGAGAAGTTGGAAAAATCGCACATCTTCAGCAAAAATCAACGTTTATGACGAGATTGCGAGTTTTACGCGCGAATTCAAAGTTTTGGTACAAAAAACACCCAATTAACTTCGAAATTTGCAGTTTTGCGTGTTATAGTCACTCAATTGGGAGGATACAAGTAGCAACCGGGTAGTTTTCGAAATGCCTTTTCAGTTTTATCCTATCGTTTACAGGCTTGCCACGACTTCTAAAGTTCTCTTTCTTCCTCACGATGATTCTATTGGAAGCGGAAGCACGATTAGATGCGAAGACCAAAAACTTCACTTTCAAGTAGACTCCTACCATTCTGCAGGTAAGATTTTTTTTTTCTCTTATTTTCTTATAAAAAAAATCAACTGGTTAACATTTCGCTTTTAATAAGCTAGGTTGGGCTAAAATTTTCTTAAAAGGTTTAAATTCGAAATATTTTTATAAGGCAGAGCGAAAATTCATATCAGTAAGTGTTTTTGAGCTTTTGGCATCATGAAAATTAAAAAAAATTTCCAATTGGGCCGCCGGTTTTTCCGGAAGCGGAAAGATTTGTGGAAGAGAATTTGCGTTTTGTTTGCCACTAGGCTCGTCTTCGGCGAGACGTTTTTCTGGCCTTTGCGAATTGCCCATCGGGTAGTTTTGCATACCGTTCAGCTCTTCATTTTCTTGGTTTATTCGAGTTTCAAACTTTAAAATTTAAGCGTTGAGTTCCGAGATAATAAGCTTGGAAGTTCTTTCTTCGGTGATAGACTCAGGAAAAAAATTTGCATTGATTTTTTTACTCCATTTACAAAAGATTCTTAATTACTTATGAATTATCTTTTTAAAAACTATTATACTCATTATTCCGTTTTGTTAACATTGACAAGAAGTTTTTTCAAATTTCCGTAAAGTTCGAAATCTTTCAGTCGCGACCAATCATGTTCGTTTTTCTGTTTCAGTCTGAGTTTGATTCAATTCAAATGGATACGCGTTGGAAGTCTGTTTGAATCTTGGAATTAAGTTGCGTCGCCATGACGATTCAGCCTTTCTGAGTTGCGCAGTGTGTCATTATACATTTCGCGATTATACGATTTTAAGCTTCTACGTGAATTCTCAGCTCTTTTCAGAAGGAAAGTTGCGATGAAACTTTGCCGAACAGTACTTGAGGACCTCCTGATTACAAAAAAAGTTGAATGTATTATTGTTCCAGAGGTACAGCTTTTCAAGAGTGTTCATTCAGTAATTAAGCATGGATTGCATTGAAAATTGACAATTTCGAAGTTCTCTAGCCAAAAAAAAAAACGAGTGGAGCTGTTCAATCTAAATTGGTTTGTAGCGGGTCTTGAAGTAATTTTCTGCGAAGTTTCATCAAAAGCTCAACCGTTCAATTTTGCACTCTCCTTGTTGGTTTTTGACTTTATCGATATTTACTTGAAAGTCGCTTTTTGAGGCCCGACTTTCTTGAATTTTTGAAAACGCGAAAATTCCCAATACACTCTTCTCATTGTTCCAAAAGCTGAAGAATGTCCTGACTCGAAGGAATCCTTCTTTCTTCTTTGCAGCATCTTTGTGATTGCAAGATCATCTTGCAGGCAAACTGGTTCCAACTTGTCTTTGATTGTAATCGCCAGCTGTTCTTTGTCTAGATATCATCAGTAAACATCTGCTGGTTTAGTGAAAAAATATGTAACCGACACATGTTTCTTATCTGCGGAACAAAATTGGACGGAAACTTAATATTTAAAGATTTTGGATGAAAATTTTTTTTCAACGGATTAATGAGCTGACCACTTGCGGCCGATTTTCGGCCGATTGAGGTTCGAAAATACAAATAAGTGACTGGGCAGTTGCCACGTGTCACTGTTCTACCAGTTTTGAGTAAATCTGTCAGCTATCTTCAAAAAAAGGCGCCGCCTCTACGAGGTCCATTTGAGCTCCGCCTTCTGCGCCGACGGTCTCTTGCGGGGGGCGTTCGACGTCTAACGACAGCTCGGTTCTTTATTTCTCTTAGTGCTTCTCCTCGCATGCAAATATCGATCACCCGTCACCCTCTTTGATCCGCTACTTGACCGTACTCGCACCTTGTCTGTTAGTTTAGCTACTCTCTTTGTCCTTCTTAAGCATTGTCCAAAATACTGCAATTGAAAAAAAAAGTCTCCATTTCTACAACGGCTGTCTGAAATAGACTCTCATTTCAGCCTTCGGTCAATAATTTTCCTCCCAGTTTAATTAGTTAAAAATAACTTCTATTAAGTTCAAAGTTTTTGTCGACTCTAGCGAAATAATTGTGTTTTCATAGTAATAAATTGACAGAAAACATGAGTTCCTTCTAAAAAAAAGTTGTTTCATTGAAAGAGCTTAACAAGTAATTTCCTTTTCTTTTCTGAGTAGCTCTTGGACGATCAGGACCAGATATTCAAAAAATACACACACAACTTTAATTCATAGTTTTGATTGGACAAAAAATAATAATGATAGAGAACATATAATACGCTTTTGCCCTTTTTTTCGAACAATTAGTTATTCATTGCAACGTCTTCTCTGTGAAACTCGTTGAAAAGCTTTTGTGGCTCCTTGTATCCTTGTATTGGACACCCCAAACCCCTCGACTTTGACGGATGTTCGGCCGTTTTTTCCCGACGGCGCCGACCTTCAAGTGCCTCTTACAACTTGCCGTAATTTATACACCACTTCAATTTTTGAGCCTTTGAAATTCGGCCTTCATGCTGGTCTTCATTTTCTTCCTTTTCTAAGAATGCTTTGTGAACTCAGATTCAAATTTTTCTTTATTTCTGCATGAGAAATTTCAGATAGTTTTTATTTCATTCCCATAAAAATTTTTTATCTAATACAGGCGGAAAACAATAAGTTCTAAATGTTTTTTTTTTCTGATGGAAGCTTGCGATAACCTTAAACTAGCGGTATTAATATAGGCGTACCGATTTCTTATTTTTCGAAGATTGATTTTTATACTTTGAACTGAAAAGTTTGGACGAAGGTCGATGACGCAACTGGCACTTTTCGGCTTGTCTGCGGCTCAGCCAACTATCTTTTGCCGACAATTGCGGGCTTTAGACGAATCGTGTCGCCACATCCATTATGCGCGAAACTTCCTCGTGTTCTTTTTTCCTAATACTTGCGATTTTTGTGGGAGATCTGGATAAGAAATATCTGTGATCTTCGAAATTTCAGAAAACTCATTTTCAATTCGAACTTTAAGATAGCAAAGATGCTGCTTGTTCAAATTTTCTTCTTTTCTCTCCCATTCTACCACAACTTAAACAACCTGTTTGGGAATATTAGGCTCCTTGCATTTGTCAGAAGCGGGAAAAATGGCACTTCTCGTGAAGCAAACTTGATAGTTTCAAGTGAGGTTGAAGATGGAACCGGAACGGCACAGAGGTCGTCATCGGTTGGGTATAACTCCTCGCCAGTCTCTGAACAGGCGTCGACGGCGTGCATAATTGGCGCCAGGCGAGGGGAACGCCGATAATGATCTTCTAACCGGGTCATTTTCTAAGATGTTGACGTCGTTGTCGAAATTCGCCCCACGCTTTACCAACCCGGCAGTAGTGTCCAGAACAGGGAAAATTGGCAAATTTATATTTCTTGTGTATAGTTTTTTTTTTTCGATTTACTGTCTAAGGCCGTTTGAGGAAAATTAATTCTTTTATCTTGGGCACAGATTTTTCAGAAACCAAATGAAAAACGAACAAAGAAGCCCATAGCACGGTTGTTGCTGGATCAGAGAATGTAGAAACGGAAACATCGGTTTACAAATTTTTTGCTATTGTCCCAATTTCAGCGTGTTCAAAGCCTTTCTACTTTGAAAAGTTTCCAAGGAGGACTAGTTTTCTCGTTGCCGCAGTTGCTCTTTCAGATCCCGATATAATCAGTGGCATTGTTTGTTGTCGAACCCTTTGATTTACTGAACCCCCGCCATTCGGCGCAAACCACACCTGTCTTACGAGGTCCGCACAATGCCGCCCAGATAAGCTAACGAGCTGTGAAACTTACGTCTTCTTTATTAGAAGTCTAGCGCCAAAGATTGGCCCGCCCCGTATCGGGACTTCAATGAAGAGGCGTAGCTAGCAAAAATTAGGAATGGACTCCGCATGGCTCTAGAGCACATTAGGCTTGACCAGGTAGGCGAGAAGGAACAAGCGCCCGCGTATGTCAACTTAACATTCTTAAGTACACCTTTTCTAAGCGAACTAGCGAACTAGTAGAATAACTGAATGACCACTGGAGAAGCAGAAATCATGGACAATAATTTGATCGAGTTAATCCTTTTTTAGTGGACACACTTTTAGGAACAAAAAACTTTTTGCACAAATCTCATCACTTATTTTTTTTTGGATTCAATGTTTGGAATCGGCATGAATAGATTCTTTTGGCTATACTATTTTTATCCAGAAGTACCGATGACAGTTAAGAACATTTCTTTTAGCCAATTTTTAAATGTAAGTCGCTCGTCAAGAAAGTTTCTAGTGACCTCTTGAATGAATTTTTCTCACAAAGTTTGTTAAAAAAATGAATTTTTATATAAAAAAATAATTTTTCTGCAAATATTTGCTCTGAGGTCCATGTTGGGGCAGTCGATGTGACACGTCGTAGTGGCCAAACGCTCGCCGTTCATTTCCTGTTCCGCAACTTGCACTAATCGCTGGCGAAAGCGCTGGAGGGGGCACATCGATTCATTAGATTGGCGGCCACATCAACGAAGAACAAGAAGAAGAGGGAGAATAAGTGGCGTCGGTGGCATCAGCACTGTCGCCAGTTCTTCGCCTTTTTTGTAACACTCGTCGAGGTATTTACATCAATTCGCGCACTTTGATTATCACTCGTTTCGGCTTTTCTTGATGGTTTTGCCAAGGTCGACCTGTTAGAAGATTTATCGTTTGTTTTTTTTTTCGGGTAGCTGCGAAACCGAAATCTTTTTTCTTTTTTTTTTTCTTAGATTTTAATGTTGAAAGAAAGTTTCTAGCTTGATTTATCATCTCCCATTAAAGACGACTTTGTGCATTCATCATACAGAGAAATCATATGTTTACGCCCGACCGTTTTATTTTATTTTATTGCTTTAGCTTAAAAGTTGAACACCCAATATTTAGTTTTCATTATTAATCAATCATTTATATTTTTGTTTTCATTCATTGAGGTAGTCGACTAGGCGGTAAACAAAAGTTGTTGAAGCTATTCTTTGGCGAACTAGAAGCCCGAAAAAGTAGTTTATCTAGTTGAAAGAATGGTCTTACGGTCTTTCGACTTGTTCCTCTGCAAGTAGACCTTCCAGTTGCGCCTTGACAAACTCAGAATGTAGCGGATCTTGTGCTGGAGCCCGGAGAACGGGCTCTAGTTGGAAGCCTCGGAAAAAGAGTGACCACTTCGAGGGAAGAATTTTCACGGGATAATATTTTTTTTTTTGAAAATAGTCTCAACTTTAAAAACCTACAGCTAGTAATCGAAAAAAACCCTACACGAGAAGTTTTTTTAAAATGATGGGTTAGGTTTTCCAGAAATTAAAAGGCTCTTCATTGCGTTAATTTTAGAAATTCTCACAAACTCAAGCTTCCTAAAAGTTCCTGGTAATTGATTATGAATCAAGTATAGATTATAGTTTCTCTTGATTTAGCCGAAATTCGTCCCTGACATTGATTATAAATCACGATGACTACGTTAAATGCCGCAATGAAGCGTATAAATCTCATCAAAAATGACGACCCTGTAGCGATAGACGATGCGAAATTCCAGCAGGCGCGCCAACACAAAAGCCGACGGCATTTTATGCTTCATTATTTTTTTGCGCCTTCGAAGGTCAAACGTTTTGGCCGCCAACCCGCCTCGAGATTCCTCACGGCCGTGGCATCGATTCAATTTTTCGGCGCGAAAATCTGCATAAATCTTTATCAGAAATCCTGTTATTCTTTGTTGTTGTTTATCTTCTGGCGAAATCTCCGACAAAACGGCCTTCATCCTTAGCGCGTTTCATTCTGTGCTTTGGGCCTCGGCTTTCTGGATGATTTTTCTTTTAATTCCTTTCCTTTCTCTTGAGTCTGAAGAAGACATCTCTTTTTTTTTCGAGAATAATTTGTGAACCAAATTCCTTGGGTTTCCATGTTTTTATAATTTCTAGAAGTTCTCACTTTTTTGAACTTTCGTTCTCTTCAAAAATTAAATGGGAAGAAAATGGTATGAACACAATGAGAAGCGCGTCAAACATATAAGTGAAGAGGCGCTTCTTCGCAAATCACAAATCGTGTTAACATTTGCCGAAGATGAACAAAACAACTGGCTTCGCGGAAACTTCTTCGTCGACGCCTTCTTCAGTCGCACTGCCTTTCCCGGTTTTGGTCGGTTTCATCTTCGTCTCTCACACCGAAAACACACGAAAAACAAACTAACTGAAACGTTCCGAATTAAGAACAAAACTGATTTGATAAGTTGGAAAAGTTATTTTTATTCCACCTTTCATTTGAGGGAAGTTTTGAAGTCGAAAAACTGTTCTGAAGGACATTCTGGAATATTGAGTGGTGAGGTCACACTCGGGCAAATTTTTTGAAATTTGAGAATGTGGTAAGTTTAATCTGAGCTGACAACGTCCTGATTTTTGTAATAAATGGATTATATAAAATTACTTTTTTTATTTTCCTTGACAGTTTCTATTATTTATTTGTAGTTTTTTTGTTTGAGTGTGATATATAAATTATCATAAATGAATAAATAAATAAAATGACTTATAATGGACTAACTTTTTTTGAAAAATTGCCATGGAAAAATTTTTTTACCTTCATTAAAATAAATGTTTAATCCGATTAAGTGAATCGTCTGATTAGATATTCGAAGTTGGAGAGGCGCATACGTAGGTCTTATCAAAAAATTTTCAATGAAATGAGCTCCCAAGGACTGATTTTGAGCTCTTCTTCTTGTTTTCGAAAATTTCAGTTAGATCTTGATCGGAAAATTAACAGCAATTCGATAAAAGAAGTTTAGCAAAAATCAGAAACTTTCGAAACTCGTCCGCTTGAAGCCGACCTGAGGAAGTTAGTCTCGAAAAAGCGAGGTAAAGCCACGCCTTCTCGGCGTTGACCTGCTCAGCTGCCGCGATTTCCATTGATCCTTCCGTCGGTCGCATGTCCCAATAGGCTCCGCCCCTCATTCACAATTGTCGAGAAGGACAAATCTCTAAACGTTTTTTGTACTAAACGAGCTGTTATTCTTTTTTTTTTCCTGCTTTTTCATATTTCATCTCAATTTCGAAGAAAACCATCTTTTTTTTTTGTTTCTTGGTAAACTTTTCGTCCTAAAAGCGCGTCGCACGTTCCAATATTTTGATTTTCTTTTTAGGTATGTTTTCACAACTTTTCTATTCTTTTTCTTTCCACTCGCGGAAGTTCTTACTTTCATTTTTTGAAAAAGCAACGAAGCTATTAGGGAGGTTTCTGATACATTTCCAACTTTTCCCTTAATCACGGGCCATGTTTAGAAGGGCCTAAAAAGCCTTTGGGAAAGAAGGCTTCATTGACGCCTTTTTTCTTGATCTTTTCCTAAAAAAAGATCTTTTTGGAGAAAAAAAGGATGATAAACGTTTGACCATTTTTAGTAACTCAAAACAGAGCTCTAGATTTTTTTTTTGAGGCCGTTTGGACTTTGAACGTGAACTTTGTTTCAAGTTTCGTTTTATCTGGTTTGCACTTGTTCGACCTTTCAAGAGCCGCCAAAACCTGACAATTTCGAAAGTATTTTGAAATATCGTCAAAAGCAGAACAGTTATCTAGTTCGCATCGAACTTTGAGACGAAACGGGCAACAACTGGCCCTCTGCCTCAATCCAAATAAGGAAATTATGAAAAAAGACGTCATCTCAGCGAAACTCGAAAGTTTTTCTCCCCACTGGCACGACGGCGCTATCAAGCCCTCTCTCCCATCGGTATCTGAATGATTTTTTCTTATCATTGGGTATGTTCTCTCCAAAACTACCCAAAAAGGCGTCTTTGCCGTCATTATATGTAGTTTGCGTAGAACCTTGATAATTGGTCTTATCTTATAAGCCAAATATTCCGCGCATTGGCCTCATTCGAAGTTCTTCATTACGGCTTCTTGTCATTCTTTACGATCTACTATTTTTTGTGAATTTGATAGTTAATAGTCTCATTGTTTTCTACCTTGAAAATAGACGGTTTTTTTTCTAATCTCAATTTCAATTTGCATCATATCTCTCTCTTAAACACTTTCAAAATGGTGTTTAATTTTTACTGGAGTCTTAGTATTTTTAATCCCAAAAAAGTTCCAAAACTGACGCACAAAATTTATTTCTGAAGCAGTTAAAGATCTAGGTGTGGTTTGTCTCGTTTTTTTTCCTGCAAAGATGACCCTATACCAAATTGGACCACATTTGACGGAGTTTCCCTTCCGGGTCTTTGCTTGTTGCCTTCTTTTTTTCGCAGTTTTGTAGAGCACATATTCAAAAAAGCTGTTTTTTTGGTAGTTCTTTTTCATGCTTTTTTCAACGCAACAAGTCACTTTCGCCTTTCAACTTGGGAAAAATTGATTATATTCCTATCTATATTTCTCAGAAATATCACCAAACTTTCAGCCAGAGATGGAAGATTTTGACGCCTACAGAGCCATGTGCGCCAACCGTCTGCGACGCCTCGAGCGTTATAAGAAAGCGCGCAGCTTCTGCAACTTGGAGTTTGACGAGGGGGCAGCAGCCAAGGTGAATTTTGAAAAATTAGTTGTTCTCTATGGTCGTGATGGAAAAGAGAGGTCAGAAAAGGCAGATTGTTGCAATCCGTAGTGGGTGAGGTACTGTTGGTTGAATGCTGGCTTAATCCGAAGTTTCGAAAAAGAAAAACAACTTCCTTTTTTTGGTGCTTTAGTAGCAGAGGAAATCCAAGTTTTCAGATGGTCGACGAGCCATGCACCACGATGGCGTCGCCTTCATCGGAAGAGTCAACGACGTCATCAGAGCCGTCGACATTCGACCAAATTCGCGAGAAAATGGTTTGTTTGGTTTTGATTTCCAGACGAGTCGGTAGTTGGCGCCACTCAATAAGGAACTTGTTTGTTGAGCCGCAGGGAAGGGAAGGGGACATGCCAAGGCGACGCCGTATTTACCGGTCACTAGCGGTCGACTAATCCGGGCGTGTCGTTTTGTACCTGCGGCTTTTGTTCTGCTGCAGTGCAGGCGGAAGACAATAAAAAGCTTGGGGCGATATGTTTTGCTTCGCAATCTTTTTGGCCACTAGAGCTAGTCCCCTGGTTATCACTCCTATCAGGATATTGCCTTGCCTCATGGACTTATGGCACCGACGGCGCTCAAACGGTACAATGGCGTGTGGAAAAGATGATTACTTGAATTGTCATTCCTTTCAAGGAGTCTTTGGCCTTCGAACTTTGAACGCTCTTATTATCTTCTCTTTATCATGTTTATACCAAAAACATTATATCGGATTATACTCTCTGGTCTTGTGCTCCAAAGTTTGCGTTCCTTAAGGATTAAAACGTTTTCTCTAGAATTTAATCTATTGGAGCTAGAGAAATTTCATTCAAGACGTCTTCACGGACTGTGAACTTGGATTTTTGCCGGACAAGAAGAGTCATAACGGCGGCATTATTGAACGGAGCGCGATCGGCCAACACTCGTTCGGTTGCGCCAACCTCCTCAATCTACTTATGGTCTCAACTCAAGGCGTGTGGAGGACAAACAAACAGACATGCGTTGTGTGACGGAATTAATGCACATATCCACGCCTCAAACAGTCGAAATAGTGAGCTCCACTGTAAACAGTCCGGAAAAGCGGATGATCTGAAAACACGACTGCCAGTCTCGCGTCACATTCGCGTCACATCGATAAAGACCATGATAGTCTATTGAGTAACAATGTCGTCACTGCAACGGAATAATGGGCAAAGTATGATTCAGAAAAAGAAAAGAAGGAACGGTTCGAATGGCAGTTTTTATCGATGTTTATCGATTTCTCATTTGAAGAATGTGCGGTTTCGTTTTTAACTCAATAAAATCTAACAAAGAGGTTCTCTCGGAGAATAAAGTGAAGGATCACTATCTCTGAAATCACCTATGTATTATTTGAGAGAAAACGAGAAAAAAGGAATTTTGAGAGCGAAATATGATTTCAAGAGTTCAGCTTTTTACAGTAGCATTTTTTGAAAAGATTAAATATGGCGTACGTCAAAACTTTGAAGTTTACTCTAGCTTGGAAACAGTTTCGACTACCGTAATGACTGTAGAAATGTTTGCTCCCATTAAGCACACCTAATGAGAGTCCCTATCAATGTCTGGTCATTTGCACAAGATGTCTTTGGCTCTCACAGATATTTATGTGTGGGCCTCCCGCGGGGAGGTTTGCTCCGTCGCACTTGCACTTGTGGCAGCGACGGCGACTGGAATGTCGCGGGAATGTGATGAGACGTCTGTTTTGGGTCGGAGGACGGTTTAATTTCTTGACGGGACTTTTATGAGACGGAGATTGTTGCCGTAAACAATTGGAAGCTCTTCTTTCAGTTTTCTGGTCATAAAAAACTTCGACCGCTGATAAAGACTACGGAATCTAACCAAAAACAATTTGAAGGGAAGTCGCTGGATTTTTATAATGTTCCAAATCATCAAAATTTCTTAATGAGATAATTTATCAGTCTCGGCTTCAAGTTACGATAGATTTCTTTTTTATCTGAATTTTAAATGCTTATTTTAAAGTTATTCCTGAAAAACGTCGCAAAACGGTTCGAAACTAATTTCTGTAAGGCGTTTTTTTTAAATATTTTTTTTCTTTCACAACTGGTTTTGAACGACTTTGTGAATGTTGGCAACGCTCTGGCTTCAAGTCTACGCTTTCAAAGATTTGATAACCAGTATTTTTGGACACTGATAAGATAAGAAAGCTGTTTAAATAACCCAATGTGACTCAAGAACTCAAAAACCAGTCTATTCGGGTCAAAGTATGAGACGAAGGCCACACCAAACTTTGTTTGACGAAAAGTTCTCTTGACCCGTACCTCTTTTTTCGTTTTTATAGACCAGAAAAAAGACCATTCAAATTCTACGTTGATATTTGTCGACCTCAAAAAAAAAGAGAGACGACCTCGCGTTGCATATTTAATAGAGGGTCTGAGCGCTGGTTTCATCCGAATATCGATGGCACGAGGCAGAAACCAAAAATGATTGGCCCTCAACATTGATTGATGAAACGCGCCGGTCCGCCAAATAGCAATCATGCGCGGTTTTGTGGCCGACACGGGAGCCGCCACGGTGCAGAGCGGAGACAGCTGGTCACATAATACTGTGAATGGACAGCTGGTTGGACGCCTGCCAACAGCTCTATTTCCATATATCGCCCGGATCTAGCAATCTAAAGTTTTTTGAAAAAAGTCAGGGAATCTATGGAGCCTTGAAGCCGAGGAAGAAAGTCGAAGTGATTGAAACATGATATATTAAATCACTGTGTGAAAGGCTTTTAAATAATTATGTTAGTTCAGAGGAAATGAGGCTGGTCGCTTTCTGTGTAAAACTAATTTTTCGCAGTTGTGAAGCATTTTTTTTCTCATTGTTAGAATAAAATTCAGGAAGGAGACTTCAAATTTATATCGGAAAAAAACTAAAATTTTGCTCAAAAAGTGACTTTGTACAATCCTTGGAAGGGTGTTCAAGATTAGAAAGTTAAAGTAAAATAAAAACTTTCAAATGAGCAAGTCCACTCCAGGTGGAGAACAATTGATTTTTCCCCCAAGACCCTTTTGATCTGGACTGCCAACCAGATTTGAACAAGCTTATTGGGCTAGACGCGTTTCGAGGTTTGGATGCGACGTGACCTGTCGAGCTCGCAAGTCGGACTCGAGTCCTGCGATCCTCCTGCGATTGCGCAATACACACTCCTCAGAAGTCGTGTTTGCCTTCGACACCACCAGCGGTCGTGTCAGCTTTAACAGGTCTCGGCGAGTGGCGTCATAAAAATTGGAGACGAGTAGAGAAAAGTCGGAGCCGCCAGAAGCCGTCATCTTTTGTTTGCTTCCGCTGCCGCCCCATATACCAGCGACGTCTGCCGCTGGTCACCAGACATTTTTTTCGTCCTCTCCACTCGTTGGCCTAATCTTGGCCACGTCTAATGATACACTTCCTGTGCGGTGCCACCTGTCCTGTATCCACTCCAAATCTACCAGATGCCCAACCAAATTTTATGGAATTAGAGAAGGCTGTTGGAAAATTTGTTTGACAGGAGGCGTGCTAGAGTGACTTATTAAGATTTTTTTGTCAAAAAAACAGGAAGAAAAAGTCTTTTTAAATTTGTGATTTTGTAAATAGGCCTTTTAACTTTTTTTAACTTTTTGAAGTTTATGAGAAAAATTTTATGGAATGAAGATGTAGAAACAGGTCTCGGATGAATTTTCTTTTTTTCAAATGGACCTTGTTATTACTGGAGCAAACAAAGTCGGTAACGATACGCCGCTGAAATATAACCGTGCATGCACAGCTCAGCAGATCGAATTGCACAAAGGCTCATTCTGAACGCAAACGAAAGTGAAACCTGTCCATATTCATTACAAATCGGAAATTTATTAGGCTATTAGTTTTTAATCGAATGATTTTTTCAGTTCTCTCTCATGGAGAATGATATGAGTCTGCTGCAACAACTGCTCACCCTCGGCGACCAGATCAACGAGATGAAGAAGCACGGTCTCCGACGAACCGTCAGCACTGGCAGCATCGATTATGAGGAAGAAGAGAAAGGGGTCCGTGAATCCACTTTTTCATTGGCTCGAGCTCAGCCCCGTAACAACAGCTTACAAGGCAAAAAAAAAAAACAAAGATATTTATCAGATATTACAGTATCGAAAACTAATAAATATCAAAAAAAAAAATTGCGACGGCTGTTGATTTTCTTAGTAGGTCAGGGTTCTCGGTGTTGATTTAATTTATAGTCTTTAGGACCACTTCGACGAAGGCTTCTCGGCCTCGATGTCCGCGGTGACTACTCTTTACGTCGACGATGAGCAGCCGCAGTTCTTCTCGAGACAAAACTCCGTTCTACGTATTCCCATCCCACCGCGTAGCAGCAACCGTTTTGGACCCCGGCGGGTGGTCAGTCTTTTCAGATATAGGAAAAAATAATTTTTGCTATCAAATTATGAAGCTTTCGGCTAATACAAGGTTATAAAAGTTGATGTCTTGTTCAAAATAATTCAATTAATCTCAAAAGACCTTATTGATCGTCTTGAGGTTTTTCTAGAAAAGCAAACAAGGAAAACCCCTCAACTTGATTATTTCACGCCTGTGAAAAAATTTGAACGCCAGCTAGAAAAAAGATGAATACGAAACTTCTAGTTTTTCCCGACAATTATCCGAGTTTGCAGATCCGCCGACCGTCGGACGTCCTGCGACAGCAGCAGCCGACCGGCGTGCGTCGTTTGCACATCAACAGCGACGACACGGGATCCGACAGTTCAGATGGTGCTCAATCGCCGCAGGGCGCCGTTTCTTCCGGATCAGTCAGTTACAGCACGTCCAACGCATCCACTATTTCTATTGCCTCCGCCAAGAAGAATCGGTAAATTTTGTTCTGTCCTAAAAATCAAACTTTTTTACCAATATGTGTTTTTTTCCTCGCATTTCTCAGGGAACGCGTGTTGAGAACATACTTCAAAGCAAAATGTCAAGACTTAGTAGCGGCATTACGAGATAATTAGATAAATCTCACTTATTCAAACGTGAAGGATGCATTTTTCAGTTAAGTTATCTTTTTTTGCAGCTAAAAAAATATTTCAGCTCTTCAAATTCGAGCATCGACTCAGGAATCAGGGACGAAAATTCGCCGTCGCCTACCTTTGAACGCGAAGTCGCCTAGATCTCAATCAACTTCGATTCAAAACTAAACCCGTTTTTCTTTGATATTTAAGAGTTTTATTAGTCAGAAAAGTTAGTATACCTCAATATCGCTTGGTGCGAATCCCGCCATTAACAATACGGACCACAGTTGTTTTTTTACCTCTCTTTTCTCGAAATATTGTTTTTTGGAAGATGGCTCCAAATATCAATGCACGTATGAACCCGATAAATTACGGTACAGGTACTCTTGCTTTCCTCCTTCAAAAAGCTCTTCGTGTTCCACAAAACATTGTATTAACTACTTGATTTTTTTTCAGTCATTCGTGTCTGATTTGCCATTCCGCATTTTCTTTAAAGAGAAAATTAATAAACAGTTGAAAACGGATTCTGTCAGTTGTACTAAATTCGAATAAATGCGTGAACTATTTTTAGTTTCTGAAGAACGGTTTCATTTTTGGATAAGCAACAGCAAATTTCTCGCTAAACACACGGGGCCACCCAGTCAGACACACAAGCCTGAAGCAAACTGTTATAGTCTGTTCAGGTTTTGAACGTCAAGCAGCAAACTCTGGCCCCAACGCTCTGTTATCAATATTTTCCTTGTTATTTTCTGTGACGTTTACAAATTCGAAGATCCAAAAGCCTTTGTTTCTCAGTTCACCTGTACCTGTGAATGAATGATATATGATTAAAATCAATTTACAGAAATTGGGGACTTTTTTCTGGTTCAGAAACTTTGCAATCTTTAGCAAGTGGCCAAATTTCGAAGTTTGTCGGACGCGTGGCTGATATAGATCCTTTGTGGCCGGTCATGTGTGAGGAGCACTCTTGGTTGGATTTTCTGTAAGTTTTCAATTTTTTGTTTGAAGAGAAGAATATACAAAAAACATTCTTGGTTTTCAGACAATACATGTAATATCAAAGCGTGCAAGTCTAAAGATTGAATGTTTTCGGGTCAGAAAACTCGTCAAGTCTCTTCAAAGAATGTTAATGACGACTTTTCGCAGAAAAATAAATTGAAAAACTTACAAGACTCCACGGTTTCGGCTGAACGAGGGAAATATTCTTTTGGTGAGCCGTTCTCCCAAAATCGTTCTGCAGAAAGCCTTCCGGTAGTTCTGTGACAAGATGTTGTACAAAATCGGGTTGCATGCAGAGTTTGAGTAATAGCAGTAGCCTGAAAACCTAGTTTATTTGCAACTTGGGCAGTCACGCTAACCGGAGATATAGAAGACGAGCATGGAGACGAACTGAACGGCTTGCGAATCGGCGGCCTGGGAACCGCTGGACATGACAAAAACGGAGATGAGCCGCTGCATGTGAAACGGCAACCAGCACAGAAAGAACGACACAACCACGCTTACTGGAAAAAAGTTCCAATTCAAAATGATCTCGAGGTTCTGAATATTGAAATAATATCGGAGTTTTAGTAACTCAAAAAAGTGCGGAAGGACGGTTGTCATCGTCTTTCTTGTATCACAGGCTCTATACAATCGAAATTTTTTTACAATTTTTTTTTTACAAATACAAACTTTTTACAAATTTTGTTTCCATCCTGATTTTCACTAAGACTTTTTTGGTTTGAGTCAGGCTAACTTGGAGTTCGATCGTTACCTAGCATTTTGAAAACGTTGCGCGTGGCCCTGCTCCGCCGCTCGCTCTTCGAGTTCTTGTCGATGAGAAGCTGAGTGTCGACTTTGTGGAGTTTGACCGCGATATGGCCATAAATGACAGTGATCAAGAGCGCTGCAACAATTTTCAGCATTTTTTTTTCAAACATTTAATGGTTGATCGGACCTGGAATCATGAAAAAAGTGATGAAGGCGAAATATATTAAGCTGCGCTGTTGCTCGGGCTGATTTTGATCCATGGCGCAGAAATCAGTGCCGGCGACAGTCAGCTCATCAGTAGACACCTGAGCAGGTGGTGTTTTATTACAATTTTGTTTTGAAAAACCTGACTGGTCCACGATTGTCCCTGTGCGAATGGCGGAAGTGGCAGCCGGTTGATCCGAACGATGAAGGCCATCGGAAGTGCCGCGACAAAAGATATGCTCCATGCCGCCACGATGAGCACGTTGGCTCGAGACAAGGTCGAGAAGAGCTTCACTCGCAGTGGATAGCTGGAGAGCAGTAATATGAGTAGAATTCGATCTACTCATTAAAATTTTGTCAAAAGCAAGTCGAATTCGAGTGATTGCTTATCAGTTTCGAAAAACTAGTGAGGGATAATTGTAGGCAGCTGTTAAGGAGTTGATTTCTATTCGAGGCAATCGAAACAGCTGGGTCTTTCAAATACACAGATTGACTTCGTTTCAAAATTCAGATGGTAGTCTTTTTTTCTTAAAATGATTTTAAGAGAAACCTATCTTTTTTTGAATTTAGCAAATGAAGGAAAATTGAGTGAAGAATAGTTCAAAGAATCGATTTTCGGAGAACATACCAGATGGCAAGCCAGCGTTCAACGGAGAAGCAGCAGATGATTAAGATGGAGGCGTAGGAAGTGAACTCAACGAGGAAGGCTCGGGCCTTGCAAATCGCCACGCCGAACGTGTACGGATAGGCGAAATCCATCGCCTGGTACAGCTCCATCGGGAGACCTAAAAAGTCTCATCCGTACTTCGGAGTTCCAGAGTGGTCCCTATAGGGGTTAGGCGGAAAAACAGCTCCTAAACGGGCCGAAAAAGTGGTCCCTTCAGAGGTAAAATCAAGGTGGGCCCTATAAGGGTTCAAGTTTTGACCCCTTAGCCCCTCAAGCTTAAGTGGTCCCTGAAGGGGTCTTCCAATTTCATTTAAAAAACGCTTGTTTATTCATTTTTCGCATGGAAATGCTTCTTCGCATAGACATCATAAAATTCATCAACTAGCATGTCCCCTATAGGGTCCACTAAATAGAATCCTTAACTCCCACTTTTGCAAGATTCAGTGACCTCTATAGTGGTCGGTAAAGTGGTCCCTAGAAAGGATCCTAAATTTGACCCTGTAGGGACCACTCTGGAGATCCTAAGTAGCCTTTAGTCAGTATTTTTTACACCGAATTACTTGACGAAGTTTTCAATTGCATATAAAAATTATGATAAACTACAAATAATAACCTAAAATCAGAACCAGGATGTCGGAAATCGCCAGACTGAAGAGGTAGTAGTTAGTCGGATTGTGCATCGCCTGAGATTCCACAGCATGAAGGTTTGAAAAGTGTAGTGACTTATACCTTGTTGGCAATGATGACAATGCATGTAGAAATGTTTCCGACAATCCCTAACACGAAAATGGAAACGTAGATGAAGACGGTCGGAAAGACGATACTCAACTGAAAAGTTGATTAATTTTACGATTAACAAGCACTGACAATGACTTTTTTTTTCTTCAACTGAAATGCAAATTAGTGTAGAAATAGTCTAAAAAAATTCCGCTATGGCCTTTAAAAGTACAAAAATTTTGTACGGTCTCCAACACATTGAAAACGACTTTTCGCTTCGATTACTTCATGAAATCTTAATGCTCTTCTGGGTATTCAAGCAAGGAATTTCGAATCCACCGTAAGACTAAAAACCATTCTCATGCTACTCAAATGTCCTTGGAAACTTATTACGAAAACTATTATGAACAAACAGATGGACTGAGGAGATTATTAAGAGCAAATAAAAGCTTTCGAGAAACAATCTGCTTCCGTCTTTCATACTGAAGCTTCACTTCATGAAGTTCCTTCCTAACATCATACCGACATATATTCTAACTACTTCAAAAAAGAAACTCAAAACATCTTCTCTATCTAATAATATCTAAAGAAAAGCACTTTAGTTTAGTGGTCATTTTGGACTATCGCTGGAGCGCAGATACAATTAATCTGAATATTATTGAAAGAAGGATACATTTTAAAAAACAAGAGAAAAGAATATTACAGATTGGCATCGATTTCCAAGGGCCGCGTGCACGTACTCAGTGATGTTCTCGTTGACATAGGCGATCGTGCACTCGCCAGAAGTCATCTCAAATCGGGAAAATTATTACTGTGTAGTGAAATAATAAAATGGGGAAGAGCAAGGATGTACCGGGAAAAACAAAAAAGCAGTTTTGAGAAACTCGGAGAAAAAATCGCTGCGCTTTGCAAAGAAATATAAATATCGTGACCACATATTAAAATTACCCAAGTTTGAACGCTTATGGTCGCACGTTGAGAAGCTCGACCAGGCATCTTTTTGATATTTTGCAGAATGTTTTTCATCTTTTATTTTTGTTCTGTCGAATACTTGTAAATGAAAAACATGCTAATTAAGGTATTTTAACGAACTGTAAACAAATGACGCATGAAGCAACTTTCACGAACTTGAAAGTCGAAAATCAATGATTGAAACGAGCAACATTATAATGGAATCGAAATTCAAGAAAGAATCTTTGGAAATCTAATAAGGCTCGACCTTTGTGCAGCCGGGATCTCATTTGCAGTTCTTTCCTCTCAAAAGCACGCTTCCACGAGGAAGTCACGCTTATTTGTTTTACAATTGCCCACTAGGCATCATTTTTTTGTGTCCCCCTGTTGAACTGTTGATGAAATGAACTTTGCTGGAGTGCCCTTTCGGACCTACTGATTCCATAAAAAAAAAGAAAACAATTCCTGGCAATAGATCTTTTTTCTTGTTTTGGAGTCACGTCCTGAAATCGACTTAAGACAAAGTTCAACCGGGGCTAAAAAAAACGTTTCCTAGTCAGGCTGCAAAAAACAACTTTGAAACGAGAAACCAACGACTAGAGAAGACTCTTCAGCCCATCCCTCATTTTTGTTTGGCAAAAATAGCAACTACAACTCAGCTTCAGTCAATGACTCGATGCGTTGGGACTGTAGGAAAACTATCTTTACTCAAATAGTTTTATTCAGGAACCTCAGTAAATGAATAAACGTTTTTGCAAGAGGAAGCCGTCGAGAAGTCAGCTAACGTGATGAAATATTCAAACAACGGCATCTTTTTCTCTTCAACTTTTAAATGATGGAAAGCCTTGCCAAAAAAATCTTTTCAGACCAAATCAACTCAAATAAAAAATATGAATAGTTCAGCGAAGGACATAGCTCAGCTGGTAAAACTCATTTCTAACGCCCGCAAGGTCGTAGGCTCGAGTCCCCCCAAGGTCGACCAAGCCTTTCATCCCTCCGGGATAGATAAAATTGGGAGCTGCATGCAGCGAAAAGGCTCAATCTCTGCCATCGGCCTTTGGAAAGCCGGCACCGTACTTCTTCCTACGACCTCTCTTGTACCTGATGTTCTACGAGCGAAATTCACAACTTCTCTGCCTAAGCCACAGCTCCTGCCGCCGTTTAAACACAGTTAAAATCAATGAAAGTCGATTACACATGTATTGTTACATTGAAGATGCAATAAACAAAACAGAGAAGGACAAGAACATTTTTTTGAGCCAAAGGCACAACAAAAAAGTAGAACTCATTGAAATTAAGTATAAGTCTTTTTCAAAAATTGCTGGAGTGTTTGAAAGCGCTTAAAGAAAGTTCTACGAAAGTCTGGAGGCCAAGAGTCATTCCAATTGTCACTTTTTTTTTCGTTCTAAAATACTAAGGACTTCCGAGGAGAAAAAAGTACAGAGATATTCGAAATTCAAATTTAAAAATCTTCCATAAAAGAGATGATCAAGTGGGGAAGAGTTCAGAGCCGAATTGGAACTTCAGACAGAAAAGCAACCAGGAACGATCTTTGATGGAGTGAAAACCAACGAAAAAAAGTTATGATAAAAAAGAAAGAGACGAAGTCCCTTCGGGTTTTGTTCCATTCATTATTTTGTCTGCTCGTCATATTGTTATCAACTTTTACATCAAAAATAAAAAGCAGAAATCAGTACGTCGTGAAAGGAAGTCGGTCGCTAGAAAGGAAAAGAAACAGAGTGAAGAACAGGCAAGGAATTCGAGAAAAAAACGAAGCGATTGAATATTTCTTGCGAATTATTTTATTTTGATGACTCTCTTTTTAAAGTACGCGTCAACCGGAAATTTGACAGGTTGATTGATTTCTTAATTCCACCTCATTACCATATCTGTTGATAAACACATTGCAATGTTACAGCTGTGAACTATATTATGGATAGAAAACTTTGGCATCGGAGGTTAAGAAAGTCGAATTTCATCCTAGACGCTGTTAGAAAGGCGGCGCTATCGAACAAGGAAACAAAGGGAGAAGTTCTGTGTCGTAGATGCCTAACAAAGCGGCTTTCCGTCGGATTTTGTGCAAAGCACAGTCGAGGATGCGGATTTGCCATCATCTTCTGCGCTTTTCTTTTTTTTCCTTCGGTGGAAGCCGTTGCAACGTTCGGCTGAAATGAGTTCTCGTTTCCCGTGTGCAACGTCCGTTTCCGAAATTTTTCTCGCCCCAGGCAACGAAAATGGATATCCAAGCATTTTACGATGTCCATAAGCTTTTTCGAGGTTTTGTATGAGTCCGAGAGGTTTTTTTGAAGTCTTTTAGACTTGACAAAAAACAAGAGATTCTCGAAAATTTTGAAACGTAACGACAAATTTTTTTAACCTTTCAGATTTTTTTCCTATTCAAAAAACACCCTTTGATAGATTTCTTCGAGAAGGAACAGAAAAGAGTTACGCCTTTTTAAAAAAATATAAAGAAGGCGATTTTTCAGTTTGAAGTGCTTGCAAAATTTTTTTCGCACTGGAACTTTGACTCAAATAGTGGATTTTTTTCTGAAACTACTGCTTATGGAAACTTATAGAAATGAAAAAAACATTAATATGCTCAAAAAAACACCTTTTTATTTTTTTTTCATACGTTTGATTTCCTTTTTTGAAAATAATTTACTTTTCGGTAAAAAAGGAATGAAAGGGGACTTAGAAATACGAATACTCGGTAATTGACTTTTAATTGACGTTTACTTCCTTCAAACCGACCCCAAAACCTATGAATACCTATGAAGTTCGCATAGAAAAACAAAGAAAAGCTGAAAAACAAAACAAGCCTCAAAGAGACTACGAGGACATTTCTTTCAAATTCTAAATTCAACTTTATAATTCACAGTAATCAGATTTGGGCTTCCAGACCAAATTTCAAAGCAAATTCAATATTAATTTGCCAATTAGTACACCCTAGTGAATGGAACCTCAGACTAGCTAAAATACTATCCCTATTCAAAATTCTTCCTATTTTTTCTTTTTTGACAAAAAGCTTTGGAGCATCATGTTGCTATTTTATAGTGTTATTTCCTTTCATATTCGCGGATATGAAAAGAAGATTCTGGGAATGCAATTTTGTTTTTGAATTAGCTTTTTCCTTTTTTGTTTTCTTGCCGCTCCACTGAAGATAAAAGCGTGAACAATGGGTTTCAGGCAAAAGTAAGCGTCACAAGTAGTTGGAAATTCATTAGAATCCTTATAATTCAATGACCCGCATGGATGAATCCAACCTTCATCGAATATTACGGTGAGAAATCGGCGAGGCGCTGAGGAAAGAAAATGTTGAATTATTTAAATGGCACCAATATTGATAAAAATTTCAAAGTGCGGCTAGAAGAATATTTAAACAGGAGTTTATACAAAATCGAATCCAAAAAAAGTTGCTAGGCTCTGTGATTTAAAGTTTTTTTCCCGTAAAAACGTTACACTTCATAAATTTTTTCTCGAAACGGAAAGTCTCAGCGATCAGACTAAAAACAACTTGGAGGTCTAAACATCTTCTAAGCACTACAAAGAAACTAAAAACTCGACGAAAGGCGGTGAAAAGAAGTTTTCAACTCATAAAAGTGATAAAAAATAGCCTCGAAAAATATTTCATAAAATTAACAGAGTCTCAACTCAGCTTCACTAAGCAGCCAAAGATTGATAGAGATGAAATCGGTCAAAATAACTTTCCGGCTAAAAAAAAAAACAACAAATAAACCTCAAAGAGGCTCTGCCGAGAAAATTGAAGAATGAAAATGGGACACGCCCCGGCGGATCTTCGGCACTAATTTTCCGTGAAAGCCTGAAAATTCCCAGATCTTCCCCTTGAAATCGTCGGTGCATCAACGCGCATGTTTTTTGGGAAAGATCGCGAATTAATCTGGAGGGAATATTCGAGTAGTTCATCAGGCTCTCGATAAGGTGGGAAAATTGGAAATTGAAGACAAGCGTCTTCTTTTTTCTCGTCACATTTGTCGTAACACGGGTGAGGGCTTAAAAGAACATTGGCCTCGAATTGAATGGGTAACCAAAAGCTTGGTTTGGTGTTTCGAGATGATGAGGGATCCTGAGAACTATCGTCATCTTCAAGAACTGGCTTATAAGAAAGAAGAGTATTGAGTTTTGCTTGAATGAAGGGATAAAAACTTTCAGCTTTGATTTTGTTACTTTTGACTGGCATGATTTTTAAAATCTCATTCGGCACGACTTGGAACAAAATTTTTCGTCTGCAAACTAATGTTGACGTTATGTCACAAAAGCGCATAGCCCGGCACAGGTTACCGTATAGATTTCTGATAATTCTTCTTCTCGAAAAATCCTGTTCACCAGAGTCCTGATAGAGCATTAATTATGGCTTGGTATTATACGGTACGGTATACGGTGTTCTCACTTCAAGAAGTGAGAACACTGAGAACACTTCTTGAAGTGCGCCCGTACTAGAAATTTTGTCTAAATTAGCTTCTCTCCAATTTTTAAAATAATAACTCTAAGAAAATTTCAAAACTGTATAGATTTTCATCAAGCCAAGATTGCGAAAATGCGAAATTAGAGTTTATGAATAAGGGTGGCACTTTGAACTTCTTGCCGACCGACCAATCTTCTGCACGAAGAAACCAAAAAGCGCGCCAAGCCTAATTGGCTGCCAATTTGGCGAATAAACATCGCACGGCGGTGGTCAACTTTTTTTTTTTGATTTTACGAAAACCCGAAAAAAATAATACAGCTCAAACCAATAGTTTGACTATTTTGCAAGAAGTTGTATGTAGAATGACGCTTTGGGTGTACTTCAAGATTTTCAATTCTTTTTCATAAAATGATGTCGGATTGCGTAAGTGCTTTTGTGTTCTGAGCAATCTCACAGTAAAATTTCGAAAACGCTATTTAGATGGATTGCTCTCTGGCTGTTTTATCGCGCCATTAGAAGCGGAGCTTGACCTTCAAAATCTGAAAAGACTATAAATGATTCAAAATCGACTGATGTGAACTAAAATGCAATAGTGAGGTGACTGCGAGAAATTGAGCCATTCTACGTGCGACCGCGCTTCAAGCGAGAGAAAATTAAGATTGGGAAAAATTGAAATTAATAGAACATGTGTTCAAGCAGAGAGGACTACTCAGCTTCCGCCAAACTTGTTTTTAGATTCAAAAAAAAGACCACTAATTAAATATAATTTTAATCCTGGTCGGCTGTAGGGAAATCTAAGACTTTTAAGAAGATCTGAATTGAATGAAAATTCATGAAAGTTGACTATGACGCTGCATATGAAAAACTTAATACTTAATTAATTCGATGAAATAAGATTCCCGATTTTCTTCATTCATTCAAATTATATGGAAACAAGGTTCATTCCCATTGACTATTTTTGAATAGAAAAAAATTGAAAAATTTAAATTAAAAAAATTCAGACACATAATAGTTCAAAAAAATATTTTTTTGTTCTTCAAAAATTTTTTTCAAAAAGATGATCTTTTTGTTTTAATTCTTTATCAACTATGCTTCTTTGACTTCGTTCCATGCATTTCATGTTTTACACCTCCCCCGTTTCCATAGATACGCGAAAATCCCTTCAGGTTCAATTCGAAAGCGAATTGAAACCTGATTCTTAAAAAATAAATCTTTTATTTTTTATAAATGTCTCTTACGATTAATGAGTTCCGCCGGATTGCGCAATCCGTTTGCGATATCGACGTCGGGCTCGACCGCCCGTTAGCTTACCAGGTGAGCTCCTGGAACAAGTTATAAATCATGTTTTTTTATTACGTTATTATATTAACTTAATAGTCTATCCCTTTTATAATTAAAAAAAAATTCAGGTGATAAGTTGCTGTGGGAAAACTGTTCTGCAATCTCATTTGGCGTCGTTTTGGCCCGAAGGTTGCGGTAAGTTTTCAAAATTGAACCAACAACCGCAAAAAAATGTCTAAACCAATAAAAAAAAACTTCCTTGGCGAATTCAAACACCACAACAAGAAAATTCAAAAGGACAAGGAAAATCTAACTTATGAATGGTTTTAAGAATTGATAAGCCTCGAAAATGCTTTCGATATCTACCTGCAACTTGAAGACTTACAAATCGCCGAAAAATGAGCTCCGGGCCATTTTTTTCACACTCGCCTCACTGTAGAGCAAGTTCTTGAAGCAATTGTATAATCTTGAAAATTAAAAAAAAATAATTATAAATTTACAGCCGGAAGAAGGTGTTATCAACGCGGAACGATTAGCAGACATCCTACGACAATACGAAGTCGACGGCTTCATCGATCTTGAAAATGTAAGCTTTTGAGAAAAAATTGTTCGATCAGTTGCAAGAGCAATTTTCGGACCCGAGTTAAAAAAATTCAAAAAAAGATGGAAAAACTGATTGAGTGTAAATCAGTCATATTTTTTTCTAAAAAAATTTTTTTAAAAAGCAAGTCTGAACCATTCAAGATTTTTTGGTTAACGCGGTGATTGTTTTCTTTTTTTCACTTCAATACGGCACCTGACAAAAACATAACCTTCTTTTTCAGTTATTTCATTCATCACTCAGGAACCATAAATTTAAAAAATAAATAAAATTTAGTTTGTCCGCGACACTCGCGTTATACGAGATGAAACGATAAATCGATTATTAGGCTTTGAAGGTTTTATTTTGAATGAAACGAAGAGAAAACAATTTGAAACAAAGATGAGCCAGACGACCTCGAGGAAAATGATTCTGAGCTTGCAACAGAAGGTGAAAACTCCACAGACCTCATCAGCAACTTCCAAGTACCAGTGGTTAGTTTTCAAGTCCCTTTCTCAATGGCGACAATTTTTTCAAATAAAATCTACCAATGCTAATTCTAAAAAAAAAGCTCAAGCTTCCATCATTTTTGATCGGAAAGCGTTCTCGCCGGTCTAATCAAGAATTTTGCGCTGAAATATTTTTCAGCCATGTTTTTTTTAATTATTGTAATCAGGAAAAAAAAGATTAAAAAAGAAAAAATAATAATAAACATACAGTAGCGAAAAGGGGTGAGCATTCTTTGGTTTTTCGTCCGTAACTTTATCAAAAAATAATCATTTTAACCTGAAATTTCAACCATTTAAGTAACATGATGTTTTTTTTAAATTTTCATCACAATCGCAAAAAAAAGATAAACAAATAACAAATCAACAAAGCCAGTAAACCGCCATAATTGACTTCCAATTCAAAAAATTAAGCAATTAGATCTAATACTTCTTAGAAATTTGAGTGTTCCCTACAGTGGTTAGGGGGAAAAACCCATACAGGAGCCGAAATAGTGGTCCCTATAAGGGTGAAATCAAGATGGTCTCTACAGGGGTTTAGGGTCTGACCAGGCTTGCGCGTCAAGCCAGGCGGCCCGGGCTTTGAAAAAAATCTTGAATTTCCTTTTAAAAAAAGTTCACCGAAAAATTATTTTTACTTGTTGAATCCTAGTTTCTAATAACTTTATAAAGAAAAATAATTAAAAAATCCCATTTTCTCGTTAAAAAAGCGAAAAATTCGAAAAGAAAAAAATTTGAACTTTTTTGGCCGGGCCGGCCATTTTTGCTTGAGGCCCTTCTAAGGCCGGGGGGCGAGAGGTTAATGGGCCGGCCCTCGCACAAGGTTGGCTCTGACCCCCGAGCCCCTACTGATTAAGAGTTACCTGTAAGGGTCTTTCAATTTTATTAAAAAAAAACGCTTATTAATTTATTTTTAGCATAAAAACGCTTCTTCCCATAGAGTTCATAAAAAAATGTCGACTAGCATGTCCCCGATAGGGACCACTTGGGAGTTCCTAAGTTAGAAGGATTTGATAAAAGCCTTGCATCTTCGGGGCATCGACTCGATAAGTGTGTCCAACACGCTCATTGATATTTTCTTCTTCAATTTTTTTTAAATCTCAGGTCAAAATAATAGTTTTTTTTTTGCAAAGCTATGAACGAAAAACCAAAAAAAGTTTTCCCCCATTTTCGCTACTGTATATATACTCTTTAATCTTTTGAGACATCTGTCCGCGGTTTTCTGGCAATTTCACCGTCGCTTTTTGCCATAAGATTCAATGCGGAAGTCGAAACGCCTTCTGAGTGCGAAATAGTTCTCTCAATGACAAACAACTGTAAGTTTCCGAGCATTTCGGTATTCAAACTAACGATGATCTCTCAGCCGATGTACCAGCTGGTCAATTCGACAACGACCTTTTCGTCGTGATTTACAGACAACAATCTGTGGTCGGCATTACGCAATTTGTACTGAAAAATGTTTGTTCATCGATAGTTTTTTTCACGTAACTTCATAAAAATTCAAGAAGCGATACAGCACCGGGGTGATTAAGCTGGAAAAGGACGATGAGCTTATGACGATCGGCATGGGAACCTCGTACTCTCGCCGTAAAGCGACTGGGGAACGCGAGGTCCTGCTCACTCCTGACGGCCGGCTCAGCAAGCGATTCCGGCAAGTTTGAGGAGTTCGACCAATTGCAGGTCCCTTTCCAGAGTCACTCTTATGAACATCTTCGAGGACTTCGACATCGATATGGACGGCTTGCTCAATAGGAAAGAGCACGACTTTTATACGATTGCTACAGGCGACGTTGCCCTGAATGACGAAGTGAGAAACTCGAATAATACTGTCCCTTCAAAGAACGCTGTGAAAAAAAACTTTCTGGAAATGGGATGAGTTGCAGGAATGGTCGTTGGTTACATCACAGTTCAATTCGAGGGACGGATGCCTGACCCTAGACGGTTTTCTCAAGATGCACCAGCTCGAGGCGACTTCTGGAGACGAGCACGTCATCGAGGATATGTGGACTTCATTGCATCGGCTCGGCTACGACAGCGGTCTGCAGTCAATATATGTAAGATTCGACTTTATCAAGAAGTCGCGATGAATTCAAAAAGTTGCTATTTCGACAGCGCCTAAAACGATTTCTGCGTCGATTCAACCATGATTTAGTAATGATTTTTCAAGAAAACTTCCGAGATTTTATTATGAATTCTTCAGGGCTGTTCCTTTAACATTGAAGTTTTCTCTCAAGCACAAAACGTCTCACTGATTCCTGAACTACACTTTGTAACGCGTGAAGATCGCACTTTGTACGTTGACAATTTCATTATAAATAATTTTCGAAAACAATCTAGCATTCTGCAAAAACTGTACGATTTGGGAGTTGAAGAACAGACTTGCGATTTGCGACCTCGAATCTTTCGCACAGAATACTTTGGACTGCTCATTGCACACAAAAATCCGGTAAGATCGTCGACTAAATTGGAACCTGTTAAACCCAGAGGAATATTATTTTTCTAGGACCTGTTGGGTAGACGTTATCGACTTTCGATTGAAGAAGACCGTAACGTTCGCTGGAATTTCGTTAGTGGTCGCGATGTGATTCACATGGAGGACTCAGACAGCGAATGGGTGTTTCTTTCAAAATTTACTACAAAAAAACTCTTATGAAACATGCGCTGGTGTACGAGAACCATACGCTGATAAAACATAAGGAAAAGCATTTGGCGGTATTAATTCGCACTTATTTATCTTTCATATGTTCTGCAGGTTCTCATCGTCTCCTACACGGTAATGGACGAAGACTACGCGGCGACGTTCAGTTTGATCGAGAACTGACAGCTTGGATGAAAATTTGAATAAAAATCTTTATATGGACATCTTATAAGTTGCTCTTTACAATTATTAAACATTGGGCGGGGCCGTCGTAAACTTAACCTCGCCCTCGGCTATCATCTCCTGCAGCTCCAACTCCCAATCGAGTAGTTCGGCGAGAGCTTTGACTCCTTCGTCGCAGGTCCCTTTCCAGAAAACGTCTCTGAAATTTAACAAAAAACGGTTCGCTCGAGTGCTATGTATTCTTTTAGACCTCATATTGTCTTTTCGGGCATAGCAAAGACCCGTTGAGGAAGCTCCAGCAGGCGAGTCGCCGCCGACGTCTTCTAGATTGATCAACAGACGCGGGACGTCATCAGCCACCTTGATACATTTTGAGATTCGATCATATTTTTCCAGAACGTCAAAAACTTCATGAACGAGAGCGGCAAACGGCTGGACAACGAGAGAAGTTCCCATAATTATTAATAAATCACATTTGGGGAAGTCCTGACAACTTGAACTAATGTAAAATTCATATTATAAGAAAACAACCTCAAAAGAACAAGTCATAAAACGGCGAGGAAGAGCTTCACCAAAAAATATGATATCAGGTTTGACGACTCCTCTACATGATTCCGTGTCACAGTGCGGCACAAGCGTATTGGGATCGAAGATTTTTTCTTGAAACAATTTTTTTTGGGGATATCTTTCATAAGAAATATACTCCATTCATTTATGAGTTCTTGCAAAACTTTACTTGGAAATTTTCCTCGAAGTTTAGGCTTCAATAAAACTTACAGATTTTTCATATGTACAAACAGGAAAGCCTGAGATTATGCCATAGTGAAAGTGTTTTCGCGAAATTCAAATCTGTATCTGGCTCTTCAAAATAAGTTATCGATTCTTATCTCTGATGAATATTTTTAATTTCGCAGAATCACGAACGCCGTTTTAAATCTGGAAAAAAAATCCCTACGACCTTCCTTGTGCTACGGCTACGTTCCAAGTGAAAGACGGAGGAAGATGAATATTAATAAGTCCAAAGGATTTTGAAAAAAAAAGAAGTTAAAATTAGCTTTATAAATCACAAATCTTAAATTCGGCGGCTTTTCCGTAAAATGGATTCAGATGAGCCAGACTAACCAGTCATCCACTTTCGGTCGTACTTTTTGCCACAGGAACGGCACGTGCTCGTGAGGTGCGAACCGTGCGCCGTCACGACTTTTTCCTCTGGCATTCCCGCGAGGAACTCGAGTGCGTCAATATTCTGCAAGAGAAAAACGGAGCTTTTTGGAGCCAGGGCAAAGATTTCAACGCAACCTGTGTGTACCATCGTTTGAGGATTCCCTTCTTTTCCAGTAGCTTAACGAAATAATGAGCTGGTGTCGGCTGCAAATTCCACCCTTTTACTGTTTGAGGACTCCCTACAGACTTAATGATAGGATAGAGATACACAACTACTTTCTTTCAGCTTTTTCAAAGTTCTTCTTCAAACTTTTGTCAAATTCAACACAACAGTTCTGAAAGCTCAAGCTAAAACTTGAACGCGTTTTAATATTTTTCCATCTTGAACTTCTCAGCTTAGAACTTAAAAATGCTCGAGAAAGGTGTTGGATACAATTCATGATCATTGGCTCCTAGGAACTTCTGCATTCTGCAAAGATTAAAACCTTGCACTTGCAAATTTATCTTTTTTGAGGAGCTTACCTTGACATTTTTTGGGAACAACGTCTTGGCGAACCGGAAAAAAGGCTCTGGGTGAGATTCGAAGTAGGAAATATCAAAAATCGCTTGTGGATGTGGCAGATTATACTCTTGTAAACAGCTGTATACTCCCGCTAAAAATTGCAATTAAATAACAAAAAAAAATTGATTCAGAAACGAACTGGAACTGCGGAAGTCTGGGATGCCGGCTGATGTAGAAGTCCCTGCGCCGGTCATCACAATCACATTTTTCGGTTTGCATTCTTTTATATAGTTAGCAACACCTTTTAAGCTGAGCTCGGATAGTTTCGAAAGTGTGCTTGGCTTTTCTGAACCATCACTGTCTTCATTTCGAATTTTCAGTGGAAGCAAACCTCCATAAACTACGGTGTTGAGGGCGTTTTCAAAGGACTGCACAAACTTGCTGTAGATGTTGGACACTTTTTCACGATTGAACATTGGAGAGCTTTCACTTTGTTGACTCTCTGATTTCTCTTTCTTTTCAGCCGAATCCGGCATGCCAGGTCTAATTTTTTTGATAAACACACAAACCACTTGGAGAACGAAATAAAGAGAATAATTGTAAACCTGCAAAATCTAAAACTACGAGCAAAACATCGTCTTTGTAAGATTGCTTTGACCATTTTCATATTTAAATGATAAGTTCTAGGTCGATAACAAAAATGAACGTGAGACGAAACATTTAAAATTATTATGCCGTGTTCAAAGTAATTTCGGCGGAATTACCTGTGACTCTCCAAAATTCAGTTATTTTTTTCGCTCTCTGAGGGCTATTCTGAATTTTGCGCAACCACTTTAAACAAGGCATTTTGATAATATTTCAAAGAAGTTTTCTTCTGAACTTTGTGGCGCGTTCAAAGTTATTTTAGCTATGAAAAATGAAAATTTTTTTTGGTATTTCCTTAGTTTGCGACTTCAGTTTGCTCAAATTGTTATATACTGAAACATCGCGATGAGAAACGATCGATGGATACATGGAAAAATACTCGGACATTGGTAACGCGAAACGGACGTGCTCCGGACGTTTCTGGGCGATTCTAGGGATCACTTAAGAATTTTGAGGCTACTAAAGTAGTCACTAGAAATGCCCCTACACGTCCGATTCGCGTCCCGTTCGCGTTACCAAGGTCCGAGTAGTTTCATTCAACCTTTTAATGGGTTCGAAAAGCTCAAAAAAGTAGTAACGATCCGCACGCGCTGTCAATATATGTCAGTATTAATACCAGAGCACTTAGAAAATTCAGAAGTTCGTGGAACTTCTAAGAAACTAGTCTATATATCTTAAAATTAAAATTTCACAAAAGCGATCTCTCGACCCTGGAGGGCCTTCTAAAAAGCGTTCGATGGAGCGCCCTTGGTTTCTGTTTGTTGCGGAAATGAGGAATATTCTCGACGCCGCCCCTCGTCGTTCGATTTTGACACTTCGGCTGTTTCTCTCTGCCCTATTTCTCTCCGTTTCTCGCACGTGGTTCTTTGTTCTAACCAAGATTTTTAGTGCATTACACGGTCGGTTCATGAACAAAACCAGTTTTAAGCTTTTCCCATCTCTCCTCTTTACGATTTTGGCCAATGGTCACTTTTCGTTTCAATGAATGCGTTCACTAACTTTCACGATGAACTTGTTTCTGGCTTTATCGATTTTTGCAGATATTTGTCAAAAAAAATCTTTTTCCGCTGATAACGGCCTTTTCTACCTTCTACGTTGATTTAATTGTTAGAAATTTTTCATATATATTTTATTTCCCGACATGAAAAAACAAATTTTTACATGTATTCAAAAATATTTCTTTTAATAGATACTCCAGGATGCCCAGAAGAAGTTGAGTAGGAAAAATTTAAGAAATCATCTCATTTTTTTTTTTGTGACTTTGTTCGTTTTTAAACCTTGCAGATTATTTCATACGTTAAACAGCTTTCATTTTAGAAACGGAACTAGATCACAACTACTTTTGAATTATGTTTAACGGAGACCCCTTTCGCGCTATGAAGTAGGTTTTCAAATAGAAGAAAAAAAGTTTTTCAATTCTAGGTTTTTTTTTGGTTTTTCCAACAGCGAAATTTTCGCTTTTCATATTGCTAGAGAGGGAACTTTCCGAACACTAAATTTCACGCGAATCTTTCCTACTTCCTTTTTGGTAACTCTCGTAAAAGTTAGATAGAAAGATGATAATGAGGAAAAGGTATGAAACCGAAAAAATAAAATGGGTAAAATTCGGAAAAGAGTTTATCTTAGGTGAAACGTTAAAGTTTCTTTTGAAGATCGTTAGAAGAAGCTGAAAATGTTCCGTTGAAATTTTTTGATTGATATTTTTACCATTTTGGCCGGCGTCGGAAAGCTCCTTAGCGATGTAAAAAAAAAGCGGGAAAGACTCGACTTTGGAAATTCCTAATTTTTCATTCTTATCATCTGAAATTTACAAAAAAAAGAATAAAAGTTTCAGTCAAATGCACCGGCAAATGATGGAAGACATGGATATGATGATGGGAGGAATGATCGGTGGAAATCCTTTTGGGGGGCTCATGGGCGGAATGGGAAGATCTCCTTTCTCCGCTATAACCGATGGAAGTGGAATGGTTGGTTTGAATACAGTTACTTTCAAAACTGAAGCAAAAGCTCAAAAATCAAATAACGTCCCACCAAGCTAAAGTATTTTCCTGAGTCATTATTCATAATCAAATTTTTGTGTTTTATTTTGTTGAGCCAGTTTTTTTTTTCTGATATTATCATTTCTATCTATTCCCAGTTCTGTAATGTTGCAATTCGAAAATTCAGATACCAACTCCACGACATCAGCAAGTCGCACGCGATCCCTTTGGTGGCTTCGGTGGCATTTTTTGTGCCATGGTAATTTGTTTGATCAAAACGAAATGCTCATTTCGATACAGAACCAATTGTCGCAAAATGCGATGAGCGATCCAAACACGATGGTTTTCTCTCAGTCGACAATGATGACGTTTGGTCCTGACGGAAAGCCGCACCTCGTCGAAAAATCCGTTCGCAAAACCGGCGATGTTAGAGAAACTCGGAGGTTTCCGAATGAAAAAAGAAATATACATTTTTACTTTTTTTGTAGAAAGGAATTGAGAGGAGACGAATCTTCAATGTCCATCGGTCATAGCATTGGAGATCGAAGTCACGTTATCGAAAAGAAGCGAGACAAAGACGGAAACGTCCGGAAACAGCAGAAATTTGTCAACTTGGATGAAGGTTTATATTTATTTCCAACTTATGACTTCAAGTTTCTTAAGAAACAACCTCATAGCCGTGCCTCAAAAGTTGGGCACTAATTGAAATTTCTGTGAATTCCATATTTGGGTGTGGTTCGACGCTAGTCTTTTGTTGTCAGTGTCAGGCGTTTCTCTGCCATTCTTTACAGTTTTGTTTGAACTCTCAATTCTTCTACGGCCAAAAGAGTTATATGCTAACAAAGACAAGTTTTTCGCAACTAATGAAAATAAGGTGGTATGAAAAAAGAAAATCGCGATTTTGCGAACGGCGACTTTTCCGATTTTTTATATAGATTAGTCGGAAAGCTCCCTAGCTATATGAAAAAAATCGGGAAAGTCGCCGTTCGAAAATTCTCTGGTCTTTTTCCCACCACTGAAAAATAGTTCTTTTTTTTAATAAGTAATTTTCGATTTTTTTACAGAATAGTTTTATTTTTAAAGTTCTCTTCATTCGAAATGAAAAAGTACATATGAATCAAAAAAAATTGTTAAAAGACAGTGAAACCGTTTAATGATAATTTTCAGCGTCCGCGGAAGACTTCGATCGAGAATTCACTTCACGCGTCCGCTCTAACTTGGGGGGTTCGTCCTCGAGGAATCACAGGTTAGTCAGACCGCTAGTGGAAGTTATATCTTTTGAAAAAAAAAATCGAATAAATCAAGTTTTTTAAAGAATCAATAACAATTTTTCAAATGATTGAACGGCGCAGAAGGATACTCAAAAATATTCAATCATATGATTTTCAAAATATATAGTTTTTTTGTTCTAAAAAATATTCATCAAGAAAGAGAAATTGAATTTCTTCCTAGATTCCTCTTACTGTTGCATAATTTGTTTTTTTAAATCTAGAAAGAGCCCAACTTTGCAGATAAACGTCATTTCTATTGGACGCGTTTTTGGTTAAATAAAATATTCATGTTAGTTTGCCTGAGAAGTCATTCATAGTTTTTTCTTCGAATAAAAACAAGACCAGAATATTGTCCTGTGGGAAATTTTATAACTTGCTCAAAAATGCTAGAAATAGTTTTAAAAAGTGAAAAAAAGAGGCTAATAGCACTATGAAAATAGAAAGTTTTTTCTTTCAAAGATCAAAAATAGAAGAGAGCATTTCCTCCCGTTCTACACCAATGGCTCAAATTCAGAATGAATCTGAATTCCTTACAATAGTGTTTCCAATTACAGTAGACGTTTTCCTAACATCGGCGCTCTTTTTTGAATTGAGTAAATTTGATAAACAACGGACTTACACTAGTCCGGTAAAACTAACCTCATTTTAGCTATTTTTTTAATATTCCATCATTTTTTTAGCGGCCAGCGATACTTGGAAAGTGGCGGAAGTCGGCCTAGTGGTAGCCGGAATCGCTCCGCGGCAACATCCTCCTCCCACGCCCCGATCATCACTTTGCCAGAGGAGGATGATGAAGACGAGTGAGTTACAAAAATTGATAGTAAACTTGGAATTATACCTTCAGAACTACCAAAATTGGGAACTTCGTCTCTAAATCTTTTCCAGAGTTTAAATTTCAAAGGGCTCATGAATATTTCGTTTTAAAATATTTCAGCCATTTTTTGATTAGTGACTTTCAGTCTCTTATAAGGCTCATAATTGTTGGATCAAGTCAGCTTAGGCTATATTTTTTTCGGGAGGGGAATTCATTGTGAAATATCTTATCATGACAGAAAACCGAATTTGGAATAAACGAATAATGTTATTTTTAGGACGAAGAGATCTCGTCGCGGTGGAAATCAGATCGAAGGGCCGGTGATCCGCGAGATCAGCGAAGAGGAAGCCGAACAGTCGATTCCCAAAAGACGCCGTGGTCCCCTTGGTGCCTTTTTCGCAGAGTGAGCCGATTTTGTCGAAAATGCCACAAAAATGTACCAAAATCTTCATTCTCAATCATTTTTTCTCTCTTTCTTTTCTATTCTTATGGACATGGCCGGGAACAAGAGGTAGTTCCGTTCCGCTTTATGTCTTATTCAAAGTGATTCCGCGAAGTTCAAAATAGCCGTCAAAGAATGAAAAAGATGAATGAATTTTGGAGAGTCAGAGATAATTTTTAATTTTGCGGAAATTACTTTGTAAACGGCAATAACTTCCTGGTTTCTTGCCCAGATTTTCCCTTCTTTCTCGAAGAGGCGTTAAAATCCGTATAATATATTATTATCGGATGATTTTAAATAGTTTTGATTTAGCATTGTACCTATCTCTTCCTGTGATGGCTTGTATAAACTTTCAGCGATGATAAATGATAAGGAAAACATATATGAAAACAACGAAAAAACAACAATAACAATTTTAACAATAAAAATATGAGATTTCATGATTCTTCGTCGCTCCAAGCGCTGAGGTCGGCGAATGTGTCGGCAATCGAGGCGTCTGCTTTTTTGGCTGCCGGCGTCGCTTTCTTTCTTTTTTTTGGAGCGCCAATTACTTCTTCCTACAATCGAACGATTGCATAAATCTAACTGATACTGAACCTCTTTTTCCATTTCTTTCTTGTTTGCGTTTTCAACGGCCTTGCGCTTCTTGGCGTTTTTCTTTTCGTCAACTTTGCTCTCAGCTTGGCTGCTCTTAAAATTATTCATTTTTTTCTGTAAACTGAAAATTCTATCATGAAAGTTTACTTGAGTGAGAGCTTGGTGCTTCATCTTCCACACATGTTCCCATTGACGGTAGTAGGCCCGAAGCGGCGAATCCGGGCTATTGAGATGGAAGCGGATGGCGAGCTGTGAGATAAGAAGGATATTCTCAACACAGCGCTATTGCACAAACCACTTGGACCTCATCATTTAGACGAATTTCTTTCTTTTTGAGGATGTCCTGGATGTACTTGGAGTGCTCTCGTAGCTTCGACTGCAATCCGCGGAACAACTGCGCGTAGTCTGCGTTTTTGAGCTCGCTGAGCAGCGATGAGATCTGAGGAATAAAAATTCGAAACTTTTTTGTCACGCTTTTTTGCAGATTTTGATTTTGGGTAGTCTGAGCGCATTTCGAAAGCTTTATAATCAAAAAAGAACTGCACTAAAGAAGAAACTTGCTCTACCTCGGTTCTTTACGCGATTCGGAACTGATATTTTTCGTCGACAAGGAGATTCGAGGGACAAACCGCGTGGTTGACCGGAACGATGACGTCAGGAAAACCGGCCTGGCTGGCGAGCAGATGAGCGCCTTGCATCATTGTCCGGAAAATGTACTCGCAGGCCGCTTTCCGCCATTGCGGAGTGTCGGAATATTGAGACGATATCTGAATATCCTCATTTCTATGGCACCTTAACAAGGAAGTTAGGTAACAAAAAGCTGCGAAGAATAGATGTCAACAGTTTTTCAAGAAAGTCGATACAGGCGAAAGATCAAGAAAGAAAAGTAGAGGGCCTTTTCCAGTAAAGTTTGTCTCGATTTCATTATATCCCACCCGAAGCGTGCATTCGATGTCCGGAATCTTCGTGACGGTTTTCCCCACCGAAGGCTTTCTTTTCAGTTCTCGGCCGAGTTCTTCAAGCGCCTGAAAACAACAATCTCGTTACAGTGATTTGATGAAAACATTTTTTGTATTCAAGAGTTATCGGTTTTCGAAAACTCATATTTTAAGAAAACAAAATACCTATCATAATTCTCAAACAAAGCTAACGGTTAGAACCTACCTCCGTGGCATACCGCAGTACAGGAATGAATGTCGCGCAACTGGCTTGCAGCTGGATCAGTAGTTGACAGCAGTGAAACCGGAGCGGCAGAAAGGTGGGTGCATTTGACAATCTGCGCTTTTTTTCTTCCAAAAAGAATAGTAGATATGGAAACATAAAGAGAAAACAAGGTGAGATTTTTCAGAAAACCAGCCTGATTTTAAACCATACATGGGACAGTCTCGGCGGGAACTGAAAAAAAGGGGAGGGACTTGGCAAAAAAAGGGTAAGGGGGAATGGATTGACAAAAGCCTTTGAAAAATGAAAAAAATTCATTTTGTAAAGTTTAGTTGACTGGCAGAAACGATTTTTTTTCTATAAGTTAAGAGAGATTGGGAAAAAAACGCTTTTCATTTTCGGATTCAGCACCATCGAACTAGACTAGTTCGATAAAAAATTCTTTTTTCTTCAAGCATGGAGGGGGACTTGGCTGCCGCCAGTCATGCTCATCCATGTATGTTTTAAATGACTCGTTTTCAGAAATCTGTGAAATTTTCTTTAGAAGCCAGATGTTCCCGGGTCTTCCTACGAATTCATTGAATGTATTTTATATGCACCTGAACATGCCGATGATGACCTGAACGAGGGGGTAGACGAGTTCTGCAATGGACTCGGCTCCTGTTACCGAGTGTGCTTTGGCTACAACTCGGACCCACAAATATATGCACTGAATCATCTGCCAATTGTACACCGAATAGACCAGGTCCTACAAAACTCAAAATTTCCCTTTTGAATAAAAAATTAATTGATCTTCGAAAGGTTGGCATTCTCTGCGCACCTTTCTGCCCTTGCCGATCATGGCGTTTCGCAGATGAACGGCCGTTTGACGGATGTAGACGAAGGCGAATCGGTATGCCTGTCCAGGATTCTGCAGCGTCAGCTCGGCGTAGGTGCGGTGCATGAATTGCAGAAGTGGCCACGTCTCGTTCGTCACCACCTTCGAGTTGCTCACAAAAGCGACGTAGGCGTTCTGGAACAAGCGTTGTCAATAAGTAACTGAGCAGGGAATGGTCTCCGGACGGAGTGGGACTTTCGAGTTTTACAAAGCTTTCTAGATGTAGTTTTTCACGCTGACTCCAAATCTGTTCTCAAAAACTGCCGACGAGATCTGCGAAAAAAGTTATGAACCCTAAAAAGTTGAATAAAATTCGGAATAATTCGTGAAGGACGAGAACTACATACCCTCTGAACATGAGCTCAATCGGAGACACTGAAATTCTCGACTTTTGAAGGTTCATAACTTTTTTCACAGATCTCCCCGGCAGTTTACGCGGTCAGATTTGGAATCAGCGTGAAAAAACTACATCTAGGAATCTTTGTATAATTCAGAAGTCCCACTGCGACCGGAAACCATATCCTCCACACAGAAAAATTTCAACTACTCCTTATTTGTTCGATACATTTTCCATCGCTTGGCAGAGTTTTCATTTTCCTCTTGAGTTGCAACAACAACCTTATAAAGAGCAGAAAAATGCTGGGGATAATCCTTGACGAGTCGAGACATGCACACGAACGCCACCACGCGGCATTCAATCGTTTTCCGGCTCCAAACACGCGTCAAACTCTTAATAGGATTTATACTCAGGTGAAACTGTGGTTTTGGCGTTTAGAAGGTATTTTTCTTCTTTTGAAAAGAATACAAACTTTAATGAGCTGCCTTGTGAGCTTGGCGAAATGAGCATAGAAATCTACGAGCCGCATGATGGACTTCAAAGTCGACGCGATAACTGCTGGCGTTTGGATTTCGTTCAAAAACTGAAAATATTGATCTTTTCCTCACTTCCAAGCTAGATTCTCACAATGAGGACGGCTTGCAGGTAGGTGCGGAGCATGTTTTGATGCTTTTTCAGTTTCGGCCGCGATACTTTTGTACTTTCATCTTCGCCCTTAGTTGAGAGATTTTATTTCGATTATATTAAATATTCATTCAATTGATGTTTTTTTTTTGAACTATAAGTTATGGAAAACGAAGAAAAGGAAGCCACAGAAATTTAAAAAAAATTATCATTTTCTCCTGGACATTCAAAAAAACTTACTAAAAACGTTTGCAATAAATTTAACAGAATTAAAATTTATCGACTCAGATTTTTGAAGTTAATGAGCAGATTGGGGAAGATTGTAACTAAAAAAGTCACAAATATAGAAAAATCTAGCATGTTTCTTTGCACTATGTTTTAGGTATTCATTGATTTGAGTGAAAAAAATTTAAAATAGAACATATGTGGAAAGAATCCATCAAAGCTCATTTCAGAACTCCTCGTTCAGCTTTGGAGATTCAACCATCTCACGTGATTAAAAATAAACCTTGCTTGTGGAGAGCAACTTTTGGAAGGCAGTCGGTAAAGCTAGGAAGCAGAGACGGACAGATTCATCAAAAACGCTCTGAATCGGGTGATTGGAGTTTCACATTTGAAAATCAACAAATACTTGTTCCTGTATAATATATTTCGGCGCCTCGAGATCAGCCCCAACACGCGCGACACAGGCAATGAAGACGTCGACCGCCATTCGAACTGCCGACGCGTCAAGAGAAACGTCTTCTTTCTGTATTGGCACAATTCACAAAGAAGTGACTATGCGAAGAATATCTCAACAAGATGTCGTACGATCATATCTTACTCGCTGTAAGATTTGCGATGGAAATACGAAATACATGTCATCTTGAAACTTTTTTTTCTTGCTTTGCAATTTTCAGACCATTTCCCTTCATGACGTCATCCGTCATGGAAGATTTCCAAATCTGATGAAAATATGGGTATGGAATATTTTCTTGGTGAAAGTTTTTTTCTCACATTAATCACTTCACTGAAAGCTCTGTACTCCAAATATCTCGAACCTGGTTTTGATTGTTTGATGTCATTTTTTCAGATCTATAGAAAATATTCAAGAAACGTTGCGAAAGAAGCCCCAAAGATATGGCCAACGAGTATGACTCCCTTTGAACTCTGAACCCCCACCTCTGTATCGAAATCGAGTTTATTCTGCAGATACTCGATGATGTTGCCGTCGACGATCAACCTTCCGGAAGCGCTGTCCTGCTTGGCCTTCGGCTTCCGCTCTGCAACTTGATCTTCGAAACCTCACAAAAGATTCACAAACCAGGCTTGACGTCTTTCTCGCCATCTAGTTCCTCAACATCCGACTCTTCTTCGTCGTCGTCGACGTCTTCTTCTTCTTCCTCTTCATTCTCCTCGTCGCCTTCGACATTCAGAAGATCGGCATCTTCCTCTTGAAGGAATTTGAAAAACTCCGGATCTGTTTCTTTTAATCTGAAGGTGAAAATTCGAGTCATTCGTTATGTTCGAAACAACTTTTCAAGATCCAATTTGTGTTTCGAGAAGGTTTCCAGAGTATCTTCATCTTCGAAATCTGATTCTTCGGACCCTCCGAGGGAGTCTTCCTCTTTCGCTTCCTCTACGTCCACCTCTGAAGTTTTGAAGATGAAGTACCGAAAATGTTTTTATTACCTTTTATTACCGGCTTCTTCTTTTCCCTCGATTTCAACTTTGGGCTTTTTGCCGTTTTCCCGGCTTTTACTTTCATGTTCCCTGGAATATTAACGAATGAGAAGGAAAAATAATTGGTTCAATGAAAAGGCTTTTTTCGAAGAAACCAATCAAAATCCCGAAAATTGCTTTGAAACACTTAGATTCACCGTATTTCTCTAAAGTTTCTTGTTTTTTAACTCTACTTTTGTCAGTGACCTAAAAAATTTATTTTCCTTTCAACTCGAAGAATCTATCTTTTGTATCCTAATTTCGATCCATTCGAAAACCATTTACTGTATCTCATTTTTGTGACTTTTGATCTATTGATAATTTGGCTTTGGCTGGATTGTCCTAAGCAGTTACTAATTCGCTCACTTCCATTTCAAAAATCTTTATAGAAAAGTAAAACTGAATTGAAAAATCGTCAGGAAAAAGGTCAAAACAAACGTTCCGAGAAGTCAAACGAAAGGTAAAGTTTCGAGATAAAGCGAAACGCGCGACGGAATTCAATGGACTTGCGGAGAAAGTCGCGAAGAATCCGGTTTCTGAGACGACTTTTGTGGCGGCACCAAAATAGCGTGTGGCCAACAGGGATTCGCGGATTCGTCGAGGCGAGACGCCGTCAGATACAGATACCCCTCTCCCCGTTTTGTATGCCTTCTTGTCCTTTTTTCGTTATTATTGATCATGCTCTTTTGACTATACTCTTTTCCCACACAAGCTTGAAAAATACTTTCAAAAAAGCCTTTTTCTCTTCTTTCCCACAATTTTCGGCCAATCGACAAAGAGTCTTCTTAAATATAGCCGATCCAAGGTTGACTTCAGAAAATACAAATATGAGTCTTGATTATGAAGAAAACTATTTTTTATTAGCAGAGATTCAATCGTTTCCGCGTGTTTTTATGTCCCAAGTCATTCGTATATGGTCTTAACTGTTCCAGCTATGTAGCAATACGATGTGGAAATCGAAAAACTTTAAAACGTTCTAAAAATGAAGCATTGAAAGCGTTCTAACAGCTTTTATGTTTCGAAAATGTCCTAAATGGTCCTAAAAGCGAGACTTGAAACGAAACGAGTCAATGTTTTTTCAGGAAAGCTTCAAAAAATCACAAGACTCAAGCATTTTATATTGTATTTATCATTAACGCGGTCCGATCTTTTTCTTTCCATTCGTTATCCCAAAACTTTTCAATGACCGATTTTTGAGCTCTTATGCCTTGTTCGAAGAAACTTTCGCGAAGTTCAGAATCATGCTTGACTCTCCAAAATCTATTTGTCTTTTCCACTCTCTAACGACTTCGAACTTCGCAGAGTCACTTTGAACATGGCCTTAAAGATGATTGGAAACTTTTCTTTTCAGATGTTCTTCACGTTGTCCTACACAGCCCATACTCTGCTATCAATATCGCTCCACGTAACGGGTGTCCTCGCCGGTCTTTTTATTTGGTATCTTTTCCCGCAACATGTGAGTTGACCAACTAAAACATTTTATACTATATACAAGTTCACCAAATAAGCCTTGGATACTGCTTAAAGGCGCAAGGCGGTTATTAGCAACTTTTAAAGAAGAAGACAGATTTTCAGCCAACTCGCTCAATAGTCAAAATTCCCAAGGAAAAAGTCGCTCTGCTACTGGAGACATCAGAATCTAACGACAAAATCTACACACAGCAGCCAAGCCCGATGCAGTTCCACACTCAAAAACTTATAGAAGTTCCGGTTCGTCATCACGGCTAGCCATTTATTCTCTTACTCAATTTCAAATTTTCCGTACGAGTGCAACTATCTTTTCAATTTTTTCCTAAAAAAGAAGTAATTAATAAATAATTAATCGCTCAAAACGTTGCAATGAAGAAACAGTTTAAAAGAGAAAGACTAATTATTGAAACTTTATTTCCTGACAAAAAAAAAAGCAAAATAAGTAATTCAAGTTTCCATCGGTTATTGGAAGAAAAAAGAAAGTGACGTTTTGACCTTAAGAGAGAGACATAAAATGGATAGACATATGCAAAAAATTAAAACAGTTTATAAAAGATTCATTCATTCAGAGCGGCACAGTGCAAACTAAGAAAAAAAACTGATAGAGCAAAGTAAACTGTTGAATTCACGAACACCGAATTCGATAATTTGACAAGTAAAAAAACACTAGATTGACGTCTTCAACATCAACAAAAGCTAGAATCAAACATTGACACCCTGGCCAAGGCGAATCAACTCGTCGAGTCCTGTCGGTCTCCAGATGAACTCTATGGGATCCATGACGTAGACCATACCGCGGTCGATGAAAATCGAAACAGCGCCAAACCAGAAAACCTGAACAGAGTTTTTCAGATTTCGCGGAAAAAGGTAGAACTTCCTATAGCGCCCTTTTGTTCAAAAGAATCGGAAAGTATAAATGTGAGAGAAAATTTAATATTAGCCTGCACAAATGTTTCCAAGATAGAAATTCGTCACAAACTTGACGTCCGTCCTTGAAGCGATCTTTCTGTGGATGGTAGGTGAAGCCGTGGCGCGCCGCCGTCATTTCGATGGCGTCCTTCAGGGAAAGTTGCTGAGTCGACGGCTGGTGAATCGGCGGAGCTAGTGGGGCGCTTAAAAACCAAACTTATTCGGGTACACGAAAAAAAAAATTCGTTAGAAGCAGGCGGGTATAAATAAGCTGGAGAAAAAAGTTCCAGTTTTAACTGAGCGTCAAAAATTTCGTAACGCTTCGCAAAAATTGGTTTCATAACTCCTGTACGAGCAAAAACGTCGGCAAAATTAAAATCTACTAATTTTATATTTTTTAACTGTTTATTTTCAGAATGAATACCCACTTTTCTCATAAAACATCTGTGAATAATACCTCATTGAATTGATTGGCTGCATGGGCATTTGCGGCTGATTGCTTACTCGAACGCCTTCCAAAGATTGTCCGATTGCAATCAAAGAGCGACGTAAGCTTTCTGGAAATAGAGAGATTGATACAAGTTTGGCGAAAAGCTTTCTCTGAATTTAAAGTGTTTTAATTTTCATGATAAAATAATTTTTGCCTCGAATTGAAATAGTCTGCTTTCTCCTTCTGCTCGGCAACGCTATCATATTAACGTGCTATTCCAACGTTTTTTCAACTTCATCGAAGAGAAAAAAGTATCAGATAGATCATTTTTCCAAGTCAGAGCGAATTGGTTTAAAAGATATATTAGAAAAAAAAAACCTTTGATGACCGGAAATTGTGATATGTCAGCCGGAATCCGCATCTGCCACTCGCGGAACCACATCTTCACCTCGGCGACGTTGGCGCCAGGCGAATCTAGCCAGATACAAAGCGTTTCGTGGAACTGAAATAAAAAAAAATAGGAAGTTGAATTAGTCCAAGAAGAAACTCAATATTACGTGTAATCAGAGAAAGAAAGCGAAATTTAATTCACTTGGGCAGACTATTTTTGAAGGTCGCCAACACCTCCTCCCGAATGTCCCCGAATAAAAGAAGTTGAAACTTATTTTTATTCCCTTTCTCCCCGAACTTCTCTTAGTCAATCTTTTCACCTGTTCTAATCAGTTCTCTAGTTGCCTACGAATGACTGCTACTTATGTATCTGACGACGAAGCATTTTTTTTCTCGGTTAGTTATGGACTCAAACTTTTAAAACTTCTCAAAACTCACCCTAGGAAAAAAACACTTGATGACGACGCCAACGATGGCTTCCGGATGAATGAGCTCGAGCCAGTCCATCACAGCGGCCCATTCTTCGTACTGAGGATTAATCCGTGGATCCAGTTCCATGTCTTCCAAAGCCCGTGCAAGCTGCGAACAAATTTGTTTTTCAATTTGTTTTCAATCATAGAAAAGAAACCTTCGGCACGATGTTGTTGGCCAAAAATGCGGTCAACGTTCCTGGCGCCCAGACTTCTTTCCAGGGACGGAGAATCGCGATGGCACTGAACAATTAATATATAGGCATTTTTTCAAATGAACAATCAGGCGAAATTTTTGCTGACTTTCAAAATATGGCTACTTCTTATTCCAGTTTTCGTGAAATTTTTAACAAAAAAACTTTTTTTACCATTCAAAAAATCTAAAAAAAATTTCGAATTGAGGGCTTCAGGAGAGAATTTTTTACACTTTCCTTGGATCATCCATTCATCTCAATTAATAATGGAAAATTAGTTTTCAGAAGAAATGAGGAGAGAGCGTTTGACAAAAAAACACTGTTGGAATAAAATAACAAGTTACATGATTTTTGAAACTCTCAGAATATAGAGGAACTTAAACGGAAATCTAAAAGTTAAAAAAAGAAACCTTCTATCTTTCGGATCCCACAACTTCAATGCTTTAGAGAGCTTCTGCCGAATCGGCGGCATGACACCTTGAATTCGGTCGCCAAGAACGTGGAGCCATGGGACAAGCCAAGAATGGATGGGTACTGTATCTTTCGTCGGATCCCATTCATTCACGCGTTCCCCGATCCGCGGAACAATCACCTAAAAAATTACTTTTCTTTTCAAATTCATTTTAATATTCAGTTACTTGTTCGAGAATGTTTTCTTTGATCCACGCTGGAAGGACCGGAATCCAAGTCTCTATCAGATTGAGCATGTCCTCCATCTGGTCGCGTGGATCCCAGTCGAGAGCCGCTCGTCGCAGAGAAGGCAGCCATCCTTCCCACAGAAGTCTGTCGTAAGCAGCGATCTCGTCTGCAAAAACAAACGTTCAAAATAAAGTTGTCTGATTAGTTACAAAACATTAACTGAACTGAGCAATGAAGATTACTAATTCGAAGGAAAATTTGATTTTCTACAGTGAAAAAAAAATATTTCACCATTTCTGCCTTTGTTCATTCCAAAAGTCGTCTTTGAGTCCGAATCGACCAGAATTTCCCTCCATTCTCGCATCAATTCTATTCCGTAAATGACATGATCAGGATCCAACGGTCTCCACTTTGAAAAGTATTGTAGCAACTGAAAAATTTCTTAGATAGAAGAACACCGAATTGTGTCAAAGTCAAAATGAATTTTTTTTAAATTGTTTCCCCAAAGTCATACCATTGGCAACACGTATGGAATAGCGATCGATTCCAAATTGTACAGTCGGTACTCGGTGGGAAACTGAGCTCTGAGTTTCAGAAAGAGCTCTTGATATTCGACCATGGTCCTAGCGCCGGACGAGCTTTGAGCGGAGAAACTACAGAAAAATCAAAACTTAGAGACCGACCAAATTTAAAAAAAACCTCTCAATGAGGAAATAAACTTCTTTGAGTCTTTTTTCCTCTAATTCTTCGCCTTCTAGGACCTCGTTCAATTTCTTCATGTCGTACTCCAATGCAGTTGACTGGTCCTTAAAACACGTATTCTTTTAGGAGATCAAATCAGATGAATTACTTTGATGGATCGAAGCTGATGATCATTTCTTCGAATGCTTTCTTCAGTGAGGTCAATCAGCAAGTTGATATTGTGCATGAGCTCAGGAACGTCGAAAGTATCTCTGTCGCCAGTATCCACATATTCAGCTCTGAAATAAATCTTTTATTTTTTGTCGAAACTTCCAATCACAAGTTGATGTTTCTGAAAAGTTTTATTTCATTTCAATCTTGTGAATAATGTCGTTTTCAAACTAACTTGGCGACTTTCTCCCTGACTGTTGTAAATCCTTTCATTTATCTAACTATCTAACAGTCATATTTATTTTCGCTAGAGCACGGCATGAAAAAGTTTATAAATGATTTTGAGCGTATTCCGTCCTATTTTTGTTCTTGCCAATTGAGATACATTTTCTTTTTCATATTCGTACTTAGTCTTCATCGAAAACGAATCATAACCAGTGTAGACACGTTGCTGTGGACCGGTCATATCAATAACTTTGATATTGGAATGAGAAGCTGAAGTCCTGGCGATGTTACTGGCCGCCGTGGTTCCTTCCTCCAATACATCCTCCAGAGTTCGATAACGCGTTTTCACCTGAACAAAAATCATTTTAATGGAAATTTTAACATTTGTGAATTTTCACCGATTGAGTTTTTTTCCAGCCTCCTTTCGGCAGTGAAATATATTTTGACGACTCTTCATCATCTCCGGGCCCAGATTTGCCCTCGGCAAGCCGTTTCTGAGCATCAGCCGCTGATTCTGAAAAGTTATTTCGAACCATGAGAATCGGGCAAACAAAAAACCTCCAAACTTGGGACCTGTGGCCTCTTTTCCATAAGCGCCAATGGCACCACGACCTTTACGAACCGCCGCGGTAACTGGCTCGACGATTCCTTGGCCGGTTGCTCCAAGACCTTGGCCTGGCTTGTAGCCCATGGCCTAGAAAAAAATTATTCAGAGCAAAACGCGTATATTGCTGATTCTAGAATGTTCTAATGTAAAAAGTTTTCATTTCTTATTATTACTAAAGTTGTTCTGAGCGGCGAAAAAAAAATTATTTTCCATCTCACAGAATTATTGTGGAAAGAATCCAATGATATCTCTCTCTTTTTTTGAGACGGGCATCTGGAAGAGGTAGTGATGAAAACTCACCTCCATCATTTTGGACACAACCGACCCTTTTCCATGTTTCAGCCAGCCTCCAAATGTGTTCGTATCCATTGCTCCTGAGGAGCTTGATGATCTCATTCCTGTAAATATCCTTTTTCCCTTTTCTTGAGCTTTTGGAATTACCTGCGAATACTTGAGCGCCCATTTCCTTTGGCTTTTTCTTGGATTTTTTCGAAAAATTAACTTCTTCGTATTCAATGTTGGAACTGAAAGTCCCTGCCTTCAAAGATTCCTGTAAAACAGTTGTGAAACTCAAAAAAAAAAAATTTTCAACTCACTGGATCATCTTTGTCTATTTTAATACTTGAGTCTTTTTGAATTCCGCCACTAACAAAGTTGACTGCAGTGGTATAATTGTTCTTCTTCCGCTTTCTGAAGATTTTTTCACGTTCCACTAGTTCTATTTCCAAGTTAAATTACAAAACCTACAAGTTCAATCGAAAAAATTCTAGAAAGCGGAAAAACTCACCCAAAAGAAGGTCTTCCGTCATCTTCTTCATCGCTGTCGTCTTTTTGACCAAACGCCTAAAAATTTGTATTTTATTTAATCACTGAGTTCTTTTGCAAATTATTTTTTTAAATTTAATTATGCATAAGAATTGTATCTAGTGTGCCTTATTCAAAGTGATTGCGCGAAGTGTGAAATACCCGTTAGAGAAAGGAAAAGATAACTAAATTTTGGAAAGTCAGAGACCATTTAGTATTTGGCGGAAATTACTTTGAACACGGCATAGAGTATAGTATTGGGTCTTAGAGAAACTCTCACCGACCATAAGTGGCCTCGTCTTTTGACTGAAAATGCCTTCTTCCCGGATTCAAAGCATAATTCAGATCAGTGTCGTTGATTTCGAACGACTCCATTCCATCGTCGCCATCCATACTGTTTCAAAAAAAAAAAAATGTATGAAGGTATCGCGAACACAATGTTAAATACTTTTGCTGTTCCAGTATCTAGGTCGTCCAAAGAAAGAAGAAGAAACGAACTATTGGCTAGGAGTGATAGAAATGAAGTTTATAAAATTTAATTTCAACCAAAAAGAAGCAAGAAAACTGAAAGGAACCTCTCAACCACGAATTCCGTTTTTTTTCATTCGAAAAAGAGCCACGCGTAAAAAGCGTCAATGCGCGCCACAAGTGCCGTCGCATACCTCGTGCAGCCGTCGCCATTTCTTTTTTCCTCTTCTCTCCCGTCTTTCTCGTCTCTTAGCCGTCACGTTGTTCTACTGGCGCCAGCAGAATGTCCCGTGACGCACACATGTGATGAGAGAGAAGGAGAGAACAAGAAGAGTGTTTCCTCTCGTTTAGCCGCCCTCTATATACTATTGCCTTCCACAATAAGTGCGTGGGAAAATGAAACGCTTTGGCGGGCCGCCAGAATGACTCCTATTTTGCATTGTTTCTGCTCTTTAAGCTCATCGTTCTATCATGTGTTCGGTGTCAAGATTCATCGTATTCGCTCGATTCGACAGGAACGAGCTTTTCGTATACCACGCTGGTTTTCCTTTCTAAATATTTATCCCATTAAAAAAATCTCAATTTTTGATTCTGTATGCTAAAAATAGAGTCGAACACATTGCTATTTTGTTTATTTATTATCAACATATTTTTCTTTTTCATTTTTTAAAGTTTTTTTTTCCAAGGGCTTTGTGACCAAACCGATTTTGCGACCTAAAAACGGAAGAAAGATTGCTTGAATTTTTTGGTGGATAAAATGCTCTAGTTTTACTTTCAACGGTTCGAGACAGTATTGGAGTTTTTTCACATTCGTCAACCCAAGAGGAATTTGGAAACCGATTTCTGAAAACAGGTGTCAAAATTTGACCTCCGCAGAGCATCTGTGGGTACCGTCTTTTTTCTCATTTTGCATCTGCTAGCTTTTTTTTCCTTTTTTCACTTGGTTTATTTCGAACTCTTTAGTACCCCGAGTCAACTTGATTTCCTTCTTTTCAATTTCCCAGTTTTTTCGAAATGTCTGAAGCAATAGGCGGGATATGAACTTCAAAACTTTGCTTTTTAATGCTGAATTTTTCAATTTCATGTTTTTATATTTCAAAAGCGCTCATAAAATAACGCGATTCTGAACTACTTTTTTTTCGAAGGATAAAAATTTTTTTAGTTATCGAAAAGATCTATAGTCCCATTCCCAGTTTTGTCATATTTTTTTTTCTTTATTGCGGAAATAAAAATTCATTTTACCTGCTCAAATTTTTTGCAGCTTTTGTGACCAGTTTTGGAATCGGAATGAAAAACTAAAGCTAGTTAATTTGATCTTATTCAGAAGTTATCAGTAAGTTAGGTTTTCTTTTCTTTCAACTGTTCATGAGTAGAACCTTATCTTGTAGTAAAAATGAAAATAATTCGTATTTAAGTCCTCCGACTTATTTATTGATATTCCTAAAAAACAACGCGATTCTGAACTACTTTTTTTTCAAAGGATAACAATTTTTTTAGTTATCGAAAAGATCTATAGTCCCATTCCCAGTTTTGAAATCTTTTTTTTCCTTATTGCGTAAATAAACATTCATTTTACCTGCTCAAATTTTTTGCAGCTTTTGTGACCAGTTTTGGAATCCGAATGAAAAACTAAAGCTAGTTAATTTGATCTTATTCAGAAGTTATCAGTAAGTTAGGTTTTTCTTTTTCTTTCAACTGTTCATGAGTAGAACCTTATCTTGTAGTAAAAAAATGAAAATAATTCGTATTTAAGTCCTCCGACTTATTTATTGATATTCCTAAAAAAACAACGCGATTCTGAACTACTTTTTTTCAAAGGATAACAATTTTTTTTAGTTATCGAAAAGATCTATAGTCCCATTCCCAGTTTTGAAATCTTTTTCCTTATTGCGTAAATAAACATTCATTTTACCTGCTCAAATTTTTTGCAGCTTTTGTGACCAGTTTTGGAATCCGAATGAAAAACTAAAGCTAGTTAATTTGATCTTATTCAGAAGTTATCAGTAAGTTAGGTTTTCTTTTCTTTCAACTGCAGTTAACTGTTCATAGGTAGAAAACTTATCTTGTAGTAAAAATGAAAAATAATTCGTATTTAAGTTCTCCGACTTATTTATTGATATCCCCACTAATGATATACAGTTTTTGTTCTGTGATGAATTGAATGAGTTTTTTTTAGCTAGTTCACGTGGAAAAAAAATTATAGTCAATAAAACGACTTCTCTTCATTATTTTCTATTAGTTATTTTTTAGAATAAAAACTAAAATTTTTCATTTTTCGAGACCCAAAATTTCCTGGATTTCTCTAAAACGATTCCTCATGTACCTGATGGAAGTTACTGACAAGAAATTCTATTTTTTTGAGAAATAGACTCAAAGTTCCACGATACTCTGAGAACCAGCACGAAGTGTTCAGCCGTGAAATAAGTCGCCATTTAGGTTTGAGTTTTTTTGTGAAAAACTGCACGGTTAGATTTATCTCTTTTTTTTGTGTTTCCGTTTAGTCAGTTTACAGGCTCCTTCAGTTTTCGCGAATTTTTCTGGTTCATAGTGCCCCCAAATACTACTTTTCGTTGGGTTTGAGTTTGTTGGAAAAAATTTCCATCACGACACAATAAGTTTCTCACCGCTGCAGATATTTATGAAAATTTATTTTTGAACTCGAGATTATACATCAAAATTTCGAAGATTGAGTTTTACAGGATTTCAATCTAGTACATCAGTGAAAGTCTGAGATTCAAAACAATGTTTCATGTAAATTGTAAATTAAACTCCGCTTTCAAATTAAATGTCAAAATCAATGAGAAACCGAATGCTCGAAAGAAATCTTCTTGTTTTATAGGAGACCTTTTGGGTTGCATAGACCGAGATCATGATCTATCTTGCCACCGATTTAACTAATCTCGTAAAAATTGATTTAATCGCCTTTCGGGCTCCCGTGTAACTCGATCACGATGTGTGGCATCATGCGATTGTCTCACGCCTTATCTTTTACCTATCAGCTTGTTTGAGGCTCGTCTCCAGTGGAGTGCACAGCAATCGTTTCCACCGTCGTTTCCCTGAAACCAGACTTGTTCTACAATAAATGTGCAGTCTCGGCGGCGGAAGATGCAAGCGGTGATCGCCTTGTGCCATTTCTGCGAGAACCACGGTCCGCGGGTCGTCATGACGTGCCAGCCGATGCGCGACATGGACCTTCCGGCGACGTCGCTGTCGCCTTCGACGAGCTCAGCGCCTGACGGTCCCACAATTCCCGTTGCTCAAGTTAGCAGTTTTAGATGATTGATATTAGGAAAAAGTTTACACTTTTTGAAGGTTTTTGAAAATAAAGTCTCGAATAAGAATAAATATTTGCAACCTGAGGCCATATGTGTAAAGGACGGTTTTCACGATGATGTTTTTTTTTGATTTTCACGATGATGTTTTGTTTTGAAATTGATAAGCTTAAGATGGCCCTGGTGGTCAAACATTGAGTTTTCTATATGTTTGAAAGGTTTATGTGTGTTCATAATTTTGTTGCTAACTTTTAAGTTTGCAACAGTAAACCGAATTTCTAATTGGCTCGCGCTGTCTCAAAATCGTAGAAAAGGGCGCGTCTGACCGATCAAAAATGTAATTCGGTGTAGGGAACGTTCACAGCTGAAAAAAAAAAACGTGTTCTTGTATTCAGTCTTTTTAGTCAAATCAATATGACTCTGTGTTTTTTTAGAGATGGGAAAATTATGAGCTAGTAAAAAACTAACTGAATGAATAAATATTTTCGAGCCGAGAAAAGAAATCTACTATCAACATGAATGATCCTCTATAGAACGGCATCTTAATTTCCAATATTTTCTAGGATCCGGATTAAATCTGATTTCAATTTTCGAACATTATCTTAACTTTTCAGATACAAAGAAATAGTGAACTGTCACAGAGATTCCGAGAAGGATTGCCACTTTTCTACGGCGATTGCCGGCGTTCTGTCATGGACACCGAAGACAGGTAATCTTTTCGAAGATTTTTCTCGTAAAAAAGGTTTTTTTTCAGGTGTAAAGCATGTACATCGTTTGGCAATGGTCCATGTTTATTATCAAACGATCATCCTAATAAAACGAGTTATATATCTTCGGAGGTTTTTTCTTTTTTTTTGTTGTTGTCTGAAATAGTTGTTTCCTTTTTTCGGGTAAAAATGAAGATAAAAACTTGAGGAGCGAAATTGTAATAATGGTTTTCTTGCTAAGGGAAGTCAGATAATCAATCTCTGTTCGAACCTCGGTAATGAGAACCGGACGTGCTCCGGTCGTTTCTGAGCTGTTCTAGGGAATCATTTAAGAGTGCTGACGCTACTAAAGTGGTCACTAGGAATGCTTCGGCACGTCCGATTCGCGTTGCTGAGGTCCGAGCCATACATCGGATCCCATCCCGGGGTGCGGCCTACCCCCCTCAAACTGATGCTTACATTCCAAAAAGTACAGCCTAAATATCTCAATACATTTTCAAATTTTCTCTTTGCGCGCGTTTCAAATCCATTCGTGATGTTGCACTCAAAACGCCGATTTTCGCGAGAAACGCGAGTTTAAACGAGAGCGTCGAAAATATGTGAGAAAATAAAGCTTTTATTTCCTCCAACTAAAAAATTACCAGGAACAAATAAACATTTACTGTTTGATACTTGGAAAAGAAAATTCACTTTTAAGGTTACTTTGCTCTACTACGACAGATCTCTTTTTTTCAGTAGAGATTTCAGATCGCATTCCACGATAGAGTTTATGACCGAGTGAAAAGCGCCTGTCTGAGATCTTTGAGTTGCGAAGTCTCAGCACCACAGAAGAATTCCCAGCAAAAAAGAAGAGAAACTGTTTCTATAAATTCTCAGCGTAAGCGGATTTTTTATTAAACATTTTCTTTTTTCAATTTATTCCTTTGGTTTTTTGTAATTTGTAAGGTTAGAAAAATTAAATTAAGAAATGGTTCTAAAATTTCATTATCGGATATCATATTCGATGGGAGCAATCACCCTAAATACTTCCTCGTTTCGATATACTGTTTTTAACTTCTGTAAAAAAATACGTTCAATTCTTTTTCAAAAAAATTTTTGTAGAAAAACAGATCGAACTTTGGAGTTTTTTTCTGTGATTTTTGATTGAATTGTTTTTTTATAAAATAACAGTTTGATTGAAAAAAACATCAAAAAAATTCCAATCGATTGAAAAAAAACCGCCGTTTCATTTTCATTTATATTTTTACGAAGTATTTCTTATTTCAGCGATTTTGATTTCGCCAGTAAATTGCGATATAATTTTCGAGCGTTCCCCCGATGAAGCGGATGGGAATATGATTTTTGGCGATAACGACAATGGATTTTGCTTTTCACACACTTTTCGGTACTTTGATAGATATTCCGCTGGAAGCCATATCGATTTCATTAGGTTACAAGACGCAAAAGCTCGAGGGAGACTGCGACTGTTTTCGCTGAACGTCGTGAGCAACGACTTGACCTTACTCACCAGTCACTTTGAGTTTCTCCGTCGAGCCCTGACGACAATCAAAGAACAACTTCAGGTTTTTCTCGGAGTTTCAATTAAAAAAAGAATAAACGTGTTCGTCATTTTTTTTTTTCTTTTATAGATATAAATATCTGTACTAGTTGTCTGACTCTCCAAAAACTAGTTATCTTTTTTGCTCTCTGACGGCTATTTTGAATTTCGCGGAATCACTTTAAGCACTGCATCATTTCTGGCCTTTTTCAGCGTGTAAATTTTTTTTCTTTGGGCTCATATGACTTCTTCAAAATGGCACTATGTTTTTTTGGGATTATCGTCCTCATTTCGGTTCTAGAGTCTTTATGATTAAAAAAAAGATACTCAATTTCTTACAATGCAGGATGAGAAATTTCATGTTATCACAGTTTTTCATATTTAGCGGCGCATAACTTTTGAGTCTGATAAAGATTTCAAGCTCAAATTGGTGCTGTCCTTTTTACACTATATCCGAAAACCCTTGCGAAAAGGAAGAGCTTGGCCTGTTAACAAACCTTGTACCGATGATAAGCAACTTTCAGTGTTGTTTTAGTGGATAAAAGTCTTTATATACCTTCAAGATTTTCATCAGGGATTTTTGAACGGTTTATATCGAACCTTCGGGGGATACACATTTTAATCACTTCGAAAAGAACGTTTTTTTTTCGAAAAGAAAGAGAAAACTTACAGGGAATGGCATCGTTGACTTATGCGAGGGAAACTTCGACTGAGATCCGGCCCGAGCACGGTAGCATCGTCTGTCGGATGGCGCAATTCCGACGAGAGGTCCTTGGCCTATTCCTTTTTCCTTTTTCTTTCATTTCGAACTAATAAATCAAGCCTCGTCCAATTATTTCCATTTTTTTTTCTTGATTCCAGATCGCCATCGACACGGGTCGCAATTTAGAAACGATAACGGGAAATGACAATATTTGGACTACGCTCCATCGGTTCGTTTAGTTTTTTTTTTCTTTTTAACCAAGTAGAGATTGCGATTCTTCAAATATCCATAACTCCCCTCCTTTTTTGTAGGAGTTTGTTAATTAAAAAAAATGACTTTGTCCGGTTTTTTCGATAAAAAAAAACGGAATGTTATACGAATAGTTTTCGATTTTTTTTTTATAAAAGCCTCGAAATCTAAAAATAAAAGACGATTCTCCTCATTTTATATCGTACTTCCTAAGGACTTAATTTCGCAATCTGGAAAAATATCAATCAGTTATTTTTCTGCATAGTTTATTAATAATACATAACTATCGGTTTCTCAGGTCTTCGTGGATTAGGCTTAACATATTGCCGCTTTCGTCAATGCTTTTTTTCTTCTGTTTTTGGAAACAAGACAGGAAGCTCTTTGGTAGCTTTTTTGCCGTTACAGTAAGAATGAGGACTCTTCTGCCTATTGGGAATAAGGATTACGATTAATAATGGAGAAAAAACCCCTCAGGGAACATCTATTGAAACCATAAAACGAATTTTTTAAAGTCTTTTTTTTTTTAATTTCTTCTGTCAACTCACTAATGATTTACAGCACCCAACAATTTTTTCTGAACGTAGTTCAACATCTTTTTTTTTATTTTTGCTTCCTACAAGATATAAAGAAAAATATCGATTTGAATTATCAATTTTTTTAAGAAAAATTCCGAGGCTCACCAGAGACGCTTTAAACTAAAAAGCGCAAATGAAGTAACGTTCGAGACAGGACCTTTTTTGTTGCGTTAACTCTCAGCAAGCGTGTCTGAGCGAACTATATTCTCAATATTGCCGATTCCCCGATTCGCAAGCCAAATGCGAAATTGAGCAGTTGAAAAAGCAATGACTCGCGTTTTTGATTGGTTGGAGGTAATTGCTGGGCCGGAAAACTACAAACGACCGCAGGCAAAACTGACATTGAGGCGGCGGCGGCGGCCATAACTGTCGTGTAATTGACATGTACGTGAGCGGAAGTTCGAGGAACCCGGCGGCCGTCGACAGAAAACGTTGGTTTTCCACGCGGCCCAAGCAAGAACGAATTGAAATGTGATCCTCTCGGGGGCGCTCTTAGAATTGGTTTGTTTGCGGCCGTTGTTGTGATACTGCCCCGACCTCCTCGCCACGTCTTTTCTTATTCGAAATTCGCTTTTTTTTTCGGACTAGTTTTTTTTTCTCCGCCGGCACCTGGTCCCTCCTTCTCTCTAACTTTTTTTTTGCTGTGCAAAAGACGATTAAACGTGGGGAAAATGTATTAATTGGCTCCCTTTTTGTCTGTATTTTTAACTAGAAGCCCTATACTAGTTGCTGAGATAATGGGTGAAGTATTGGGGAAGTCGAAAGGCAAGGCTTCCTATTGGGAAGACTCACGCTTTGATGCGCATGAGCGCCGCTTCCAAGGAAACAAGAAGATTTTGCGCAAACAGTATTCGAAATGTCAGAATAAATAGGAAAATTTTTGGTCAAGGTGTAAAGTATCTTATTATTATCTCATATCATCAGGTAGAAAATAATGAAACCTTTTTTTTTCGAAAGTTTTTCGAAATGTGAAATAAATAGGAGACAAGACCAGTCGAAAAATGACGTTTGAGTTTGAGGAAGGAATTTCAAAAGTTTGATTAAACTAAGCTTTTATAAACTTCCTTTAATTCAATAGCGCTTAAAATTCAACACCTTATTGTTTTTTTTTTGTCGTCTTCTAAAGCCGTAGAATGTTTGTACAGGTTGGCCAGGCGACGGCGTAACCCGTGTAGGTGCTTTCGGCTGTTTGAGAATTGTGTGTTTTGGGGTAGTCTGAGTGGCCCAATGTCTGATCCTCGTCTCTTCTTTTGTTCTATTTTTCTACCTGCGACCCGGGCGGATATGAACTCTGTCTAGCTTGTAACTACAAAAGTTAAAACTTTGTGAATTTGGAAACTTACCGAAGAAATTACTTGCAAATGAAGCAGAAGAAGTTTTGCTCGAAAGTTTACCGTTCAAAAATTGTTTGAGCTTTCCAGAAACGTCTGGTGATCTTTTGATATTTTAGCGGGTTGAACAAGAATGTCTATCGAAAGTAATAAAAGTGTGTACGAGTTCATATAAAAATCTGAGCACTTTTGGGAAGCCTTACATCAATAAGAGTGCTTGCATCTGTCTATTTGTGACAATCTATACAATCAACCTAGCTGAGTTTCAGTAATGAGGGCAGAAAAAAAGTTTGGTGAGATAAATGTGCCATTCTGTAGAGAAAAAATAGTTTGAAGTTGCAGAGAAAAAAGATGTCTAATGTTACCGTGCGCCGCGTGACTACTTCAAGCAACTTTCTGTACATCAGAGCGGATTTCAAAGTTGAAAGGCGGAAAAATTGTGTTTTTCTTTTAAAAAAAAATACATATATCAATGATTTTTACACGCAATACGCAATAAAAAGCTCAAAAAAATACTTATCTTACCTCATAACTAGGGTCCGCAAGCCATTTCTTCAAAACGATCCAAAAAATATGTTTTTCACACTGTTCGATAGAGGAGACCGTCCATTTTCATAATCCGTTTAGTTTTTGAAAAAAGCTCCACTAACAAGGGCTGTGTGCGCGGTGAACATCGAGTTAGAAATTGAGGCTTATATGGTAGATGGACCTAGGGGAGAGTGCTCCAAAACGAAAGAGAAAATCTGCTAAGCGCCATAGGGTACCGAGAAAAAGCTCGTCAAAGTTTCGCCGCCACGTATATGCCTGCGCTCCGAGTGCTCGGTCAGCAACTGGGAGCGTGGTGAAGTGGCAGTGTTCTTGAATGGCGCTGGCGCTATGCTAGGTTCGATTCCTTTTGACGTCAAACTTTTTTTGCTTTTTTTTATTCAATTCTTCTACACTCTATCATCAAACAAAAACAGCAAGAAAAGTTTGAAAAAGTTCTAACAATTGGTTCATGGCTTTCGAGATCACAACACGATGGGATCGAAACAATATAAGTGAAAAATCACTCGTGAAAAAAAAAGAAACCAGGTACGAGTACGAGCCCGAAACAAAGGGAGACCTGTCAAAGTAATTTCGCATTCTTTATGAAATTCAAAAGTTTCGGTGAACAATAGAACTAACCTTTTGGTATGAGAGGGGCTTCAAAAAAGGGAAAATAGAGTCGGTGGAATTTTTGCGATGAAAGATTTCTAAACAGTAAAAAGAAAAAAAAACATATAAAGTGGTTGAATGAGACCAGAGGAGCCAGGTGTGATATTATTCACAATTATAAGTTTTTTACACGAGGTATACAACCTTTTATTGTATTTTATTGTGCTATCATCTCGAGAAGCCGCCCAAGCATCTATTATTTGGACGATTTTTCAGAAGTTTTCGATGGAAAAACTAAATTTGACGCAAAAAAAAAGTTTTTTTGTGCTTTCTCCTTTCTTCTTTCCCAAATTTCAATCAACTCCTTCAATTCAAACTTTTTTTGCTGTTTTTGTTTGATGACAGATTGCAGAAGAATTGAATAAACAAGAGCAAAAAAGTTTGACGTCAAAAGGAATCGAACCTAGCATAACGTCAGCGCCATTCAAGAACACTGCCACTTCACCACGCTCCCAGTTGCTGGTCGAGCACTCCGAGCGCGGGCATATACTTGGCGGCAAAACTTCGACGAGCTTTTTCTCGGTACCCTATGGCGCTTGGCAGATTTTCTCTTTCGTTTTGGAGCACTCTCCCCTAGGTCCATCTACCATATAAGCCTCAATTCCTAACTCGATGTTCACCGCGCACACAACCCTTGTAAGAAAAAAGTTATGACCAGAAAACTAGCGCGCGCGGCGTACAACTGGAGGCAAAATCTCACGGTTTACCCGCTGCCGCACGCTTTCTTTTTAATTGTTTTTGCGCGTTTCTGAACCGTTTTCGAATCGGTTTTCTGTTCTGAGAGGTTGTCAGAACTGAGCTTAACGTTTTGGTATAAATCTTTTGTATAACTCTCGTAAGAATTTTTGATAAAATATCAAAAAACTACTTAGAAAAAAGGTCAGAAGGAATTTTCAACTTATTTTCCTTTTTTCTAATCAGAAAAATTATTATCATTCGATTTGGAAGAAAGAAAAAATGAAAAATGATGTTATTTCGAAATAAAACAGGAAAAAGTGCAATTTGACTCCGAAAAACGGCTCCTGCAACATTTAAAATGGCGCATCGGTGTGTTTGACGCAAACACAGCTACGAATGCTTGCACGAATTCTTCCAAAATTTCAAAAAAAGTTGCCATTTTTTCGAGGTTTTCAAAGCCGTTATTTTTTTCGCGTCGTTAGATTTTCAAAAATTTTTACTCGAAAAATAAAGAAAGTGTTAATATATAACATACTCAAAATTTAGAAGCGTTCCTCACTTAGTTTTCTGAAACGCGACGATTTTATGAAAGTTGTCAGATTTTTTTCGTGTGAAATCTTACTTTTTTTCGCTTATTTTTTTGAAAAAAATACATAGTTTTAAAAAAATATTCAGTCTTGTAGAGCGTTGTTGATTACATGGATTAACAGAAACAGTTCATTTTTAAAGTGGGACTTTAGCTAGTATAAACGCCTCAAAACCGTTTTTGCAACAAAAAAATCGTCATTTTGGTGGCGTGAAGGGGCGGGGCTTTGCGCCCCCTACTCATAACTTTCTTTTTACTCTTTACGTTGTCTAGCCGTGGAAAGAGCTCTAGTTTTTTTTCGAATGGAAAACTTAAAATCAAAAGTGTTTATATATTTGAAAACCCTTGAAATTGTTAATAAGCGTAACGTGCAAATTAATTTGCTGGATGGCGTCTGATATCGGTGTACGTCATCCCTGTTGCGATGACTTGCTTCGAAATTCGATTCGTTCATTCCATTTCGCGAAACTCGGCGCTCAACTTCGTCTGGAAAATCTACGGGTTTATAGTTTTTTTTTTTCAAGTCTATTGTTCAATTTTGGAGATTTATCTGTTTCTTATTTGGCGAATATTTTCGCTTTGTTAAGTTCGTTTCTTATTGGATAGCAATGTTCACGGAGATGGGCAAGCCATATAATGTATGTTTTCTGGTAAAAGAATTTTTTTCAAAGTCTGGCTAACTGGGAACCCAATAAAACTATTTTATCTTTAATTCTTGGAAATAGTCAACTTTCAAAGTAGCTTTTCGTTGACTATATCTTTAAATCATTACTTTACAGGCATGAAACAGATTTAAATAGAACAAGTTTTGACAAAAGTTCGATGAGCAAAAAATTGACGTCCATCTTTTTTGTGTCCTCAGAGAACCTGAAATGAAGGAAACTCGATACGCAGACGAAACTCCAAAAAAATAACTTTTCTTTCAGCATACACGAATTAGCTTTGTGAGAATAAAATAATTTCAATTTCAACTCAAAATGAAATAGAAAAGAAATATCGTAGATGCTATCAATTAGGGAGACCAGCTCAAAACGCAAGCTATTCTCAGTTTCCAATTAAATGCCTAGAAATTTCTCCCTTTGCACACTTTTTCCAGAAAGTATGGGTTTCAATTAGAGTTTTCATACAGAATTAGTATGTTCGGGTTATCAAACCTAATGAGTCAGAATTTCGAACCTCGAATAAAAAAAGTAATTAAGTCAAAAATTGGTCCCAGAAACTTTTTTTCCATATATATTTATTTTGATTTTTTTGTGTATTTTGATTTTACAAAATTTCCAAAAATTTGAAATCCTTTTTAAAAAGAAAAAGATTGGAAAAACTAGAAAAAAATTGAGATATAATAAAAAGGATTTTTTTGATCGTTAACCAGCATGAAGATCTCTTCAATGTTGGTCGACGGCTGAAAACAAACAAGGATAGATAGGTTGGCGCGCGGAAAGAGAATACAGATTGGCGCAGCAGAGGCTCTCCGGAAAGACTTCTCTTTTTTTTCGCCTCATATGAACCTGGCTTTTCGCGCTTCTTCTATTTCTTTGAATGTGGAAAACACTTTCGAAGAAAATCTTAAAAGTAGCAACATGCACAACTCGCTTATTTGCAAGAAAGCAATTTTCAATGTTTCTAAGGGCGCAGTTTTGAAAAAAGTTGACATAGTTTTGTTTTTTTTTTTTTGGAAAATCGTGCAAGTTGATACTTTCACTACTTTCCTATGGGCTTTTTTTAAAAGAGCTGAAATCATAGGTCAAGTGAACTCGTTTTTTAACCTGTTCAGTTTTTGTTGTCTTCTATGCGTTTTCTGACAGAATGGAAGTCTGCTATTTTTAAAGTTTAGTCGTGAAAGATCTTACTGAAGAATTGTGACCGAAACAGCATTGTGAAGAGCCATCATTATCGCATTCGTCCGTGGGAATGCATATCCAACGCTGCGTCTCTGACTTCTAAGGGGCGGAGCCATTGTCTCTGTCGCCCTAAGCTCTCGCCTTGGAGAATACCCGCCCATAGGCCGTTTTCCACTCACTTTGCCTTGGACCCTATCGTCTAGTTATGTAGTACCGGAGTATTTCCTCTCAAACTCTTTTCGAGCCTTTCTCTCCCTATGATGACCGACTCATTGAGCTTTTTCCCTTTTTTGAGCGATGAAATTAGAGCTTGAATATATTAATGTAAAAACTTTGCATTATCAATTATTGAAGTAATGGAGTGGAAAAATATGTTTACGGTATATTATGAATGAGTTTTTGGGAAACGTAACTTCAATGAGAAATCAAATGAAAAATAAATAATGTTTCCAATTTCGTGCCAATGCGTTTCCAAGGCAACCATACTTACGGTGTAACAGGGCGCACTCCAGTCTTATCCACTGTGAAGTTCATTTTCTTTTTGGAATTTTTTTTTTTTAATTTCATTATATTTTGAAACAGTTTGGCGCCATATTTCAGTGGATAAAAAAAATGAGATGGATCTTTTAATTATAAAAAGTTGAACCAATATAGCAAGTTTGATATTCAAAAAAAACTGTTGCAAAAAGTAAGCGTTTTGTATTTCGAAAACGTTGAGCTCCTTTTTTTTCTTGTAAAGATTAGAATAAATCAAATGGAAGGAAATTATTTTTGCCTTTTCAAGAGAGCAACACCAGCTTGTCTCAGTGTGAATCCTTAGGCCTCCTATAAATCAAATATAACCGTCAGGAGTTCCAGTCGTGAACTTCTAGGTTTACTCGCGGTGATAAAATATTTTTTTTTCAAAAACCGATCCCTTGGTTTTGTCAGACGAAGGCACCGAATGCAAATTATTGGAAGTTTGGTGCGTCACGCAGCGTTAATTGCGACGTTGACGGTGCCGCCTGACAGTTTACCTTAAGTGGTAGTCGTTGAGTTTTTTTTTTCCTTTTTTTTGTAGTGTCGAGGTCGAGGTCGTAAAGCGATCGTGTGTGTCTAGGTCTTGGCGAGTTTTCTGCGCTATTTATGTCAATTCGAGACGCTGAAAGTGCACGAAGAGGTTGTTTCGTGCAGAGAGAAAAAGCTCACGCAATATGCCCTTCGGCCTTCCTCCAACTCCGTCTGCTTCCTCCTTTTCCCCTTTTTGGAAGGTTTTTAAGTGTTGAACTATTGAAGGGAAGGAAAATGCGGAGCTCACACGAGGAGTACACTAATTTCCAATTTTCAACTTGAAGCCGGGTTGCTCTTTGATTGAATTCCAATCTCGAATGAGAATTTGAAAGATATATGCTCTTGAAATGAGGTTCTACAACTCTAAAGAGCTCTGCCTTCCTCTCTGAAAACGGTACAATTGAATATTTTCTAACAGTGTAACTCAAAATGTAACTGAACTACCGTGACGAAATTATCTACTCTCTCTCTCGGTTTTTTACCCAGTTTCCAAAGTTGTCTATGAGTATTGAAGGAGCTCTTCCGTAATTTGCCTGCGTTGAACTAGTAGGGTGAGGTCTTAGGGAGGCTTGGTTCTCGATTAATGAGAATGCCCGACTGCACTTTTTGATGCAGGAAGCTCACAGAAAAAAAATATTCGGGAAGATTTTGCTTTCATTATAAGGAATAATACCTAGACTATGAGAGACAATGGTAAAATTATATTCGTAAAGAATAGGAAGAGCAGAACTTTCAAGATTTTTTCAGAAGGAAAACGTTACAAGTGAGCATTCTATTATTTTAAAACAGGAATCCTGAAGTTTTCAAATTTTAATGTAATACATTTGCTAATGAAAAAGTCTTTCGGCGGCGCTTTTTACCTCGAACGCTGCCGTCTCTACTCATATCAAGTTTCTTTTGCTCTCAGCGCTAATGGTTCTTTGACCCAAAAGTCAAATAATTATTTTTTTACCTTTACAAAAAATGTTTACCTGGTTCCTTTTTGGAAACTGTATAATCAGGGATTGAACTGCGAAAACTCGCGATTTTTTTACCCTTTTTTTGTTAGTAAAAAAAGATTCTTTTTAAGAAATAGCTAAAATGAATAGAAGTAGAACACTTTTTTTCGGTTAAATACTTTCCATTTCTAACTATCCCTGTTTATTCAACACCCGTTTTCTCACGAAGTCTTTATTTCCGATTTCTTTTTTATTGACGTCTTTTTTTCGCAGGCAAATGATGTGGACGCTGCGCTCGCCGATTCTCAGCTGCCACGACCAAGTCATGGAGGGCGTACCAACACAAGACATGCTGGTATTTTATTTTTATTAGAAAAAAAAAACTAAATCCTTTGAAAATGTGAGTTTGAAGTTTCTGCAGAAAACTCGGATAAAATATTTTTTTCAATATGTTTTTTGAAAACTTTGACTAAAAACCTCTTTCATTTTACGTTCATTCCGAAAAAAAAAACAAAGTTGGAGTAAACGAATTCCAATTCTACCACCCTATACTCTGTTTCAATTTTTTTTTGTTTCGTTTCTGGTAACAGACCTTCTCTTCTGTTTACGGACTCGAGTCTCACATTTCTGAACTTTTGCGGGTAACGAAAAACAGACCTTTCATATTTTTCTGAAAATATGATTACAGAGGCTTACTTGAGACCTAGCGTTGTAATGGTACTTCAAGGAGTTTTTTTTTCGTTTTTAAGAGCCACTGGTAGGAAACATTTATACGAATAATAAGTGAGGGTAATAAGTTTCATTAACCGCTAAGAAAACAATCTGAACAGATTTCAAGTTTTATTTAACGGATGAGATTGATAATATGGACAGGAGAACTTGCAAATAAAGCCTCCAGGATCAGAATGAATCTTTGATTCATTTGTCGTTCCGGGCTTTTAAACCCAAGAGCTCATTTGAGCTAAGCAAAAAGTCGCATTTCAAAAACTTTCCCATTTTTCTCGGCATGAAAGACGTGAGCTCCAACAGAGATTGGTAGGACTTTGGAGGTGCGTTTTCTTTCTGCTTTTTGGCCAGTCGTTTCATCTCGGTTTTGCTTCGTTCGCTTGAATTACTACGAGGAGCTCAACTATGGCCTACGGAAGAATCGATTTTCGTATTTTTTTTCGCCGTATATTTTTTGTCCGCTGTGGCCTAGCGGCGCCGTTCTGTCTGATGCTAAGCATTTTTGGTTGCGGGCGCTGACAGTTTTCTACGTTGCTGTGTTCTCAACGGCGCTTTTTTTCCTTCTCTCGGGTTTGCCTCTTTTTCTTTTCATCCTTCTTCTCTCTCAAGAGACTTTGTCAATATGAATACTAACGGATCGAGTTGATAATAAGAAGTTGCTGAACTTCGTTCGTTTTTTTTTCTTTGTTAGAGATTGTTTCACGGTGTTTTCTATTTTGTTTTTAGTTTTGGATTTTTGATCAGAAAACATGAAGAAAAGATGATAGACATTTCGGTCACTAAAAGCAAGTTGCGCCCAACAATCGGCCTTTTTTTCAAAAATTTGTATTTGAAGTAAAGTACAGATTTTAAATCTTTGTTATATCCGTCTGCCTTTTATATAAAAATGTCCTTGAAAACAATGAATAAAGGGTAGGGTGAAGGTCGACACCTAATTGGTCCGCGGTTTTCGGGCTGATTGTCGTCGGCGTAGATTTCTGTTTTATTATTTCTTTTTTTTTTGCTCGTTTTATGACAGGAACAGGTGGCGACGGACGGCGACAAAGGTGAGATGAGGTTGTTGGTTGGTTGTCCTCTCGGAGGCGACTGGCAATCTCTAACCAGTCATCACTACCCACAGCCAGTCGATGTCTGTTTGCGTGTTAATTAATGGAATTCAGTTGCGAACGCCTCCTTTTATGTTTTTGACAATTAGTCTGCAAAGAAGCTTTGGTTTTTTTCAAAATGTTTGGTCCACTTTTTCTTCTCGTGTCAGTCAAAGGTCGTAGGTAGTTATTGAAGAAAATAAGATCACTTTATCTAGAATTTTCGGAAAATTGAATAAAGGAAAGATTTTTGATGTGTCAGAGAAAGTTCTAACAGACCTAGATTTTTTGAGAATTGACGCCTTGAATTTTTTGTTGATTGGAGAGTTTCTAGAAAAGCAATTTTTGAGTTCTCATGATAAATAGAATTTCGTGCAGGTTTGGGCTCAGAGAAAATTAGTCTGAAAAAGGAAATAGTTTTTCAAAGAAGTTTTCAAATAAGTACACACCAATTGTTACTTTTTTAATGTGATATTTTTTAAACAAAAAGATTGCTGAATAATTGTATCACGTTTGAAATTTGCGGCTCCTTGAATTATGATTCGAGAGTACCGAAAATTGGTTATTATACCTCGTTGCGAGAGAAGGCGTAATTCGATTCACATCTTCTCCTATCGTCTCTCGTCTCGCGCCGGCCACGGCTCGTTTGCTGCTCATCGCTCGGTCGGCTGGTTTCGAGGGCTGACGAGAAGGAAACCTTCTTTCTTGCTCTCCCTCTCTTTTCTCTTTCAACACTTTTCCCACTTCTCCTGTGCGGAAAATGCCTTTTTGGGTCTCCTTAGAAAAGTTGTAGCGGGGAAGCTTCGAATTTGAGAAGAAGAATGAGACTTTTTGTTAAGTTTTTTAGAGTTTTGATAAAGTTTTCAGTTATTATTGAAAGAGAAAGGAGAAAGCTATTGGTTTTGGTCGCATAAAAGCGGTCAGCTCTCCGAACTTGAGAATATTTTAAGGAAAAATGAGAAAAACTATATTTGTGAACGCGGAAAAAAAGATCCAAGAACGTCGTTCATACGTCCTTAATCCCTAGCGCCTTAATCCTCCTCACCCAAACCTTATGAATGAATGAATGCGACATAAACGAGAGGCTGGCTGGCTGTAGTCAATGACCTCAATCGTGATTTTTTCTTTCTTCTTCTTCTTCGTCCCGAATCGATTTTTCTCCTTTTGTTCGTGTCACTTGGGGTGGCGAGTCCGTGTTTGCGTGTGCCTTTGATGACAGCAAATACCATATTCCACCAAATGCAAATGCAAAGAAAGAAATTTGCACATCTCTTCTTTCTATACGATCGTAGACGGGTGCATTTTTTGACGATGTGTTGAGATAGTTCATGAAAGAGCTCCAATTTTCTTGTTGGAAATTATTTGGCATAATTAGGTTAAAACTCTCGAAGTAGATTGTTTTGGTAAGAAAAAAGTTGTCAACTTAGATTATTAAAAGAAGCTCATTATAATACTGTTGAGGAATTTTCAAGAAACTAGAAAAAAAACGTTCTTAAAAACATGTGACGTTTGAACTACAGCTGCAGACACAATTCGAAAAAAAAATATTTTGAAATCATTTAGTCCGCGTTTACATTAGTTTTGAACAGCAAAGTTTTTTTCGACTCGCAAGGGCTCATAAAACAACAGCGCCCAATTATGTGCTGAATGAAGTTGGTTTTGCCTGCCCTGTGTAACAAAAGCTCTTTCTTTCCTTTTTTTTTTTCTTGGTTGAGACCTGAATGGAAGAGAAGTGAGGGAAAAAAATAAAAAAAGTTCAAAAAGAAGAAAATAGCCGAATATCATAAATATTGATAATTTTAACACCGTCCACGCATTTTCAGGTGATTCTAGAATTAATCAGAAACTTTTAAGGCACTTCTGGCTTGCGTTCCCAGTGTCTGAGCTAGAAGAAAATTTTCTAAAGTCCAAATTTACACTTACCCTATGTTTCTGGTAGATTTTCTGCTCTTGAGCTGGACTCAAAAGATTCGACTTGGTTAAAAGAGCTCATTGTCATTATCGTTGCGCGACTTCCGGAAGCTGTGATAGACGTTCCCGCGGGAGCACGCCTTGATCAATGAGATGTAGAAACATCTGGCCAACTCCTTTTTTTCTCCTTTTCATGCCTTTTGCGTCATTGATCTGTAGAGGAGCAAATGGCGACTGCAAATCAAGATTTCGCAATGATGGGCCATCCGTCCGTTTTTGGTGCAATGCATCTGCCGTGTAGAAAAGGCAGGAAAAAGGGCCAACGGTGTTGGAAGAAAATATTTTGAAAAAAAAATAAGTAGTGATAATATCATTGATGACTTATTTTTTTCCCGATATTTTTTTCTGTTTAACTATGAAGTTTTGTGGTTATTCAGAAGAAATAAGCAGTGGAGGCTGTATGCACCAATTAATAATATCGAATAAAGTTTTAAAAAAGGCTTTCAATATTCATTGTAACTGAAACTATCAGGTTACAGCATTTTAATGAAAAAAACCTCTTTCAACTCAGCGGGATAATACATGTGTTTCATTTGATAGTAAATAAAGTTTTTTTCGTTGCAGGTAATGATGGAATTGGACGCAGCGTCGATCGTCGAGCTGGAATTGCATCATCCGAATCAGCATGAGGTGCGGGCGTCAATTCTTTTTTTTTTCTTTTCGAAATTATTCGCAAGGCACAGTTTTTGCATTTCCTATTTGTTCTTTGCGCTGCTATTGGCCTCAGTTTTTGAAATAGAAAATAACACTTTGGTCACTGTTTCGACGGCGCTTATTCATCATCTCGTTATCTTTTTTTTCTTGTCTTTTCCTTCCTTTCTCAGTTGCCTTCCTTTACAATGCCCCACTTTTGTGCACTTTGTGACGTCAGACAGCCAAGATGTGATGAGTTCGAGGTGAATTTTTTGGGGTAAATCCTTCAAAGTAAGCTCAACTCATTGTTAATATGTTACAGAAAATGAGCTATTTATAGTCGAGTTTAACTAAGTTTTGAATTTTTGAAAATGAAAAGTTAGCGTTTTAACGTTTGAGGAGTGCTTTTTGTTCATCAATCAGCCAGAATACATATTTTCTATGTAATTTCCTGATTTTTTTAACGACCATATTTCGTAACAATTGTGAAATATTTGCTCAGATAGAGGTAAAATGATGTCTTTTTTTGGTTTGATTTTTTTGATTTTTTTTTTAAATCCAATCAAGGGATTCCTCTGGAGGGACGAACACAAATGACACTTTTTGTGCGATCCATGAATGCGATATCGCCATTGAGATTCGAATCTTGGGCTGGAACTCATAATCGATAGTTTTAGAGGAAATTTCATGCTGAACTTTCAATGAACGTTTAAGTGCCGAAGATTTTCATTTGCAAACATATTTATGATTTCCAGGGCCAAGTAACCTTTAAATATACCGTAGTGAAAATGAAATTATGCTTAGCGAACTTTTGAAAACTTATTTAATTTATACAGTTTTAAGGTTTCAATGCAACAACTCTCCAACTTGAAACAAATCGCTCGGAAGCTGTGTGACGAAAACGAGATTGATCTGGATCTGCTCATCAAGCAAGTCGTCACCGGCAATCAGGTTCGAATTGAAGAATTTTTGCTCCAAAATGATCCAATTTGTTTAACTTCGCTTACACAAAAGTGGAGCTATTTTCATTGATGCGAGAGAGGGATTCATAACCTCAGAGAGAAAACTACTTTGTTTTTTTAAGATTCATTCCCAATATTTTAGGTGATTGTGGAAAGTGCGGACCCATCACTGTGTCGTCAGTTTTTACTGGCCGTCTCGAACCTTTTACCCATCGGATGTCTCAAACTCAGCACCTACAAAGAATACTACACGCAGGAGTCGATGTTGGTTGTTTTTTTTTCTCAGTTTCTGCTTTCAACTCTTGAATCTGCTGACTCCAGAACAAAAACTTCGAGAAATACTTGAAAGTTATGTTCTTCAAATATGAGTCTGATAAGTTTAGTCACCGATTCACGCTGATTGGGGGTCCTCCGAACATGGACATCCCACTCGATCTGGACGATGTTTTGGTGTTGTGCATCATTTCAAACGGCATGATCTATGGCGACGAGAATGTCTCCTTACGTGGGTGTCGCATACAGGTTGGAATTATCTCTTTGAACTTTTACAGATCTTCTTTGCCATTTTCTGAATTCATTCTTATTTTTTCAAAAAGCAATCTATAAATATTATTTTCCAGGTGAAACGTCGACCTGCGCTGCTGGAGAAGTGCCCACAAATAGTGGGTCGTTACAAGAAGCTGTTGCTCGACAGCGAAGTCGTCGACACGGTGTTGGAGACGACGTTGAGGTCGACGCGCGAGTTCTGGATGGGCAAGGCGAAGCTCTTCTACCAGATGCAGAAGCAGATCAGCCAGGCCGGCAGGACTGAACTCATGCGTTTCATCAAGGGTATCAACAACGAGGTGAATCGCTCGGGCTGCTTAAGTAGAAATGTTGATAATAATAATGGACCCATTCGCAGAGCAGGGTGAACTGTAATGATCTAAAATTTAAAAAAAAAAAGACGGGATAACACGGGCTCCTTGCTGAATTGATATGAAAAACTCGTTTGAAGGTAGATTTACTAGTGGACTTTTCAAAAACTAGGGACGGTGGCTGAGATTTATAAGTCCTTCCAAGTAGGAATGGAGATTGAAAACTGACTTTGAGGACATAATCGAAGTTTTATCCTAGTCGCAGCGAAATGAGACTTTTCAGAAAATAAACATTTTTTACTTTTGAAATTTCATTCCCTTTTTCACAACGAAAAACATTTAATTTTTAATTTTTGGTTGGTCAACATGCAACTTTCTTTACTTGCAGGACTTTGACGTAGTGAGTTTCTGGCAAGAAGGGCTCTCAAAAGCGTACAAGGATCATGTTTTGGCGACCATCGAGTACCCCGACGAACACAGTGTCCTCGGCTGACTTCCGTTTCTCCACCATCTTCCCATCAGTCTCACATCATCCCCACCATCAGTTTCTTTGACGGCTGTGCCGGCTTTCTCCTCACCAAAATAATATATCTCATATTATAACCTCTTTTTCTTCTTTTCTTTTTCGTTCTACGTTTTAGAACTTTTCTTACATGCATTTTTTGTGCAGTCTTTTAACTACGTCAACGACGCTTTCGGAAACGAGTTGTTGCCGTTGTGATTCCGGAGTGTCGTTGACTAGGGTCTTTTTGTTATCAAGATCGGTCGTTTCTCGATATTTTCTGGCCTAGTTCATCTGATGGTTAATATATCAAAATTGCCTTCAATTTTAATAATTTCAATTTATTTGCTGCGCGCGAATGAGCTTGGAGAAATCGCTGGCTCAAAATTGGAGACCCCAAAAACCTCGATTTTGATTTAAGTTTAACTCAGTATGAATTTAAATATGCATTTGATGTACGGAAAACCCTTTTTAGGGTTTCAAGTTCCTTGAAGAGGACTTCTGGCCGTGATCAAGGTTTAGGAGATCGTTTGCACCTCCTAAGGGCTGAGCGACTTTTCCTATTCAGGAAAAAAATACAATTTTCATATGACTTTCTAGGGCTTTGTTCTGTTTTCTCTAATTCGTCATCAAAATGTTGAATCTCTTTTTTTTTCTTATTTTTATATCTTTTGCTCGTCCATCGGTCTTCAAACACGTTTTTGGGTCTAGCTTTCAGCCGTTTTGGTGTCTAGTCGTCCCCCTTTTCTCGTAAACTGTCCGGTAGTAGCTAGTTTGAATACATAATAACATATTTTTCAATGGTCCAACAGGAAGGAAATCCTTGTCTGACTTGTCCGATATCGCATAGGTCTCATATATTTTATCGATTCTTTGCACTTGTATGTCATGTCAATAGAACATTTCATGATACTCCACGATTCAAAAATTGAGCCTCGAACTCTTTTGGAATACCATCTTTTCATGGGTAGATTTCCTTCATTTTCGTCTTGTTTTTAGTTCGCCCCCGATTATATTTTCATCCGTCAGGAATGGGTCTCTACGTATTGTTTTAAACGTTTTTTAGTCGATTCGATTCAATTTTACGTTTTTTAGACTTACTTAAACCAACTAATAATATTTTACTTTTTCTTGTGAATGAATTAATGAGCTGTTGCAAGGCGTGTCTACTCAGATCTGTTCTGTTTTACCCAAAAAAAGAAACTTTTTCATGTTTCGGTTTTTGTTCTCTCTTTGGTGCAATAAAAATTTTATTTTAGCACGACAAAAAAAAAGCCAAATTCGAAAAAAAAAGTTTGACATGCTTTTTTACTCGTATTTTTTTTGGAATAATCTGAAGGCTACACTTTTATAGCAAATTTACAGAATATACAAATTACTTTAACATCTCGATGCGCGTTATGAGGACGTGACCGATGTCGGTGACTTTGGTGGCGACAGCTTTTTCGAGATTTGAAATGTGCTTCAGGTCGACACAACACGTCAACTCGCCCTGAATACTTCTGGTTTGTAACTGTTTTTAATATGTTTCTATTGAAATTTCGATCAAAGGATCTGTTACGTAACCACTAAATATGTCTCCTCTAGATCAACTTCGTCAAATGTAGCCTTTAAAAAAATTCCATTCCTCTTTCGGAATTTCTAAAAATTTCCCTGGAAAAGTTAGTTAATACCTTATTCCTCTGCAAGTTGGAAAGCAGCCAGCACATAGAGACGCCTTCTTCGTCGTCGGTGAAGATCTTCTCTTTCGTAGTATGCAAGTCCTGTCAAGTTTACGGTAAAGAGTTAGCATGGATCACTCGCTTTGACGAATGAGAGGTAAGCTCTGTGCTCCAAGGCCTTCTGGCTCAGCCTCACGTCATCGTCATCGTCGTTGGTCTCTGACCTCAGATCCCCGACCGAAGAGAACACGTACACCTGCAAACATATGGAATAAGAATGGTTTGGCCAGTTTTCGGACTTTGTTGGTGAAATGACCACAGAAGTCGAACCAAATCGTTACGCAGAGACACTCAGCTTCGAAGCGAACAATCACCGGGTTCGGCAGTTCTAAAAAACTTTTATTAGTGGAGATGCATGAAAAATTCAACAAGTTTCTAAAGTTTGCGGAGGTCACTTAACTTGGTTCTGAAAAGGCTATCAAAAAATGAAGAAAAACCGTGCATGAGGCGCCAATGAAGAGTATGATGGTCGAAAGAGAAGGTGTGGCCGTCGAAAACCAGCGGATCACACAGGCTTCTTGGTCGTGACAACGTACTCCGCACCTCTGGCACCTGTACGTCGCAAACCTTCTTGTCCTCCTCGATGTCTGAGTTCGGCTGTATTACATTCATCAATAGTCTTGGAAAAGCACTAGACACGAGAGCGTGGTTCAAATTAAATCCGTTTCAAAATGCACCGTAATCGCAATTATTTTTTTTGACCTGCGAAAGCTATTGAGCCTGTAAATGATACACCTAAAATGATATGAAGATAGTAAAGATAGTAAGCGAAAGTATAGTCTTAAAGATAGTAAGCGAAAGTATTGTCAAAAATCAGTGACGACATGAATTAATGGATTGAAACTCCAACAGAATTACCGATCCAAAAAGGATCTTTGATATAATTATAGTAAATTGATGCGTTCTCTCGTGAAAATTTTCAAGATGATATCTCAAAGATGGAATCGAGCTGACAACTTTGCGAATCGCTCCATTGTTTTTCGCCAAAGTGAAAAAAAACCTTTTAAAACGCGATTGAGCATGTCGAAAACGGAGCGATTGAGCATGACGTGATTCTTGAGATACTTCATGAACACACCGTTTATCTCACCTTTCACCTTGAAATGATTTATATTCACTTGAGAATCACAGAAAAAACAACTTCATAGGCGCCGACGCCACCACTCGTCGAATATCCATAGACGACGTTCCGAGACGGACGATGTCTTGCCTTGAACTGCTCCGCGTACTCGACAAACGCCGGGATGCACTCGTAAGGAATAAACTTGCGACAAACGTCCAGCAGAATCAAGTTCAGAGCGGGATTGTAGTCGCGGAACGTGGACAGCACCTGGTTTTTTTAAGTTAGTTTATCGAATTTCAAGCTTCATGCGTGAAAAAAGCCTTGAAAAAAATGGTAGTGAAAAATAAAGAGAAAATGCGTTTCATTCACCCAATCCATAGAGAGCGAATGCTTCGGCTGATGAGCGTCGGCCGGCGCATCTACAGCGAGAAGGTAACACTGGCCATTGACTTCGAACCCGTGGCCCACAAAGTAAAACACGGCTAAAAGGTTTTTTTCGCCATTATTTGAAGCTGAAATCTCCTCACCGTAGACGCCATTCCCCAAAAGTTTCCGATATTCCTTCAGAACAAACTTCATTTCTTCCAGAGTCAGGTCCGCCAGAGTTACGGTCTTGTATTTCATTTCCTGGAATCGCGGAGTAAAATTAAGAGCTTCGAAACATTTTTTACGGACATTTATGTTGAAATCAAACGAGAATCTGACAAGGGAGGTTTTTCACTTTTCAGTTGGGATTTTCCTGAAAAATGGCGGAAGCACTCCTTGATGTATATACCAAAATAAGGTTCTGAAAGTCTCAACCTTCAAAACTTTCTAGTTTTTGAGAAATAAGAACTCAAAGTCCACGAAACAGCTTATTTTAACGGATTCTCGGGTTTTCTCGGACGGTTGAGACATTTAGAATCTTCTTTCGCTACATCAAGAATTGTTCTGGACAATTTTCTGAGAAATCTGAAAAGTAAAAGAAATGACGTTCCTTGTGAGTAAAAAATATCATTTCAAAAGCACTTTCAACACCTTATTCACTTTTTTTTGAGCCTCTTAATAATGCTTTTTGAGTTTCATTCATCTCGTTTGTCTTAGCCAGTTCAAGTTGATACTGCAGAAAAGAAATGCTTTCGGATCAAATTCACTTTGACAGTTCAGAACCTGCAGAGCCATGGCGAGGGTTTCGGCGTCGCAGTGAGGTGTGACGAGCTCGGGAAGATGTCGGTAGGCACAGTTACTGATGATCATCGCAACTTTGTCCGCGGCGATCAGGGACTCGTCCTCCTGATTCAGTGCTGAAGGTTTATTTTTTTCTTCTCGATCTCCTTTCAAGGATCCCTACACTGAACGTTTTGCTGCGGAGATTCGTCATTATTGAGATTCATGATTTCCCGCAGGTCGTTGTAACTGTTCGGTCGACATTTGTCGCATACTGAAACATGAGATATATACTTGTTTCGTGAAAAGTTGTGATATTCAAATTTTGACAGCCTTGCTGTTTGAGGGAACGTTTTTAACCCGATTTGCGTATTTTGCGGAATTTGAAGCTTCATAACTCGAAAGCAAGATCTATTGCTAGAAATTTCTTTCGTGAGGTGTTCGGGCTTTTAAACGTTTTTTGAAGTTTGATGTGATCCGCTATGAAACTTTTATTATATTTCTTTCAAGTTTTTTTTTCAAATTTTTCGTATGCAGTCACTTACGGTCAGATTCGCGTATAAATGGCGCGACATCTATTTCTTTGGACTCTAAGGTCGAGGAAAATTGCTTGCCGGCCCTGCGGTAAAACGCAGAAAAGGAAAACCCTTCGCGAACTTCATTGTGAGCGAAACATCTGAACGTCCACCGTGCCACACATGCGCACCTCAAAAAAAAGCTGTCTTTTCGCAATTTTTCTACTCGCAAAACCTGGGAATTTCCAAGATTCTCTCGTCGGAAATGGTGTCGTCTCCCTTGTACCAGAGGATATTTGGCGATGGGAAGCCAACGGCTTTGCAATCCAGTCGAATCGTCGATTCTGTCACCGAAATCGTTACTTGTTCGGATCGGCCCCAGCGTAGCTCTTCTGTTAAAATGAATAAATAATTCTGATGCACGGCTTTTTTTTTTCTATTCATGCTCTAGATTTGAGATACTTTTGACACATTGTCTGTGAAACATGTTTCCATCTTTCTTCATGGTCAGAATATATTTTCAGGTAGGGAGAAGTTTTTTTTTCCATCTTGTTTTATGGCTTTACTACTCACTGAACTTGCGCGACAAAATGAGTTGAGGGTTGTCAAGGGCTCGAGAAATTTTGGAGAGTTGCTGAAGTCGCGCCAAGAAGTCTTGTACCTGAGGTTCCAGAGCTTATTTCATGACAGTCAGTTCAATGGGTATATTTGAAAGTTTTGCAGTATCATAAAACGAAAATTATTTTACGTTAGTTATTTTATAACGTGACCGTCTCGCGCGGAACGCACTACATTAAAATGTTTTTGCTGAGATTTTAGAGATCTGAAAGACTTTGAAAAAAAAAACAAGCATACACTGCAAAAACTTCTTCGCCTTGAGTTTTTCATGTTTTTTTTTCCCCCAAAACACTTCAATGAAATGTATTGAAATCGACTGTACCGTTTGACCACGGTTCCCCCATAACCGAAGAGCTGCCTCGCCTGGATTACGCTGCCGCCGAAGAGTTTCAACCTCGTCTGCGCTAAACCAAGGATGTTCATTCATTTTGTTGAATTCCATCGATTCGGAACCTCATTGAATAGATTGTGAGATGATTTGTATCGACAATCTCGAGCCAAAGATCGTTGTTCGTCAAGCAATGAGAAAGCTGGTGAAACGTCTGCAGCGGCAGATCCGCCAAGTTCGTACTTAGTGCCGCCATTCGCTCCTATTTTGATATTTTTTTCTTGCAAACTGATACAGAGATTCAAAACTCAGTGATAATCTTTTAAATTTAGTTTCTGAACAACATTTTTCTGAAAAAAACGTTTTTTTTTCCGCTGTTTTGCATAAGTTTGGTGTGTCATCTTTTGAGCGCCCCCTTGGGACCTCCGAGCATCGGCCTCTCATCGTTGTTTCAGAAGATGAACTGATATTTCCAAGAAATTTTGCAAGTAAATAATTTAGTAATATCTTTCTTTTTTTTTCAAAGCTTCGGCCACCTTTTATTCCAGCAAGAAGAAAAAAGAAAAAAACCTTGCGACTAGAAGCTCACGGCCCTCTCTATGAATGCTACGACATCGTCACGTTTTTCGCGTAACTGCAAAACAATTTTTGCCTCTTTTCTCATTCTGTCGTCAGCTACGAAATAGATATGTACGGCAGCCCGGACAAGAAAGTTTGACTCGATATTTAGGGTGATAGGGAATCAGCAATAGTTTTCAATTCAGACAAGCCCATCTCCTGTGGGACTTTAAATTATATCAGAACGTTTCTTTCGTAGTCGCAATCAACAAAAAATATAGGGGAGATCGCCTTCTATGTGCGTATGAAATATTAACAAGTATTTCTGAATGCTTGTCAACCTAGAAATCAAAGCTCATTGCCGTTTTCTGATTTTTTTTACATACCTGCTACGAAACAAATAAACGCGAGACCAACATAATCATACTAAAAACAAGAATATGAAAAACGCTTTATAGTGATATCATGATCGGTTCTTGTACAATTATTACATTGCTTTTTATTGAAATGATTGTTCTTTTAGAATAAAAAAAAACAATTACATCATATTATTAAAAGCGTTATTTCTCGTTGTCAAACTGCCATCTTAGTCGCTTAAAAGTTTTTTGTTTTGATGAAAATTGGCGAATTATTTTGTTTATTTTGTTGTTTTAGGCATAGGTGTAATCGACTAGGCGGTTAACAAGAAATTTGAGAATTTTCAAACCAAAAGAGGTTTAAATTGCAAGATAAAAACTGGAAGGGGTGGCAGCTTGAGAGGTGAAGGAACGGGAAGTCAAACTCAAGAGGCAAAACCGACACACCTAGAAATGTCTTATGAACAGAATATTGTCCTATAAGTAATTAACTTTTTTGAACTACATTTCTTTCAACTTTTCCAAAAGTTCTGGTTTCTTTTTTTTTTCAATTCAAAGCCTTAACAAGTAAGGTGAACATGCAAGTTTTCTCGGGAGCGAAAGAAGTGCGCCGAAACCAGTTAGTCTTCTCGAAGAAGCTACAGTGGTCGTCGTCGCGCTCCCCGTAGTGAAGACCATTTTACTGCGTATTCAGCGTCCGTTTGCTGAGTATCAGCAGCTTTGCGTGTTCTGCGGAAAGAGGGTCCACAGAAAACTCTGGCCAGAGGGACAGAGACGCAGAGCCCCGCCCACTTTTCTGCGTGTGTGCCAAGTATCGATCGGTCCCGTCCAAACAATCGATTTTCTTTCCTTAATCGATTTTTGCTTCAATTTCTTTCTATTGAACTATTCAATTGTATTTAGTTATAAAAATTTGCTCAATTTCAAGCTTTCTTTGTTTTTATTTTCTGGGGAAGAATGTTCTTTGAATTATTTTTTTATTAAATAAAAAATTGGAAATTTTTTTTCCTATTTCTTGGAAGACTTTTTATTTGAAGGGTAATATTTTTTTGTCTTTTTCTCTCAACAAACATTTCTCTCTGATAGTCTTCCGGATAGTTTTCAATATATTAATTTTCATTTTTTTATTCTTAATAGTTCTTGCTGATAATGAAGGACAAATTTTAATAACTTGTATAGTTTCTGTTAGTTTTTTTGAATGTAACTTGCTTTTGAAAAACATAGAATACAGAGTTGATGGCTTATCGAATTTTACGTGAAATTTTTGAATTTTTTTTCCAAAGGACAAACCGATTATGAATTCTTTTTATGGAATTTCGTGTTTGCGTTTGCAAAGTCAAAACTACTAATTAAAGTTTTTTCCAGTACGATTTGCATAGTATCAAGGGATTTTAATAAATTTTGGAAGCTTTGGGTGTTTTTAAAGCAAAACCTTCATTTCTTATCTGTCTTTGCTTTCGTATGATTTGCTAATATTGCCTTCAATCATATTCCGTTTATTTCATCTACCACAGCTTGCTGGAGTGTTTAGAGGAGAAAAAGCGGATTTCTAAAATATCTCGAGTTTCTTAAAATGTAACTTTTAAAATCCCATTCTAAAACAATAACCTTTATGGAACAATTTTTTTACAGGATTCTTTGATACGAGAGAATAAAGTAAGTTGGAATTCTCTTCTCCAAAAAAAGTCCAGTGTTGGGTGTAGCGGGCTTTTCCGGATGTCATGGAACCGCCTGCGGCAACGACATGCAGTTCCCAATCTTCTTCTGCCAACGGGTTTGATTCGAATTTTTTTTTATTAATGTTTTTTTTTTGTTTAATCGTTTTTTTCCCTTTTTATTCTGCTTTTTAGCGTAAATGAGCCGCTTTCATTTGAATTGCTGAAATATCGCTCTGCTAGGAAAACCTAAAATTTTTTTTTAAAAAGGAACTCCCGACGCAATGGACATCAAAATGCTCAAAATGATAGGCTTCGGGTTCCATTGGTTCAAAACTAGTCGTTTCATTGGCTGAGCTAAGCCGTAAACGTGTTTTAATTTTCAAAATAATCTTTGTCACATATTTAAAAAAAAAGTTCTTGTTTTCAAACTGAATTCTCATCCTCTCACAGTTTTAGATCGGAGAAACAACGTCAGAACGCCGACTACCTACAGATAGACCCGTCGAGCACGTTTCTGAGCAATACTGCCCGCAACGGTTACGAGGAGCTTCCGGAGAACTTTCTGGACACGATAAGTCCGCACCCAACGACGCCGCAGGTCGGACATGTCGTCAGCGAAGCGCCGCAACTCGCCCCACTCACTCCGATGAGCATCTCCAGCGATCCCAAAATGTTTGTCTCTTCTCTTTTTCGATGTAAATCTTTGTCTCTTGCAGTTCCTATTCGAGTATGATGTCCATTGGCAGTCAGTTCTCCGACCGGCATTTGGATAAAAGCAGGTAACTTTCAAATGACCTTTTTATACTCGTTTATCTACCAAAAAGATGAAAACTATAAATTTCGATCAAGAATATTGCGTTTAGAAGCACTTAATGAATAACATTTTGAGTTTTCCGAGGTTTTTTCTAACGAGGAAAATGCTTTGAAATGAAACTAGAATGAAGGAAAAAGTTTCGTGCTCTCCACGGCCTTAGTTCCTGATTCAGAGAAGTTTCATTCCTTTTCCCTCAATTCTTTTCAAAAAAAGGAATTTATTTTCTTTTAATTAATTTTCTGTAGATGAATTATAGGCTCACACACATTCATTTGCTCAATAATAAGCTCGAAATTTGGCACGAGTTTTCTTTTTCATTTAAAAAAATTACACTTTTTTTCAGTTTTTTTAAATAGTCCCGCTGGTCTGTTATCGCCCTTGCATTTGGAAAGGAGGCCGGCTCACGAATTTTCTCGGCATCAGCAATCTCATGTGTACATAAAGGTAAATAAGAAGTTGGGACAGACGAAATTTGAAAAATATAGGAAAATATACTCGTTATTGTGCTTTCTGACAGATCTCTTATCGAAAATGTGTTGATTTCGCTAGGTATAGAATCTGGAATAAGTTCAAACAAGTTTTTTTTTTTTTACATTGGTTTTCCCAGTTTCAATTATAAGCAAAAAAAAATTCACTGAAAATTCTTGATCAGCTTTATTCCCCATTTTCTCTTGTTCTATCATGCTTCTTCCCATTCAAAGTAGAGTTATTAGGTTTTAAAATTTTAGGCGGTAACTAAGGGAAAAATAGATGTAAGGAAACAAGGGACTTTTAAAATTGAACACGCAAAAATTTTCCGAATCAGTAATTGTTTCTCTGGTTTGTAGCTTATTTTAACTTAAGGGGGTCTCATTTTCCATTGAAGACCTAGTATCTGTTCAAAGTTCCGTTATTGAAGAAATTGAAGGAAGAAAATGAGGAGCCTCATCTTTTGCTGACTTCGATGTCGCAACAACAAGAGATGGACCGAGCCCAGGCGGAGACGCCTCCAGCCGTCAGCAATGTCGAGCTCGCCAGCACCATGATCGCCACCCTCATCGGGGGAGAACCTGTTCGTTTCTCCTTCAGTTTTCGAACCTTTTGAAGCTGTGATTTGAGTACTGTTCTTGGTAAAGATTAACATTCAAGGGGGAGGATTCGCCGTCTCCACACGCCTTTTCCACCTCGCAGGCGCTCCTGCAACAGCAGTTGGACAGTATAAAAGACGAAGAAGACCTCGATCACGTCAACGGCTCCGATCACCTCGACTACCAATCAAAACACATTCACAGTTATAAGCGTCAGTTTCAAAACGTTGAAGATTTGTTTATTTGGGAGTTTTGTGGCATTTTCAATGTACTAAATATGTTTCCAAGCTAACTAGAAACAGCAAATACGTTTTTTTTGTTGAAAAGGCTTCTTGGAACTTTTTGTTGAGAATCCGAATGAGGTTGAAAGTCAGAAAAGAGCTAATGAAAGTTGATGAAAAAGTCCTTATCCTTGAAAATGTTGACTCTGGAAGTTTCGGGACTTTTCGTAGGTACATCGTTCCCATTGGTTAGTATTTTCTACGAACGCTTTCGTCATCATTTCGTACTTCAATCCGTTCAATTAAATGTTTCACAACCATAAAGAATTAAATATTTTTGAACTGTTGTCAAAAAAGTAATTTACCCATCTCGCCTTTCAAGTTGCGAAGGGTGTACATTATGACTTTAAGTTTTAGGAATCTTCGAAACTGTTTTCACAATTTGAAAAAAATGGCGAACTAACTTTTTTGTTTCAAATTTTTACTTGCCAAGTTCATTTATTCGACATTTCCCGCCAAAAGTCATGCTCAATCTTTTTTCAGCTCCGCGAAGAGTTTATTCAACACAAGACAGCTCCGATCCTCTGAATGCCGAAATCGACAATGATATTTACATTGATACGAAAGAACTGTGCAGGAGGATCGCCTACGAACTCAAGCAGCATTCAATTCCTCAAGCTACTTTTGCCGAACGGATATTGTGCAGGTCTCTTAAAGTCGTTCTCTTGATTTCAATTCGAAAACACTCCTGCCTTTTATTTTTTTTTCCTTTTTAGGAGTCAAGGGACGTTATCAGATCTTCTGCGTAATCCGAAGCCTTGGAACAAATTAAAGTCGGGCAGAGAGACGTTTCGACGGATGTTCAACTGGGTTCAACAGCCGTTGGCGACGAGATTGGCAATTTTGGATATGATAAAGACCGGTTTGTGTCTTTTTTCCTGTTTGTGAAAGTAGATTTTTCGTAGTTTTGAGATCTGAATTAACAAAAATAAACGCGAAGATTTAATCGAAAGTGCTTCAAAAAATATCATGTATTTCTCACAAGGGATGTTATTTTACTGAGCGTTTTGGGATTTTCCATAAATTTGCTCGAATATTCTTCAGAGGTTTAGATGAATATTCCTCATAGTCGCTACCTGCGCAAACTTCTATTTTTTGTGATATTAACTCTCAAAATTTGCGTTTAACACAGAATTAGACCACACATTTTTCTTTGCGACTTGGAATTTTCTAAAATTTGCTCAAAAAATCTCTGAAGGTTTATATGGAGATTCATAAGAGTTCCAGCTTCTAGTTTCCGAGAAAATTATTTTTGGAGTTCGAAAAATTAGGGTCAAAACCTCTTTTTCGCAGTTTGGAGAAATCATATCTCGGAAGTTAGAAGTTCACGCAGTTAGCCACAAGGTCGTATCTTCATCTAGACCTCTGAAGAGTGTTTGAGCGTTTTTATACAAAATTCTCAAGAAAGCCAAGAAAGAAAAATGACCTCCCTTGTCAGTAAGGTTTTTTGAGATGGCGACGAGGGAGCCTCTTCGCGGACAATTTCTGGCCTCTCGCCACCAACTCCAGCTCAGAACGTCAGACAAGCTCGAAGGTCGATTTCTGACCCCGATGCTCCGAATTCAAAAAGGCCGCGACTTGTGTTCACCGACATCCAGAAAAGAACTTTACAGGTTCAGTGTTTTTTTTTATTGAATCGAAGTCTTCCCCTGAATCAGTATCACAGTTTCCATAGATGTACTCAGTTTTCATTGACTTACCACGAGTTCACGTCATACGTCGTCTGGATCCCAGCCCGGGGTGCGGCCTATCTCAGTACATTTTCAAAGGTTTTTTTCGCGCGCAAATGGCTGGGGTGGGATCCAGCCAACAGTTAACTTTTTTTTTATCGCTTTTCTCAAATCCTTTTTTTCCATTTAAGGGCAGTCTATCAGTGAATTGAAATAAATGTTCAAGTTTAGTCACCCTTCATTTTTCAGGCTATTTTCAAAGAGACTCAAAGGCCGTCGAGAGAAATGCAACAGACGATAGCTGAACATTTGAGATTGGACCTTTCTACAGTCGCGAATTTTTTCATGAATGCGAGGAGGAGGTCAAGAATTGGGCCTGGCGGCGACGAGCCTGCACCTTATCAGCAGGTTTTCAATTCTATACGGGAATCAATGTTTTGTCGGTTTTTTACAATAATTTTCCTTTGTCTCGACGCTTACGTTGATATATTTTTTGTTTTCAAAACTTTGAGGATCTTTAAACTCTTATCCCCTCCACAAATTCTAGTTTCAAAGATAAAGAATTAAAAAATGAAATTTATTGATAAGTGTTACGGTTTTTTTTTTTCAAAGCTTCTCAAAAAAAATTGTTTTTAAAGTTTTTCTCAATTTTAATCATTTTTATTTTCAAAACTAAAAATTTGAATAATAGAGATTATGGTAAAATATCATGTAAATGGTAGAGCAAACAGTGAAAAACTCCAAACTTGAAAATTAGTAGTTTTTTTCAACTTTTTCGATTGTCGGTAAAATGTTATCTAATATTTATTGTAAATCTCACTTTGTAGGTCCACCCAGTCTCGCCCCCGCCGTCCGGATCCCCTCCAGGGATGAATGGCGCTTCTGGCGCGGACGCGATCGCCCAGGCCGCGTCTTCCCTACGAAGGTTACGACAACACGCCACGTTGCAGCACGTCGAAGCGACTGTTTGTTTTGTTTTTTTCGTTTTTGTTTTAGAAATATGGGTTTTAGCTTTTAGATCTCATTTTTTTTGTCGCTCTTTTTCGTACCAAAATAAATATTTAAAAAATGAATCGAACTCAAATTTGGCATAAGGAACACTCAAAAGAATGTTTTTTTTTTTAGGTTAGCAGTGTGGCTGAATCTGCGATACAGTACAGCCGGACGCAAGCAACAAACGACGATTTCAAAGTTGGATTTTTGTTCTGATAGCTATTAAATATGTTTTAAATTCAGTTGTACAAGTTAAGCGATGACCCGCTGGCGGGAGAAAGTGGCTTGTCTATTGAGGATAGCGTTGGCTACGAAAACGATTTGACTTCTGTGAGTTCCCTTGTTCAGAAAGTTATTCACATACTTTGTATTGGCGTCAAGTCATTCTTGTTATGGCTTCAAAGTCTAAAAAAGTTTCAATTCAAAACAATGGCTCGACGTGGAAAAATTAAATTTTTACTTTTTTTGATGTTTCGCAAAAATTTTTTTAGTTAAACAAGAAAAAACCTGCAGTGGATTTTTTTGAAATGAACCGTAAATCAAATTTTTTTTAAAATCTTTTCGTTCAGATCTGTTTTTTTGCTTTTTGCGACGCGACATTTTAAAAACAAAAATTTTTGACTGTTTCTTACTTCTTTCCACTCTTTTTTTATAAATAATGTGCATTTTTTCATAAATCATTATAAAATTTAGGCGTTAACCCCATTGGCTGAAGATTCGGTCTCAAACAACGATGGGCCAACGATAAAGGAGGAACAATTGGACGAACAAGAAACCGTCGTCGATGCCATAAAAACCTCATAAATGTTTTTTTCCCATTTTTTCTCTCAATATTGATCTTTTTTTCGCCTTCCCAAGTTTTTTCATCTCAATATTTCTGTTCTCTCAAACTTTTTTTTACTAGTGTTTTATTGCACTTTTGCCTAAATCAGTTCAATTTTTCAATTTTCATGTTGTGAGTCTTTTTCTTAAATAATTTTTGCATTGCCGCTACTCCCCACCCCAACGAGTTACTTTTCATTCTGATTAATCTACCGTCAGGCTATAAATACAATAGATTTTTCTTTTTTCATTTACGGAAATAATGAATAAGCATTATGTTTTTTTTTACATATATTGTCATAGGCTTGATGCCGTCGTGGTTTTTTTTAGATATGAGGAAGGTGGGTGCGATTTTTGCACTTTTCTTCTTTTTTAAGGTATTTTCTTCATTTTGGGCCAGTTTTGAAGCAAAATTCGTGTAGAAACTGTCGTAATTTCCTCTTCAAGTCTGGTTCAGAAGGAAGGATACTTTTATCTAGTTTCACTCTGCTTTCAATCCTGTGGGCTGCCGTTGTGAGAAATCTTACTTTTTGTGCATTTTTTACTCATATGAATTATGTTGCTTATCATCCTAAGCATCTTAAAATAAAAAAAATCTTTTTTTTACTTTCCAGTCTCTGGTCGGTTCGCTAGTTTTTTTTTCCGTTTGTACATCGTAATCGGGTTGTTACTCCGATTTTTTCACATTGTGAAAACTTCCCGAATTCGTTGGATCCTAAATTGTAATGAGTTTGTTCAATGTCTCATTATGCTCTTCATACAAAGTTGTATATGATTTCACCTCTGTCACCAAATTCGCTTCTCTTGCGTGTTTAATTTTATAAAAGTACTCCATTTCCAGTGTAGTCGGTTCAAGTGTGGTATTTTTTTATCCGCATAGCTGTCCGGCGATCGGTCTAGGCTCACTGGTCCTAGCTCCTCTATCGCACGGACCATGTCGATATTGATTATTAAAAACAAAACAAATAAAAAAATAATTTAACATCGTTTGCGTTCTGTTAGAGACCCGTTTGATCGTTGTGTCATGAAACTACTTCAAAAACATTCTGAACTGAAGAAACAGATCAGTGTGCATGCATAAAACGAAGAGATTCGAAATTATTTAATTCAAATAACGCCAATTCATTGAGTTTTCATAGAAATGCTTCTTTTCAACAAATGCGTAACAGTAAACGACTAGCATGCTCTCCTACTGACTTAGACCTTTAGAGTGACCACTTTTTCTAGCTTTAGTGGTAAGAGGAAGTAAGATGGTCCTTTGAGATGGACATAAATGAGCTCCTAAGACCTTAGCTGTCCGTCTTAGCCTTAAGTCTGTCACCCGAGATGTAGACACCACTCTAGCATTCAAAAATTCATCGAGAATCCTCAAAAAAAAAATTTTTTTTTACGGTGGATCGTAAGTCTGTCTACACACTTGTGGAAACAAATGCGTGCAATTTGACGACAGTCCGTTTCAAATGTTATTATTTCACTTATTCGCTTTGTTTTCTTATTAATAAATAACTTTTTTGCGATCTTTTTTTTTCACAAAAATATTGAATGTCCAATACGTTTCTCTTCTTAAATTTCAGTGCGAATTTTTTTTTTCAAACGTCTCGTATATTGAGACCGTTTGGCCTAAATTTTTTCTTTCTTTTTTTTCTTTATTTTTTACTGGGAGTTTCTCTGAGGTTTTTATAAATGGAAAAGAAGTTTTCGAAAAAAATTCTCGAAATTAAATTCTAAATATCCTGTTCGGGTTTAGTTCAATACTCATTTCTGAATATACTTTGAAGTTTAACTGCTCTGCGCAGAGAATTAAAAAAATTATATTTATATAACCAGTTCTTCAAAAGCCTTTAGCTTTTTGCGCTTCAGCTTGTCACTTTTTTTGGGCAAAAAGGCTGTATACCAAATTAGTTCGACCCCATTTCTCTTGAAAACCTTTGCTTTTTGTGGTTTTGTTTTGCAGTTTCATTGAGAAAAGGTGCAAAAAAAAACTACCGTAAACATAGCTTTTCTGCTCTTCTTTCTCTCATGCTGGCCAGGTGTCTCAACTGGTTTAATCGTATTGAATCCGTGTTTTTAAAGGATATTTGAGTCTCATTTGTGCTAAAAACGGGTGCTCAGAAAAAGTAGGTGGCTCAGCCTTGTTTATTTCGAAAATCTGTGTCCCAATTGAGTACCGCAGCTGGTGTAAAAGTTGCCAGAAGTTCTACTAGCTGTGCTTATACGGGCTTAATAAGGGAGCACCCGATGAGATTCAAAACGTGACCGTCTCGCGCAGAACACACTGTACTCTCATGTTGGCCAGTAGCATCCTCGGGCTCTTCCCACGGCGTTCTTTTGACGACGCCCCTCCCACAATTTCCGTAATATTTGACGTCTTTTGTGCATACACAGAACGACGCTAACTCGCATACTCATTAAATTCAAAAATAATATTTTTTTTCAAAACTATAGACGTGAAAAAATTGATCCTTTCACAATTCCTTTTCTAGTTGACGAAAAAAACATTTGGGTAAAAGTTTTTCTTATTTTTTTAACACTTTTTTTTTCCTTTTCACCCTCAAAGTCCTTTTTTCAGTAAAAACTTGGAATTTTGTGCCGAAAATGACTTATTGTGGTTCTATGTGTCTTTCCCCACTCACTAAAAATAAAAATAAAAGTTTTCTTTACAGGTTTGCTTTAGTTCATCCACCTAGTGATATTTTTTCTCCCTTGCATCATCGCCATACCATTCTGATGTTGCGAAAATGAAGAGATTGATTGATTTGGATAAAAACATTTAATTTGACACAGAAAATGTTGCTGAAAGGATTTTTTTTTTTGCTTAAAGGGGAAATTTTGTCAAAACCGAGCAGTTAATATTGACAATTAAAAAACGAAAATTCCTTGGCATTTTGCTGTCGCAATGAAAAATAATTACCGTAAATCAGAACCAAACAGATAAAGATAAAACTGAAATAAACATGAAAAATCACCTGAAGCACTTGAGCAACAAGAAATTCAAATGTTCGCGCGCAAGCTGTCTACCGTAAATCTAGGTGGAGCAACCCTTCCAAGCCGCTCCACATTTTCAAAAATTTCACCTTTCCTTCCACTACGCAGAACGCCGTGTTCCGTCGTTCATCCGTTTAACCCCAGCCAATAATCCGATACGCAATTTTTAGCCACGCATAGACCCCGTGTAAGTCCGGCGGAACTAAAAAAACGTTAAATTTACGTGTTGAGCCTCCGTTTAGGCCCAGAAGATCACCTGAATTGTTAAAAACACCGGGGACCGTCCGTAGCAATCGTAGAGCACCCATTTCCCAAAACTATGCCGTATAATCCCCAACGAGTGTTAACCCGTTGTTATGCTACTGACCAGCATTAGAGTACTTCCTCACAGAAAGATCATTAGTGGAAGAAAATCTTTCTTTGAACTCTCAAGCTGATGAGGCTGAACAGTCGTGCTATAGCGCTAACACAGGATCTCAACGAATGTCTCAATAATAAACCTGTTTATAAGCACAGTCGTTTGATCTTTTTGCATTTTTTTTTTCAAAAATGACATCCGAGGCACCTTTTAGCACAATTGGATCTCAGATTTTCAGCAAAGGATTTTAAACAGACTAAGTATTTTTCAGGGCTCAGAAGCCGCCTCTTGACTGATTGGAATGCCGGAAAACGACGAGCCGATTCTCAGCAAAAAGTAAGTCAAATGCACCTAATTCGTCCAATCTCAATGGTGTTTGCACCTAAACCGATTTATCGCAATATGGCTTATGCCGGAAGCTTGTTTTCAAAGAGCAGGTTGTTTCCGTCGGTTGGACCGTACCAAGAAAGGCTTTCGATATTTAGTGAGCAAAAAAGAAGAGCGAAACAGGCCCAAAAGGAGAAGGAAAAGCTCAACAAAGCGGCTGCAGAGCCCAAAACAGATGCCCCTGTACAGAAGGTTAGTTAATATGGTGTAAATGAACTAATATTTCTGCATTTTTCCAGATCGTGAAAGAAGCTGATCCGTCCGATCCGCAAGAGTACTTCAAGATGCGAGCGCGCATGATAGAATCTCGCCGAGAGGCCGGGGAAAATCCGTTTCCCCACAAGTTCAACGTGACGATTTCCATCACGGATTTCATCGAAAAGTATAACGTTTTGGAGAAGGAGCAAGTCAGCGAGGACGTTGTTAGTGTCGCCGGTCGAACATCCTTGAGAAAATAATCGTCAACTTTCTTTTGTTTTAGGTAGAATTTTCTCGAAACGCGAGGCTGGTGGCAAGTTAGTCTTCTATGATATCCATGGAGAGGGAAAGCGTCTGCAGGTAACTCATAGCCGAGAGAGTCCTAAATTATCAATTATAACCTTGTTTGGAAAATTAATAGTCTCTACCTCAACCTTTTTCCAATGAGACTTAAGAGATAAACTTCAAGTTTAACGACGAAAAAAATACTCGAAAGTAATGAAATTTTTTTTTCGTAAATGACTTTTACGACCGTATCCATTAGGTAACACGTTTGTATTTTCATCCTGCATTCTTCTGAAACTTCTTTCGAGATGATTTTCCATTTCCAGATAATGGCCAATGCGAGGTTCCACCTGGATGCCAGCATCGCTTTCGAAGATTTGCACGACCGAATCAAACGGGGCGACATCGTCGGCTTCACTGGAAAACCGACGCGCTCGAAGACCGGCGAACTTTCGCTCATTCCCATTCAAATCGAGCAGTTGACGCCTTGTCTTCATATGCTTCCTCACACACATTTCGGCCTCAAGGATAAAGAGCTCCGGTTATTTTTTTTTTTCCTCAGTCAATTTGTTTTTGTTCGATTATTTGGTCACTTCTGAATCTTCCCAGGTTCCGCAAGCGTTACCTTGACTTGATCCTCAATCCGCAAGTCAAGAACAACTTTGTTATCAGGAGCAAGATCATTACGTTCTTGAGAAGGTTTTTGGATAACCTAGGTTTCCTTGAGGTTAGTGTTTTGTTTCATGTTTTTTTTTCTAAATTTTCTCATTTTTCAGGTAGAAACTCCGATCATGAACCAAATTGCTGGAGGTGCAACTGCCAAGCCGTTCATCACTCATCATAATGAGCTCGAAATGAACCTATATCTTCGTATCGCTCCTGAGCTTTTACCACAAGGTAAAAACTACAATTATAATTAGTTTTTTCGACAGTTTACCATTAATAGGAATCTGTTAAAATCACAGAACTTTTTAAAGTCTATAACTTTTGTTTCTTTCTTTCGGAATTTACAAAGAACTTTTGGCTTAAGCTTTCTGCAATTTCACGTTGTTCGGGTAGTTTTTTTCCAGTGAAAAAAATCAAAAAAATAAACGGTTTGATTTTTTTAATGTTTGATTTTTTTGAGTACTTTTTTTCACTTTTTCCTAGAGTAAATAAAAAAAGATTTAGATGCTCGTGGTTGGCGGAATCGACCGTGTTTATGAGATTGGCCGTTTGTTCCGCAACGAAGGAATCGATCTCACGCATAACCCCGAGTTCACCACCTGCGAGTTCTACATGGCCTACGCTGATTATGAGGACGTCATTCAAATCACAGAAGATTTACTGAGCAGTTCGTTGAATTGAGCCAAGAACTGTTCAGTATTGTTTATTTCAGGCATGGTGAAGTCTATACATGGAAAGTACACGCTTCAGTACCATCCCAATGGTCCTGAGACGGAGCCTGTCTATGAAGTAGCTTTGGCTTTTTTAAATTATTGATTCTGATTCAATTTTCAGATCGACTTCACTCCGCCGTTCAAACGCGTTAACCTCTATGAGGGGCTGGCTGCGGCAATCGGGGTGGAGCTTCCTGATCCGGCAACTCTTCATACAGAGGGTGAATGAAGATGAAGAATCTTGCTCGCCATCACTATGACTTCAAAAAAGGGCCTTCATGGAGATAATGAAGAAGAAGAATTGATTTACTTCGACCGAAGTTTGAGATAATATTAATGAAAGTAATAAAATAATACAGTCAAAAATCAATTGAAACAAGTATGACCGTTCGCTTTTAAGACTGGTGAATATCATTCAATAAAAAAATTATCTCAGAAGCTAGGGCGCGATTCGACCAAATAGCGCGGGAAAAGGGCGTCGAATGCTCGGAGCCAAGAACGACGGCACGACTCATCGACAAATTGGTTGGCGAGTATCTCGAAAACACTTGCATTTCCCCGACTTTCCTCATCGGCCACCCGCAAATCATGAGTCCGCTCGCCAAATGGCATCGGTCAGTTTTTAAACAAACTAGAAAATATTAAAGCAAGACAATTTTTGATTATCAGGTTAACTCGAATGATTATTACGGAAAATAACTGAAAAAAAGATGAGAAAGAAAGTATTTTTCAGCTCTACGCCTGGACTAACGGAGCGCTTCGAGCTCTTTGTTGCCAAGAAAGAAGTGGCCAACGCCTATACGGAGTTGAACGATCCCATCACTCAACGCCAGAGATTCGAAGAACAAGCCAGGGTCACAATTTTAGTTTTAACTCTAACCGGCCCAGTTGATTGCAGCAAAAAGACGCCGGAGATGACGAAGCTCAGATGATTGACGAGACTTTCTGCAACGCTCTAGAGTACGGACTTCCTCCGACTGGCGGTTGGGGAATGGGAATCGATCGCCTGGCAATGATCCTCACGGACAACAACAACATCAAGGTGTTTCTAGTTTTATTTTCTCGAAGGATTCCACTTTTTAGGAAGTTCTTCTGTTCCCAGCCATGCGACCGGAAGAAGCGCTGCCGCCTGTCAAAGACAGTACCGCCTAAATTTTCATCTGTTTTTCGTATTGCGCGTTGTTTTTTTTTTGTTATTATTTATTTATAAGCTCCCGTTGAAAAAAAAATTTGGTTTTTGAACGATTTGTTGTGGCGCTAAATTGTTTCTTTGGGTTTTATCGAAAGTTTGATAAAAGAAGAACAAGTTTGATGCATAAATACTTGTTGGAAGAGAAGTATGGGGAATGAATAGTTTGAGGATATGAATTCAAAAAGATCAAGTCGTTCGCGGCGGTCTTCTACGCCTTGCCTTCCCCTTATTCGGATGATTTAGGTGGACGATTTTTAATTTATATTCAAACTTTTTCGTGTTGTTTTTGCGGCTTTCTTCTTCTCCAGGCACATCGGAGGAGGGATCGCTATATCTTATGCGATTTCGGGGAAAAAAATGATCGCTCTGAAGGTGACTTAAATATATATAGTTAATATTATCAACTTGGTTTGGATGATGATCCGCTTACACTGAAATTCTAGCGATTTTTTTTTCAGTGGTGGTTGAGAGAGAAATGGACAAAAATTCGCATCTTCTGTTTTTCTTGACGTATTTTGGAAAACAAATCACTCGGGGAATTTTTTTCCACAAAGGTTCAAGAAATAGAAAAAATAGTCAGACTAAAAAAGTTCTGGGCGTTGTTTTTTTTTGAGCTTTTTTGTAGCATTCTCTTCCATATATCTGATTCAGCTGAATACTTTCATAAAGTTGCAGAAAAGCTACAACTTATATCATAATTTGAAAAGATAAAAAAGTCATTTTTTATAGTTCAAAATATGGTCTTCCAGAAACCTTCCTTCAATTGACTGTAACTGAAAAATTATCAGTTCCTCGCTTTATTCGCAACTCCTTTTTTGGATCTGGTCGTACTCGAACATCATTGTACGAAAGATGAAAAGTATTTTTTTGCTAAAATAGGAATGCCATAAATGATATTTTTTTAGCTTCCACTTTCTCGTCTCTGGTCTGAACGACACGGTTACACCTGAGCTCCGGCAGCTCCCGAAAGGACCCTACCGTGGGCCCTCGAATGGTGAGAAATATTTTGAATCTATGTACATATTTTTTTATTAGATACATTTGGAACAAAAACAAGTGAAAAATTTGTACATTTTTTTGTCAGTGCGCGATCGGGAACAAAAATACTATAGATAAAAGTTGGCGGGCAAGAAAAAAACACGGCAAAGTGAATGGTAGGTAGAGAAAAATGTAGATTATTTATAAGAAGATAGATAATTTCTCTCAAAGTCGAATAAGTATGATGGAAAAAAGTGGACAAGTTTTAATTAATAGCTATAACAACACTTTTTCGAATATTTAAAGATGCAAGAAATTTTTGAAGACCATGAAAAATAAGTGAAAATTTTTACTTTTGATAAGTTTCACAGGAAGGGTTTGCAAAGGAGCTATGAAAAAAGGTGCAAAGTTTTGGGCTGAAAGGATACAACTTTGAAAAATTTGGACGCTTCGTGGTTCATTTTTAAAAGCTTCTGGGATGTTTCAAGGCGCAGATCGCAGTTTGAAAGTTTTCTCACATTACGAAACTCCTAAATCCTCAAAACTCTCTAGAAAGCTACTATGAATGAAGTAGGAATGCAAAATTTCGATAGGTTGGCTATCATGAGATAAATTATTTGTTGTCTTTACGGCTGTTGGCAAAGCTTCCAGAGTTGGGCGTGTTTTCGTACATTTGCTGGTTGTTCTCCGAGATTTCATCGCGAATCTCGCGCTCCCGCTGCACGACGACGTTGGCGGAAGTCTCTCTCAGGACCAGCTCCGTCGGTAGCTGCCTCGGGCAGTGGCTGTAACGAAGTATTTCAATTAGAACTTGAAATCGTTCAGACGGTTCTTCCTCGTGCATGTTCTTCGCCAGTCCTAAGGTTTTTCTACGCTAGTTTGGGTTATTATTTTCCAGATGTTTTTCGTTTTTCTACCTGAAACAAAGTTGAGCTCGAAAAAAAATCATTTGAAAGTAAACGTCGTAGACTAGAATCTCAACATTCATAGGTTTTTTTCCTCCATACTAGTTTTAATACATCCACTGGACTGGAAAACTCACGACGCCGTGTGGTTGTTTTCATTACTGGCCCCGCAAGTTCTGCACGGGGCCAGGTCCTGCAGCCTCCTGCAGCGGAACCGGCTGTGTGTCTGCCAGTCAGTCATACCGAGGTTCCTGCAGTGTCCGCACTGTAATGATGATACTATTAATAAAGGACAACCCTAAAAACCTGAAAATGTTTCGTTTTGTAAAAAAGTAGTGTTTACATTTTCAAGCATCCAAATTTTCAACTCACCGTTGTTTCGGTGTTGACTCGCTGCGACCTGCGATTGTTGTTCCTGTCCGGCGAAGAATAAGACGGTGATCTTACGGGAGAAACTGGCCGTAAGAAGTGGTCCAATAGATCTGAAAATCTAGCGATTTGATTACAGAACAAGGATTTGAGAGGACAAACTAAACTTACCAGGTGAGACGGTTTGCTCTTCAACCGGAAACGCTAAGTCGTCGAACATCTGGCGCTGCGCCGTTGTCACTGTAAGAAAGAGTTTTCGAAATACGAAAATCGGCTAAAGAAAGTTGAGAGGAAAAATATACCCTAAAAATGTAAAGTCATATTTTAGGTTTGAGACCAAAGGAGCTCTTTTTCAGTCATTATATCATTCGATAATCTAAACTCAGCGCTTTCATGTCAAACATTTTAAAAGGATATGTGAGTTTTTGAGAAAATTGATATACATCTTTCACTGCAATCTTGCAGTGATTTCTTGGAAACATTTCTGATCAATGTTACCTACAATTCTCAGACCTAAAGTCTTTATTAACCAACAGCTGCAGTATCAAAAATTATTTTAATAAATTTGAACGAAAAAAGGTTGGAATCATTTCATGTATTTTAAATTAGTTTGGAAATAAGAAAATCAAACAAACTTGTGGCTCGCAATCTGGTCAACGTGTTGGGATCGTGGTGGATGGATCCAACAGCAGCTTCGAAGAGAAGTTGTTCGGAGGTATCCCTTTCAGCGGGAGCTGGTGGAGATGGGGTTCGCAGAGGCATGATGTAGAAGGCCGAGTCTAGAATGAATGAGAAGACTGTGGAGTGAATGAGCTCGCCGAGCCCGCCCCCTTACAAAAATATTTTATGGCTGTGGGAGGAGTCTTAGATGCTCCATTTTGTTTTTGTATTGATCATATAAAGTTACACACGGATGGATATAATCTTTAAAAATTTTTTTTGATAGAAAAAAACATTTAATAACTTTCGAATCAACTTCTAAATCGGTGAATTAAAAATTTTGAAGTTTTTTTTTTCTTTTTTTCACAAACCACGTCAAAAAAAGTTCATCAAAATTTTAAGAAGGTCAAAGTAGATGGGAAGATTTAAATAAAATTTAAAAAAAGGAAGAAAAATGAATTATTGTTTTGAAGCGGTTTTCGCTTGATTTTGGAAATTAAATTTTTTTCGAAGTAAACTTTTTGGGTTTTCAGGGTTCGAAATCGTGAAAATTTTGACCTTTTTCCGATACCGTCGATGATCACGCCAAGTCGCTCGCTACCCAATTTCAAGCCGAAAAATCTTGGTATATCGTTTTCCAGAGTAAGAGTTAAATAAAGTTTTAGCCCTTGAGAAAAATTCTAGAAAAAAATATAGATTTTCTAGCAAAAAAAGAGTGAATCGGCTTTTTTTAGTTGAAAATTCCAAAATCGGTTACTATAATGTGAAAGTTGTTTTTTTTTTTTTACTGTATCTGGGTTCCGGGGTCACTGTCCTGATCATAAACACAGAAAATTTAAAACTCACACCTCGTTCTCGCCTGGGCGCAAAAGTGTCATCATGGTATGACAGGTGCGATTTTTTGGCGCGCTACTGTAATTTACAGCTAGCATAAAGATACGCGAATTCTTTCTAGACCTTTTTGTAAAGATTGTAATGCCGTGTTCAATTTGATTCCGCGAAATGCAAAATACCCGTTAGAGAAAGGAAAAGATCACTAAATTTTGGAGAGTCAGAGATCATTTTGCTCGCGGAATCAAATTGAACACGGCATTCAGTTAGCAAGAATCTATAAATTTAGGAATTTAATCTCACGACTTCCTCAGATCGTGTTTAGAATAGTTTCCAATTGAAAAATTCATCGAGAAATTTTCAACTCTTCATGTATCCGTTGAATTGTAGAAACAAATTTTGAGGCGCCAGTTGAACTTGGCCTCGATTCCAAGAGTTCCGTTAAAATTTGACCCTTATCCGCAACGCTTGTATAGTCTGTTCAGATTTTGAATGTCAAGTAGAATGAGGTCATTCGAAAACTCTCTGTGGATGGCTCGCTCTCTGATTGGTTTACCGCGCCATTAGGGGGCGGAGCTTGAGCGAGGACTTGACATTTAAAAACTGAACAGACTATAAGCGACGTTTATGCCCTAAAGCTCGTAAAATACCAATCCTCCAAGAACTTGGTAGATCAAAATTATCGATAGCTCAATATTCAACCTAATTTCGAAATGTCTCATGTCGTTTTTTATCTCCGTTTTTAACAGCTCCTAATAAAGACCTATCATTTCACATAAACATTTTGGTAGATTTGAATTTTTAGAAAGTATTTTAGATTAAAAATTTCTAGAGATATCAAATTTCAACAAAAGTTTTCCTATGACATTTTGAAATATCGAAACTTAAAGCAACATTTTCTTGACGATGGAGAGATCGGAATTTTTGAACAATATTTTCATGAAAAAAATCCCCTTATTAGATTTCACTACTAGAGTAGACACGAAGTCAACCTTTTTGAAGATGCGCAATTCTAATCTCAAATATTTTTCTCTTAAAATTATTTCAAATAGTTTCATACTTATATCATAATCAAATCCTTCAATTTCTTTCTTGACGCTTCGAGGTGTCACGCAAATTTCACTTTTTAGACAGTCATTATAAACGAATTTCTCTCCAGTTTCAAAAAAACCAGACTGGAAAAAAATTACGAAATTAAAAAAATTGTGGTTTTCAAGTTTATATTGCCGCGAAGTATCTATTTACGCATTTTAGAAGTCATCGACAACTTTTAGAGACGCCAGATAAACTTTCTTTTCTGGCTTCTTTCCAGGCGGCCGCTGATTCTGCGCTTCTACGCTACGCTTCTCTTCTTTTTTTTTTTAAAGCCAGCGCTGAAGTAAATTTTGCTTTTCAAATTAATATCGGTCATCAAAGAAAATTCCTTGAACGCTGTAAATTTTAAAGGTAGCATTTGACAAAATTCAAAAGGATAAAAAAGTTTGGCCAATAAAGTTTTTTGTTTCAACAGATTCATTTTCTCTCAAGTCTTCAGTTTTTCTTTATATTAAGCTTTTAAAACCAATATTACAAGTATCTTATCTTTTCAGCTACAGTTATCTCGACGAGGCTATGGCTCGAAAACGGGGATGGAAACTTCGCCAGAGGCACTGAAGCAGCTCGCCAACATCCAGAAACATGTGAGTGAAGAGCTGAAGAAACTACAAGAAGAGGAGGAGTAGAATGGAAATCGCCTGTATCCGAAACCATGTCAAATTTCCTGTCAAAGTATCTTTTTTACAATCAAAAAGTTTTCAAATTTTTATTTTCTTTCAATAACATTTTCTTTATTATGATTCTAAAGAAAGAGATTAGCCGTTCAAACGTGCCAAGCGATACCGGTTTTCAACCACAGAACAATCACGTAAATCAAATAGGAGAAAGAAATAGGGCCTAGAACGTCAACATAGTGAAACTGCACCTATAACGGGGTATTGTGTACAGAAAAGACATTGATGAATTTCGTTACGTTGGGTTCTCAGACAACAACTTTGGGGATGGCGAGCTTGAGCGCTTGGTCGAGATCGGCGACCAAGTCGTCGAGGTCTTCAACGCCGACGGAGATTCTGATGAGATTGTCCGTGATCCTCAGCTCCTTGCGCACCTACAAACAGTTTGTTCAAGATGCAGATGCTCGTTCCAAAATTACCTCAGGAGGGACGGAGGCATGGGTCATGACGGCGGGAAGTTCAGCAAGGGACTCATAGCCGCCGAGGGATTCGGCCAACGTGAAAACCTTGAGCGAGCTGAGGAACGTCTGACTGGCGGCGAGATCGCCTTTGAGGTAGAACGAGATCATGCCGGACATGCCTTTGGTCTGTTTTCGGTGCACCTCGTGCTGTGGATGCGAAGGCAGAGCCGGGTACAAAACCTGGCAAAAAAAACGAGTTTACAGAAAGGAAAACAAGATCACTGAGATTTCAAAATATATTGTGCTTTTTTTGCGAGATAAAAGTGTATCCTTGAGCTCGAAAAAGCGCTAATATCACTAATTTTCATTGAACTTCGTGACAGTTCTTTTGCGGAAAGAGTTGTTTTTTCATTGCTTTTTTGATCAACTCACTGTTTCGATACGCTCATTGGCTTCGAGATACTTGGCGATAGCCAAAGCGTTCTCGTAATGAGCGCGCATCCGAAGGTGCAAGGTCTTCAGCCCTCGGTTCACCAGGAAGCAGTCAAAAGGCGATGGAATGGCACCGACGGCTGGAAAAATTCGAACTTATATTGAGAATTAGTGTAAAAAACGGCGTACCCAATTGCTGGAAGAACAGATGTTGCTGAATGAGGTCACAGTCGGTGACAACGGCGCCCATGACGACGTCCGAGTGGCCGTTGATGTACTTGGTGATAGAATGGACGACGACGTCGGCTCCAAGGGAGATTGGTCGCTGAACGGCTCTTCATGAAACGATGTTAATTCGTAGTCGACTACCTGGAAGTACGGGCTCATGAATGTGTTGTCGACGACGACGTAGATGTGAGGGTTGATCTTCTTTGCTTCGTGTACGACAGCTGAGATGTCAACGACCTTCAGAAGCGGATTCGAGGGCGTCTCGAACCAGATCATCTAGAATTTTCAGAGTAGATTTAAAAATAAACATTTCAAGCTTTTCCAATTTTTCTAAATAAGAGTATTAGGTTATTTTAGAAATTTTTTCTCACAAAACATGCCTTTGTGTTGGGCTTGATGGCGGCGGGGAGGTTGCTGAGAACGGTGAGGTCGACGAAATCAGCCTCGAGACCGTGGTGAGGAACCGAGACGCGGCGAATGAAACGCTGCGTGCCGCCGTAAACGTCGTCACTGCAGATGATGTGGTCGCCTACTTTGAGCATGTTGATCACCGCCATGCTGGCCGCCAGGCCCGACGAGAACACTTGGCCTAAAGATAAACCAGATGAGAATTTAGACACAAATAGTTTATACACCTCATTGATCCATTTTTGACTAGAAACTTTTTGAAAATAGGGCGGGTATTTAAATATCCCAAAAAGGCTATCTCATTCGAGAATCATCTTAACTTTCTTCAAAACACTTTAGGGAGCTTATTTCGATCAAGTTACATCTTAGAAAAAGATCAACCTGAGTTAAAATAAGGAAATCGAAAAATCAGTTAAATTTTCTCTGAATATCCCTTTGTCATCTTCACTACCAAATAAAAGAAATATTTACAGTGCTTGGCATCTTCGAGGGCAGCCAAATTCTTCTGAAGAACATCTCGGGACGGATTTCCGGCGCGCGAATAGTCGTGCACCTTGGGCTCACCGGGTCTGTCTTGCTTGTAAGTCGTCGACAGCGAAATCGGAGGAACTACCTACAAAAAAGTAAAGATTTATGACGGTAAAGAAATAAAACGAGTTAAAAATTTTTTTTTCAGAAGTCTAGTTTCAAACGCTCTCAGTGTTAATCAGAGTAGTTATTTTGCTGGTTTAATTTTCAGTTCTTATCACGAGAAATTTCGAAACTTCTTTGATGTCAGTTGCACTATTTGACAAAAGAATCATCACCACACGTTTTTCTTATCTGTTCTTATCTGTGCCGCCGATCGAAACTGTGTGATGACCCCTGACAATCATGCGGAATCGTGGAAAAAGCTTTTCGCCACTTTGTTTGAATTGAGTTTAAGAGAAATTCGCAAGGCTTTTCTTGCGAAAAGTTTTGAAAAATCTTGCGAAAATCTATAAACTCTCCTTGTAGAAGGCAAAACAATTTTGAAAAAATTGAACATCATTTTTTCATGTACAAAAACTTTCTGACCAAAAAATCTTTTGTTCAATGATATTTGAAAGTTATTTTTTTAATCAACTTTGTGAATTTTTTTACACAAAAGTTTCTTTAAACTCTATCGTTTAGGTGGGAATCAATCGAAACTTTTTCAAATCAAAATCAAATCTTAAAATCAAAACTTTTTATTTCTCACACACAAGTACTAAATTTCACGAAATAGATGTAGGGAGAGTTTTGTAAAAAAAAAAATAAGGACTCTGGAATGTGTTACCTGATTCATGTCCCATTGCTCAGGCTCCTGCCCGACGTGGATGGCGGAGGTGCCAAAGTGAGGGAAGTGTTCGTGAGACATTCCGATGGCCTGCAAATAATGAAAATTCTTCCCGAGCCGATGCGCTTTTATATTTGAATTTTCTTATTCGTTTCAGAGAGGCGGAGCCAACGAACAGTCCCGTCTATCGAGAAAAATACATGTGGCGTCTGGCAGGTGGCATGATAAGAGAAGGAAAAAAAGTGAGAGAAAATTTGAGCGAGAAGATGACAATTGAGACGAAACAGCCACCGTGGCGTTGAAATGGATCCTCTTTTTTCCACGAAATTTCAAACATAAAACTTTGATGGGTTTTTTTTGCCAAAGACAATGCGAAATCTTTTGAAACAAACTTGAAAAAGGAAACAAAAGAAAGTTACTGCATCAGCTCATAAGTTTTTTTTTTCAATTTTGCGTTTATTGAATATTCGCTCCTGGTTAACAAAAACAGGTTCTCATTCTTATAAGCGTAGTGAACACCTTACGACGATGAAAAAACCTTTGAAAACGCTTCTAAGCTTAAATTTTCTTTTCTTTTTTTCGTTATAAATGCGCGTTGAAAAGCCTAGTTGAAACTCACCTTTTTCTCATTTCTCATCATGATCTCTGATGATCTTCTCACAAAACTGTTTTTATTTACCGACTGAATGCTGTACAGACGGAGCTATGGAGATAAGACTTGAAGTAGTTTATCGGAACAATTTTCCGCCCATATAAAGGTCATTAATTCCCAAACCAAGGCCACTGATAAAATTTTTAATGGGTCAGATTCATCGAAAGTTTGATTTTCCTATTATCTGAACTTTCTCAACTTCTCTGAAAATTTTCAACGCGATTCAAATAAGGAACAACAAAGTAAGAGAAATCAAGTTATAATTTTGATGGAAACTAAATTTTGTTGTCATGTTCAGGTTTAATCTTCATAAGAACTTGCTCAAAAAAAAATAAAAATAAACTAAAAAATTTTCTTCGAATCTAAAGAAACACGCACTTTTTTAGTTTTTCAAAGACGTGGAATCAAACTTTTTTAACGATGGAAACGAAAATCACTTCCGACTGTCACAAGGAACGCGATCAAAAATTTCGAAAAATGTTTTTTTTGTGGAAAAAAAAACGGTAAAATCACAAGAAAAAAACAGGAATGATAAGGGAAGAAGAGCTGATGGTCCGTTAGGCTAGTTTGCGGGCTTAATATACTGAGCGTCGGCTGAGAACCGACGGCCGACAATTGCATCAGCCGCCAGCATCACGATGTATATATATACAGCTTGGCAATGATGACAAATTGGCTGACGTAATGTCATCGTCCTGAAACGTCTTGACCCCCTTGTTCAGCAGCTGATCGTGACACCACAAAATACAACTTCGTCTTTGCCGATCAACATGTGACCAATGGTCGGACCAATCTAATCAACACTTTCCGTTTATAAATTCAAAAAAAAAAAATGAAAATTCAGAACTTCATTATTTTTTAAAATTTTGAATTGATTTATTAACATTTCTTCATGCAAAATGTAGAAGATTGTATTATTATTTTCCAGAAAGTAGCAATAAATCGGTTTATTTTTAGTAATTTTTTTCATTTAGTCAATTTGAAATTTCTTTTTCGGTGTATAAAACTGCAAAAAAAAATATAATACCTGTAAGTAACTAAGAACGTCAGAAGAAGTTCGAATTCAAGTATTGAATAGTGCTATTTCGAAAATAACAAACTTAAAAATCTTATTGCGTTTCATCATTTTGCTCACTAATCGAGTGTAATGCAGAAAAAAAAAGAATATAAATTAAAAATATAATAATTTGATAACAAACGACGGAAAAGAGGGCAAAAAGGCGGCTGTGAGACCAAGGGGGTCAGAAAGTGAAAGATGAAGCTGAGCGGACTAGAGAGAGAGGGAGAGAGAGAGAGAGAGAAACGCAAACAAGCAGAGAGACACCGACTGACCGCAAGTTATCGACTTGTCCTTTTTCCGAAGATTTTGCAACCAAGATCAAGTCAGCATCACTCTCATGCTAAAGAGAATTAAAAACAGTCAAAAACAGGGTCTCAGAAGGTGTCACCGCATTAAAGCCGTGAAAGGACAGCTAGTAGAAATTTTGGCAAGTTTTTTCTTACCACATCTGAGGTACCGTTTTTGCACATATGGGTTTCTGATTTTCGTAATAAGCATAGCTGGATCACTCATTTTTTTTCTTTTACAAGTTTTTTTTCTCGTTTCATCACAACTGAGACAAAAGTAGCCTTAAAAACACGGCTTCAATACGGGCCCACCCATTGAGACATCCTGGCCCGCATGAGAATACTTTCTGGCCTTCTTGTGACTTCCTCCTCAATAGCACAGAGCCTTTCGCTTTAAAAAGCTCACGCTGACTTGTAAAATCTCAGTAAAACTGCGGTTCATAATCTTTTATCATTCGATTTTATATTTAAAAATAAATTGATATAGATATAAAAAGGAGCTTCACGAGCTTTTTTTAAAAATTCTGGACTAATTTAATTTTTTTCAAATCGAAGCGAGTCGTTTTCACGTAATCGAAAGTTTCGAAACGCTATTCCGCTAATTTTTCTTTTCGAGATTTTTTAGACATAGATATATTTGAGAACGTTTTTGCCCTGCCTTCTTATCAAGCTTTGAAAAAAATTAATTAAAAGGTTCATCTGCAGAAACGGAATTGTTACACGAATTTGGCCAGAAAAAATGTGAAATGTTATTTTTCGAAAAACGTCCTTGTGGCTATCAAAAATAAAGTTTCAAAGTTAATAGGAGAAAGGGAAGAAGAACGCGCTTGAGGGTGACATGTGATAGAGGAAAACCAAAAAGAAAGATTATTGTAGTAATAATATGGGAAGTAAGTATTCAGAAAGATTCACGTAGTAATAATACGGGAAGTAGGTATTTCAATATATGACCGCCAAAAGAGATTCGAGTATAAAAATGATTTCAAAAAAAAAATGCACTTTCACTATAAAAAAACTGCCATATCGCTCCCTCTTAAAAAAACTTGAAATTTGAAAAAAACATTTTTTTGCATTATTTTTTTGACTTTTTATGATGAAATCAATCAAATTCAAGAAAAAAACATTTTTGAAGAAAAATTTTTCAGAGAGCGATATAGCGCAAGACGTTTGCGAGGTCGCAGCGAGAGGCGAGCGATATCGCTCGCGGCTCCCCCGCGGTATAGCGTTATAGCTGATTCACGGCTGGCTTGAGCCATCGAGAAAAGGGTCCTGCCACGAAAAGAGACGAGACAGAGCCCTGATTGGTGGAGAGTGCAGACAGGCCACGCCTTTTTGCGTTCCAAGCTAGCCGTGAATCGTCTATACTCTCGCTGCGATATAGTCCACAAAATTGGGTGTAAATATGAAATAAAAAAAGTATTGCGTACTTGTGTTTGCACGTTTGACATTTTAAATGACAACAAAGTCCCGATTTAATTCTTCGAAACCGAAGTCGATATAAACCTATAAATTAAAAAATTTCCTTCAAATTTGTCAACCATTTTTATTGTGTGAGAGAAATGTTTACATTTAAGATTTGCTGATTCGGTGAAATTTTTTGGTCTACTCAAAAAAAGCCGTATTTTTTTCGATTTTTTTTTCGAAAAATGTTCTCGAGGCAAATTTTTTTTGCCTCGAGTTCAAAAAAACCCGTCTCGTGCACATAGGCAAAGTCGGAAGGACCCTCCGAGGGTCCATAAAGGACCATAGAAATGTTCCTTTTAGGGTGATGAAGGCTCTCTTTTTGCTGCCTTTCTGCGGCCTTTTTTGAGCCTCTCCCTTTTAGCAGCCATTATCCACCATTCCGACTTTGCCCGAGCATCCCTGACATCTTTCACGGCGAGTTTTGCGCGTGACTTCGAAATTCGATTTCGAATTTTTTTTTTTGCCTAAATAGGTCTTATACATCCAAAGATCACATGAATTTATGGCTCATTTCTATCGCAGCTAAATGGCTTGGCATGGCGGCCCTGTAAGAGCTGCCTTCCTCCACCCCTGATCTCAGTTTCGAAGTAAGATGGAAATTTAGAGAGATTTAAACACCTTCCTTTTGTTATAAGCCCTGACAGCCCACGCCAAATCCTGACTCATGAATGGAGCATGAGAACCGATGGCCGCGAGAAAATGAAATAAAGAAATTTTTTCTGGAAATGATTCTGCAACTGGAAACTACACAAAAAAAAACGTTTATAGCACAATTCACGTTCACATCAGGTTCCAAACTATTTTCAGGAAAAGATCGGAAACATTATTTATTAAAATGTGCTTGTGGATATCAAAGATGAATTTTTGAAAAACTATTAGAAGGAATTGAAGAAGAACGCTTAGGAAAGGGAAAATGAAAAAAATCGAAAAAAAAAAAAAGTTATACACGGAAAAATTTTCATTTTTTTTTAAAGATTTTCTTGCGGTTTATAGAGATTCTATACATTACCAGTAAATTAACTTGAAAGGAAAATTTGTATAACCCATTTCGCGCCAGCTCATCTTTTTTTATCCCAGCTGCAGTACATTTATTTTCAATGTTCGTGGCCTTTCCCTGGTATGCGCCTTCAATTCAGCCTAACAATTTTGGTTATAACAAATGCGCACGCAAAGGAACAGGCCGCGCGTACCTTGGTGGAAATACGTTATATTCGGCCAGAAAAGATCGTGACAAGCTGGTGCGGAATTGGTTATAGTGGTGTTTCTGGCGTGTTTGAAGGATTATTAATCTTTAAAAGTGAAAAAGCTGTTGTAAAAGAACCGTACTACTCATATAGGGGCGGCGAAAGCTTTTTTCAATGCAGGTGAAGAGTTACAAGTCAAGAAAATCTAAACATCAGGAGTAGCAACTCGTCGGCGTTTAGTTGCAGGTGCCGTGTTGGAGTCCTCCTTATTTCGGATCATCTCCGAATAGTCGCCAAAGGGTAGGAAGAAGTCGACGAGAGTGTCGAACCCATCAGGAAGGCTCTCGTTGCGCTCAACGACGCGCATGTCGTAGAGCTCGGCGACTTTATCTCGGACCTGCTTGGCCGTTGGTCGGATCGTGTACTTGGGCGAGTAGATCACCCTTCGGATCGTCTTCTCCTTCCTTGCCGATTCCTTCTGAACGGCTCGTTGCTGTCGGCGAAAGCTTATCCTATCCTCGTCGTTGAGGAACATCTCGACCTCGGCGGGCTCCGTGTCGTAGATGTGCGACATGAAGTCGACGATCGCCATAACGTTGAAGTGGCGGGCAGCTCCGGCTGGCTTGTACTTGATGATGAGCATCATAAGCCGCAGCTCCGAGAGCTCGCACCAGCCAGGTGAGTCCGGCAGGCCTGAAAGAGTCAAAATGAGAGATTTCCTTTTAGGTCCAACCGACCTGGGTTGTAAAGACTCGTTGAAGAGACTTGCAAAGGTCCGAAAAGCTCACGACGGATGTCCTCTTCATTTTTCTTCGTCGATACTCTCATATCTTTAAAAAAGATTAGAATATTTACAAAAAATGACATTAAGAAATTTCAGCGTAAAAACGCAAGTCGACAAAAATAAAAAACAAGTTTACACAAAAAAAATTTCATAACAAAGTTCACAGTAACAAATAATATAACAGAAAATAATTAAAATTCAATTAAATCTATGATAGAGCTCCTTCTCGTTTCAAAAAAGCGTCGAGCCTGAAAAATCGTAAAACTTGAAGATTTCGCTCTGAAAACTACCTTTTTCCATCTAGAATCGTGACGCGTCGGAATGGCATGTACTTCTGTCCATTTTTCTCAATTGAGTGAAACTTGCTGCCGGGCTCGACGTCCATATGAACAGGAAAGTCGAAATGAATTTCTGAGCCTTCGGTTATCTGCAAAAAGAGGGATTTTTTTTGGGTTTGCCGATTAATCGATTAATGTTTCACGTGAAATAGAATCCAACAATACCGCTCATTTCTAAGCGGCCAATTGGATATATGAAACAAAGGTACTGGAAAGCCAAATAATTTTCGAATATGGTAAGACTGACGAAAACTACTCTCTGAACCAACCTTTGTCAAAAACTCATCTTCCGCGTTGTCGAAAATCGTCGGTGCCATGGAGAGGGAAGCGGCTGCCAACCTTTTCTGAACGAGGGAGATTTTAGAAATAAGAAGAAGAAGAAAAGAAAAAAACAAATATAAATCGATTTTCTTAAAAAGGTGAGTGAAAAACAAGAAAGAGCTTGAAATAGACACTCTTTTATGATAATTAAGAAAGTCAAAATGTTCGTTCTCAAAGGCGAAAAAGCAGCGCTCGCTCATGATCGATCACCTTTTCGGCTTTGCCCATTTTCCGTTTGCTTTTCGAAGGTCCACTTTCATCCTCTGCTCCTTTCTCTGCGATGCGGATCTTTTGGATGTAGATAAAGTTTTCGACTGGCTTTTTCGATCCCGCAACGTCTTCTCTGAATGAACTTCTTTTTCGAAAGTTTGAAAAATACCTCAAACTTCTGAACGCGGGTGGAATTATTTCTTGGGAAAAATTCAAGAATCGTTCGTTTATGAAAAGAGCCGTAGACTCGCCCAAAATCTCTTCAAGCCTTCTTAGAAACTGAAAAAGAACGCTGTAAACTTGGAATTTGCTGTTCAAACCTCTTTATTAGCATACTTCTTGGCTCGGCTGAGAATATAATTTGTCACCTCCTTCGCATACTCTTCAGTGACGCCCTGAAAAATCAAATATATCAAGTTCAAAAGGAAAAGTGTAACGTGATAAGTTAATGGCAAGACACTGAACAAGGCGTAGACGGCGTTTGGATCATCGTCATCAGATTCATCATCTGCAGGCTGAAATGAAAAGTTTTTCGTTTTGAAAATAAATCGTGGAACGACTAATAAATTATTATATATCACTTTCTTTTTTGATAATTTCCTGGTCCTCTTCCTTCACACCACAGATTTATGTCTGTGAGCGAAAAATATACATTTCATAATATATGAAGAAGGTTTCTCTCTGATCCAGGCAAAAGGAGTGTCAAAAAAACAGAACAAAAAAAGAGTTTTCCTATTTAAAAAATTTTTTTGAAAAAGACATAGAAGACAGCTTCATTTCTGATTTAGTTGGATAGAATTTAAATAATTTAAAGCTTTTAACGCGGCAATAGTGGAAGGTTGTATGAAGACTTGCCCCAACAACCGATCCAAAAGGCGATTGAGCGATCAACGCGTCGGCCAAAACTTTCGTATCAACTTCAGCCCGTAAAAATATCTGAAAAACGCAATAATTATTCAGTTTACCCTGTCAAATGCGCTTCACCTGCGTCAGGATGTTAAAAAGACCCTCGCGGTCGCCTTCCTCCATGGGAAATGCTTCAAAGTTAAAATCGAGCTCATTATCGTCGCCGTCACTTGGAGCATCCTGGTCGTCTTCATCGCTGAGCTCTTCTTCGTCTTCGTCTTCGTCCTCCACGTCATCCAACTCTTCGACTTCTTCTGTAATGATAATTTTTGTAATAAAACTTAAAAATTGACGTAGTTCTGAAAATTTACAGATTCTTATAATGATTATATTTTCATATTTTCAAAGTTTGAAAAGGTAAAAAAAAATTTCTAAGCCTCTTTTGTGTAAAAAAAACATCCTAGTTTATGTATTTGCATTAACTAGGATATTTTCATTACCTGTAGAAATTATTCTCATATGACTTCTCAGAGTATCATATAATATAACTGGAAAAAGCCTAAAAAAATTTATTAAATTCTGTACATTTCATATCACTCTGACGCTAGAAAAAAAAAATGAAGAAATTTCCTCTTCACACGCAAGATGAACGGCGCGATCCGACATGGTACTCGCTGACGATATCGCCCGGGTCTCACCGCAGTACCGCTTTTTTTCAAATTTTTTCCGGCCGTGCAACTAGCTTGTCCAGTACTCTAACATTTTCTTAAAATTCAGCAACCGAATATAAATTGAAGAAAGTCCATACATACAAACCTTGCTTCTCATCCTCCTCTTTTTTCGTTCTTTTCTTGGCCTAAAACAAAAATGATTACATAGAATAATAAAAAGAACTCACAGGTTCAGTAGCCGCCTGAACAGCGGTTCTCTTTGCTGAACCAGCCTTCTTTTTCAAAACCTTCCCCATAACTGAAAACTTCAAATTAAAAAAAATCCTAGCTTTTCGGATCAGAACTCTTTCAAAAATCGTTATAGAGAATTGAGGTAATACAACTGTTAGAACTGATTAAGAACAAAAAAAAAACTCAACGCCATAAAAAAGTTAGCAGTCGTTTATTCACTGAAATTTACACGTATAAGAGGGCAGAGTGAAAGTTGAGACGATGAAAAAAGTGGACATTAATCGGTGGCCAGCAACTTGGCAGCTTGAAGATAAGTGAAGGCGCGGGCGAGAGAAGTTCTGGATCCGTCGGCGCCAGGAGATCGATCCCACTCCCACGTCGTCACCTGCTTGTACTCGGCTTCAATGTCGTATTGATCTCGATCACCTAGAAACCTTTCCATTTTGACCATATCTGCATTTTCTGAGAGTAGGTTTTTGGACAATTAAAAAAGAAGAACTTTAAGAAACTTCGAGGTTTTTGAAAGAAGTAAGGCTGCTAGAAAGTGCCTTTTTTCGACTACTTTTTTTTATTTTCTTGTTTTTTTCCGAATCACTATTTTTCTGCTCTGATTTTAATGACACTTCTTTTTGAAAAAAACCTTTCCTTTGTGGGGAGAGGGCTTTCAAAAAGCCCTCTCCCCACAAAGTTATCTCTAAAAAATGAAACCGTCCTTGACATCTATTTGAACAAAAATTCAAAATCATTCAAAATTAGCCATCAGGAAATAAAAACCACGAACCTTCTCTCTTCTTCAAAACGTATAGTTTATAATCATCCGGAAAGTGGTAGTCGACGCCTTGGAGCCCACGCCCTCGAAAATTCGCTTCTTTTTCTTTTCCATCCGCGGAATTTTCTCGAATGAAATATCTGGAGAACAAAAACAATTTTCAGAAAAATCGACTTCCCGAATAAAAAATTTCATCAGAAAAAAACTAACCCAGAAACGTTGGCGGGTCCGGTGTAATCGATTTTACAAGGTAAAGAATGTAGCTCTTTAGGCGTCCCATTTTCGTTAGAAGGCAACCTTTTTTTGATTGAACATTCCGGTTCTGATTTTTCCATGTCTAAAATCTTTGAACTTATTTTAGGAATTAAAAAAAACTTTTGCACAGTCGAAGAAAAACGAAATACAATTAAAAGAACATTGTTGAACAAATAGAATCAAAAGGTGCAGTGAAAATGAAACCGATTAAAAACATTGCGAGTAAGAAAGCTTATGCACTGCTTCAGTTAGGTTCACGATTAATTGAAAAACTTTTTCGATCTACAGCAGTGAATAGAATGTAAAAAAGTAAGAAGCTCATCGTAAAAACCGAAAATGAAACAAACAAAAAAGATGCGATTTGTTAGAATAAATCAATGGCGATAAGAAGAATCCAATTCAAAGCCATTGTTAAAAATTTGCCGCAAATTCTGAGCAATGCTTTGTTCCACGTTCCATCTATAAGCAGAAAAACTTTTTTTCTTTGTTTTTATTGGGAGGAACTCACTCATCGCAATTCAATTTTTGCAATCGAGAAGGGTTAGATAATCGAAGTTTTCGTGGGAACTCTTGCGGCTCCGCCCATTCAACCGAAATCCACAGAGTTTCATTGCAAACCTTAGAAGAATGCAATCAATATAAAGTTTGAAAAAAGTTTAGATGCAATGGTTGAAATTGATTGAAACGTACAGGAACAACGATTTCAGCCGTTAAACACTCAGGATAATTCTCGTCTACATCAAGCGATTTGATCTGAACAAAAAACTTTTCAAAAACTCAGTCTAAATTCTAATTCAAGTTTACACTAGTGGTTGAAAAAGTAGAAAACTCATAAACAAATAAAAAATTTTAAAAATTATTTTTCCTTATTGACGCTTTTGTACTTTTGCCGAGTTTAAAGGGAAAGAATTTGCGCGTTTTGAAACTGTCGGTCGTTTTTTTTTCAGCAGCGTTAAAAAAATCAATCTTTCCTTAATCAGCTCTTGCAAATTTTTTCAGTTAGTTGAGATTAATTCCAAGTTCTAAATGATTTTTATGAGCGATTTCCATTCAAACTTCAAACTGAGAACAGACCACATATTCTTCACGCGAAAGTTGATCAAACTGGCCGATTGCAAAATCCATAACTTTCGCAAAATCAATATACTCCCGAATCACAGACTTCAACGTTTTCCGACTACCCTTGAAAGAAAATGTGGAATTTACTAGGGAAGCAATGGAAATGCCTCAAAATCCCACTCGAAGGAAAAAGCAGAAGTGTATGACCCGGTGATGCGAGGCTCTTCTTCTGGAAACTCCGGTGTCCGACTGAATTTCACGCAGAATTTGTTGTGGCTGAAAAAAAGCCATGAAAATTATTTTGATTGTTTCGCGTTCAGAGTAATTTTGGCGAAATATAAATGGCCGTCAGAGTGCGAAAAAAGTATAAAAATGTAAGAGAATAAAAGACTATTTAGCGAAACTACTTTGAACGCGGCCTTTTGAAATCCTTTATGAAGCACCTAAAATAAAAAGATAAATTCGAAAAGTGTCGAAGCCGTTCTTAGGTTTTTTTATTTGTTATTTCCGCTTTGAAATGCCCCAACAGAATAAAAAAATTTAACCTCAAAAAAATGACAAAGGTCAACTCTGACATAGTTCGCAGCTCAACGTAATGCCTTAGCTGGTCATCTTCTACCACTTTCTGGCTCTGTTGAAAAACCGATCTTTAATATAAAATATACATTTAAAAGAGACCTGAACAAGCCACTGCCATTCGCTATTGTGGATTTCATTGTAATCTATTGTTCCACCGGAATTCACAAAAAAGCGCCAAGGATCTTCCGAAATCGAAATACCTGGCATTGTGCTTCAAAAAAGCTTTAAAATTATATTTCACAAAACAAATACTCCACGAGCCACAAAAGGCTTTTTAAATTCGAGAAAAGTGAAAAAATTGCAAAACAAACACCGGTTTATTCAATACTCTCTGTAATTGTGGGGATATTAAATGGATTAATAAAATTGTTGTAGCGCGTTGGAAGTATGAAGTCTAGAAATTGAGAACCGGAGTCATGAAAAAAACAAAACAAAAAAGAATCAACAAAGCGAAAGAGAAAGGCGTACAAAAAATTTGAAACTGAAACGTTCCGCGCCAAAGTCAACAGCGCCCTAGCGTACACCTACATTCTTCTCGGACCTTGGAAACGCGACACGGACGTGCTCCGGACGTTTCTGCGCGATTCTAAGGACCACTTAAGAGTGCTGAAGCTGCTAAAGTGGTCACTAGAAATGCCCAGAAACGTCCGGAGCACGTCCGTTTCGCGTTGTCTGAGGTCTGAGGACTCGGACCTCCTCTGACATGGGGCGCCTAGAGATCGCCAAAACTTTTTCACTCACCTACACCGTTTCGTCGTTATCTATCTGCGATGAAACCACGGAACAGTGTAAGTCAGAGAAAGATTAGCATGTCAGAGTCGGTAACGAAAAAGCGGTCGTTTCTGAGCAACTCTAGGTATCACTTAAGAGCTCTGAAGCTACTAAAGGAGTCACTAGAAATTCCCTGACACGTCGTTACCAGGGTCCGAGTAGGCAAATGAGGAATTTGAGATCGGGTGAAAATTTACTCGTACATAAAAATATTCAATAAAACAAATGTCACTTTTTTTGGAAACGGGAAAAAAGTCATTGGACCAATTAAGACGCCATTTTCGTATGCAATAAAAGAGTGTGAATAGTGAAATTTTAGCGTCTTTCGAAAACGTCCTTAAAGGCCGAAGAAGGCGAATCGTGAATGAATTGTACAGTTATTTGGAAATAAGTTAGAAGAAGTGGTACCGTTGGAGACGCCTAACGAGATCCATGTCGCGCGGAAGAAGCGTCACCCGCTTAGCATGGATCGCGGCCTGGTTGGCATCTTCAAACAGCTGAACCAGCATCATCTCGGCCATCTCTTGAAGCGCTTCCACAGCAAGTCGTTGAACTTTGTAGCCCTTGTATTTCTTAATAAGCTCCAAGGTTTGAAAAAGGAAAGAAAAAAAAAGACGGCTGAATGTGTTATTTTAATACATTTTGAAAAGAAAAAAATTAGATCAGAAGTAAACTTGTTTAGCCACCGATCGAACTTTCGAAGATACTTGGCTAAAATATACTTCAACACCTCCTGATTCCAGAACAAGAAAAAATTCTCGGAATAGGTCTTGATTTGAATTGAGACCCTTCGAAGCAACTATAAAAATCAAGGTACAAAACTTTTTTAGCAGTTTTAAGTTTCATAACTCTGAAAAAATATATTGCGAAAACTTTTATTTTTGATTTTGAATCAGGAGGCCCAGAAGTACACTTCGGCCACGTTTTATCAGAAATTCCTTGGCAGACGCCATTTGCGCAACTAGATAAGAACTATTTATAATATAGATGTTAGAAGAAAGAACGGACCTCTTGAAAAATAGAGCGAACAACTCGCTGAAAAGGGCTCCTTGGAATAAGAAAACCAGAACTCTTCTGCCATTTGTAGATCTCTTCGTCGACTCGACTTTTGCGCGATGACTGGTGTCGGTGGTGTCGCGGATTGGCCGACTTGCGGCGAGCCGGATGTCCCGGCGGCAAAGGCGGAGCTCCTGTCGATTTTCTAGCCGTGGCCTTCATATCGTCAGTTCTAAGCATTGGAACTTTTGTAAGAAAATAACTTGAGAATGGGACAGTTTTTTCCGTAGAGTTCAGACTTTTAGCGGTTTTTAATGAATTTTCGGTAGTAATTTTCTGTTTCAGATGAGTGAATACAGAGTTCAAGATTCCCAAGCTCCACAATTTTCAATATATCTTAACTGAACGAGAACAGAAATTTAAATTGATAAACAAAACGAATTGAAGTTTTTTATGGACTAAACGGTTATTCTGCAATATCAACAATAAAATCAACAAGAAAAAAAGTAACAAGCAAGATAACAACGATTGTGAACAACGTTACAAAACAGTTTTATTGAGATTACTGTAGCCGACACCAAGGGCAGTGACGATTGCTTTGTCTCGACTCCCTATCCTCAATTCCTCTTGGTCTTCACCTTTCATCTTTGCTGACTCGATTTTGAACTCGACTTCGAAGAATTCTTTCAGATGGCGCAGTGTGTGGATACTGAAGAATTCCAATAAAAATAATGCATTTTGAGGCTTAAAATGGCGAGTGATAGTAAATTCCGCGCCATCTTAACACGTTTTTTTTCTACCAAAAAGACCATACATTAAATTAGAAAAAACTAACTCCCAATTCGCTTCGAGATCTCTATTTCGCAGTTTTGTAAAGAAAAAATGCAAAAAAAAAATCTGTTTTACGGTAGTTTTCTATCCTTTTGAAAAAATTCAGAAAAAAACGTTCTGCATCTCTTTGTATGTTCCTCTTCGTTAGTTTCAAAATAAACTCTGATCTTTCTTCTCCCAGCTTACATTTGGAGCAAACTGTTGTCAACAGAAACATATGAAAGCACAAACATCAATTCATTTTCGCCTAAGAAACTAAGTTTTTTCTAGTTTCCCTTTAGAAATTCAAAAAATTAATAGCGAATATAATTTCTCGAAAAGTTCTTACCTGTAAATGGGCAAAGGTCCGTATAAATAAGTTGAAATGTCTTTTTGACCCAATGCCATGAATGTGCTCGCCAAACATTGCGCAGCGCTGTCCAAAGCGCCTCCCTAAAGTTTTTTATAGTTTTCCTGGATGATCAAAAAGTTTCAACCATGAAGATATTATCGAGGAGAGCATGCCCAGCGAGAGTTCCGACGTCTTCTGGCAGAATCGGATCACCGGCCTCCTTTTTGGGTCTTGAAATCGATTCGGCTTGGTAGACGACGCCTTCTGTTGTTTCTGCCGTTAAGAACAAACCATATCCCGGCGAACTAAATTTAAAGCTTTTAATATCAAAAATATATATTATCCGTTTGGCTTTAAACTGAAACAACTTTGATAAGCTATGTGATAAAAGTGGCACACAAGAAAAGTACCAAATTGCATCCTTTTTCTATGTTCGGAGGAATTGTATTCATTTCGATAAACATTACGACACTTAAATACTCGAAATACTTGAAAAAATACTTTGAAAAAAAAGACCAACTTTCCACCAGCATCGCCTTTCCTCTGATCTACTGTTATGTAGACATCTGATAAATATCCGTGAACGGCTTTTTTCGCCGCGTCAATCATACGATAAGCGAAGGAAGGGGTGACCTGAAAAGTACCGAGATTTAAAAATACATTCGTTCCCGAAAACCTTGGTGATATAGGCCTGTCCTCGGATTTTGCACACTTTACCAGCTTTCTCTCTCTGCAAATGAATAAGTAAGGAAATTTGATGAAGAAAGAAAAATCTGAACCTTCACAGGCCGTAAAAATTTAACAATCGGAGCGGAAAACTGTACAACGCCACCGCCATCGGGCATTAAACCACGAGCCGTGATCTGAAAATTGCATGTGAACTGGAAAAATTGAAAAAATTAAGAACCTTCAATTCCAGCTTCTCGTCGTTTAAAACAAACTTATTGTAGACACAAAGCCAAGAAGATTTTATTGCGTCCACGGAAAGCTCTCCAGGCGCATTCGTGACTCCTGCAAGAAATTTTTTTTAATCGGAAAAAACTCAACTTTTCCACAGGGGGTAAAAATTAATAATCCAATTATGCTGAGACAAAAATAATACTGAAGATACAAAGCTTTCTAGTTTTTCGCCCTTGAAAAAAACTTAAAATATCTTGTAATGAAATAATAATTTTGCATCAAGACAAAAAAATAAAAAGTAAGAAGTTCCAATACAGCAAATTCCTATCTTATTAACTATTGTTTAAATCACATCTGTACGCGGGGAAAGCTATTTCGAAGGTAAAAATTAATTTTGTCTTTATATTAAAATAATTCTTGAACTCGAAAAGCAACCTTTCAATTTGACACTGAGCGGATGTTTGCAAAACGGAGATAAAAGAACGAGAGGCTCAAGAAAATAAGAAAGACATCGGTCAACACCACAGTCCATCGTCAGAACACCGCCAGTTATCATACCAGGCCGGAAGATGACCTGTGTACCTGAAAAGGTCTTTCGATTTTCTAACAAACAAAAAGCAATCGAGATACCTGTTCGATTGATTTCAACCTTTGTGCCATTTGTGACTTTCTCCAATAGCGACACGAGTTTTGCTTCAAAATCTGAAAACACCCAGGAACTAATTTTTCGAAAAGCATATTTTTAAACCTCTTATACCAGGCGCATCGTCGTCTTTTCGGATATTAACTATTCTTACTGGCCTTCCACTGAGAATGGAATATGTTAAACGAAGCCGGAAGAAGTTACATCCTTCAAACAATATCTCCTCCTTTGGCGCCATCTAGAATCATTTGATTTGTAATGAGCCTCATGAGAAAGAAACAATAAAATTGGAAGTTAAAAAAAGAAGTTTTCGTAAAAAGAAAACAAGACTCTTGAGCAAAAAAAGAATAAATCATAGAAACAAGAAGACGATCGAATTAAGGCTTCCTGAACTTCGAACAAATGCAATCTGCTTCATTTTTGTTTCAGCTAAGCAAGCTGAATTATATATATATATGCGCAAATTCAAAAATTTGGTTTAAAAAATGCTGAAATAAACCTTTAGTTTATAATTTCGCGCATAATGACCGTTTTATCGTTGTATTACCCAATTTTTCAAACGATTCCCGAAATGCAACTTTGCGTCGTTCGCGAGATAGTTTTAAGCGAATGAAAAGCCCATTTTGAAATCGTCAAAATTGCTTTTAGCGGGGCATTAGTTTATCATAATCTTCATTCTATTTTCTTTCAAAAAGGAAAGAAAACTTTCAATGCGCGTCTTATAAATTGTTCGTGGTGCTCTGGTGCAGGTGAATGCGTACTTCGAGCAAACCGGAAAAAAATAAAAATTAAAAAAACAATGAAATAATTCCAATTTTAAACACAGCTTTCAAGCCATTGGGGGAAAAAAAAACCTACGAAACATAAAGATGGATTTTAAAATATTGAACTATCTCAGAACGAAAAAAGAAGTTTTGGAAATGGTTTCGCTGAAGTTAATAAAATGTTCTCTTTGTTCATTCACAGAAATCCGCTGACCAGGCAAAAAGTGAGACTTCTGAATAAAACTAGGCTCATAAGATGTTTTTTTTACGCTGACTCCAAGTCAGATCTTAAAAATTTTCAAATATGTCTATGAGAAAAATCGCATCCAACGATGCAATTTCAAGTGAAAAGTCGGAGGTTCAAATCTCACTTTACGACAGTGTTTCTTGTGTTTGTGTAAAGATATTAATCTGATTAATTTCGAACTTCGGAAAAGAGAAATAAAGTCGAGAATATTTTCCGGAGTTTCCATAACTTCCCTCCGAACTATCATCCGTGTTTACTTCGCCAAAGACGCGTCAAATTAGACTCGTGCCATGTCTCAATAATAACGGGACGACCTCGCCTTGAGGACCAGCGCCAGTTTTCTTCATTTCATTGATTCGGCGAGGGTCGATGGCGCTTTTCTGCCGTATTACAATATGTACTTTCTCGCTTTTCTCGAACTAAATCTCACTTCCTCTCAGAAACCAAACTTTTTGAATAACAATATGAAAAATCTAATACTCAGGGGGAAAAATATAAACGTCTGCTGCCGCGCCCTTATTTATTTCCAAATGTAATCTTTTCTTTATGCTTTACGAGCTGGTGATGAATTTCAAAGCATAAAGGGGCCGGTTTTTTTTTTTTGGAAATCGGGAATTTTTGGGTTTTATTGGTTCCGGCAGAATACATATAAGACTAATTGAATCGCGAAAAAGCATCAGTTTTTACATTTACGTTTATTCAGTCATCAGTTTACTTTCTTTTTTAATTTAAAACCATTCCTACGTACGAAGCACCTCATGAAACCATCCAGAACCACTGTACCCCATAATCCAGAACGTTCATCGCTTCCCAGTTTCTCTTAAAACCGCCGACAATTGATCCGCAATGTTTATGATAGCTTCACCAGCTGATCTCTTTTGTCGTCCATAAGTCTGGCTTTCATTTTTTTTTTTAGCTATCTTCACGCCTTGTGTTTTTATCTTCTGGAATTTTGAAAACAAGGTTTTTGATGTTTTCATCAGGTTCCTTATATTCAAGCACAATAGAAGCAAACCTCGAAAAAAAAAAAAATGAATTTTTCGAATGACGAAGTTTGAATAATTTTTTGTCAAATCGGGAAATTCTGATGCTTTTAAACGCCTTGTTCAAAGTGATTCCGCGAAATCCAAATGAGCAGTCAGAAAAAGAAAAATGATAACTAAATTTTGGAGAGTCAGAGATAATTTTGCATTTCGCGGAACTTACTTTGAACACGGCAAAAGAGTTTGAATCATCATGAAATTGATTTTTTTTGTAAATCTACGTTCTTTTTTCCTGATAAAATACTTCTTATTACTTTTCAATATTCTATTCGAAATATCTTTTCTGTCGAAAAAGAAAATCTTCTACAAAATTCGTCGCCAGTCTATAAAAAATTCCAGTCAAGTTATCGTCACAGGCCGCATTTTCTTCAAAATTATCTGCTCCTAGGAGTTTCCCGAGACATATGTCGCTCGTTGCTGATTGAAAAAGCGCAAGACGGTCAGAAAAAGTGTTCCGCCACATGATCAATTTAATTTGTGCCTCCCATGCTCCTTTGAACAATTTGGCAAGCATTTCCTAATCTGAAAGTTTCTCTAAGTATAGTCTTTTCTTCTCTCAAACTGCCGAAAAGCATGATTGAAATAAAGTTTGGTTTTTTTCCTATTATCTGAATCTCAAAAATAGGGCAAAAAAGGCCTTGCCCACACGTCACATGGACAAAACATCGAGGGATTTGACAAAGTGAACTGGACTCGCGAGAGAGAGAGGCCACTTAAGGACACCAAACTGGTTACCTGCCCGGCACAGCGCAGCCGTACATGCAGATTTTTATCGCTGCCATTCGACAGTCTCTTTTTTTCTGTCTTTCTTCGCTTTCACCTCTAGAGTTCCCTCGATGTTATCTGATATTCAAAGGTTCGAAAACCGTTTGACATTGTATGTAGGAAGGCTTCTTGTTAAAAAAAAAAGAGTTCGTGAAACTCACAGTTTTGATCATACCGAACTGTGCACAAGTATTTTAGGAACTATGAAAAATAGTTTCTCCTCAAAAGTTTCATGGAATCTCTACCTAACCTTTCAAAGTTTACGAAATTATAACGATCGTCTTTTAGGACCGTTTTCTCAGTATCTTTCTGATCAGCAAGCGGGGAATCGAGTCTAATAAATCGATGTTTTCGCTTCAAAGTGTCTCTACAAGCGTTTAAAATCTTCTAAATGTAGGAAAAATTTGAGTTGTTTCTCTCAGCGAAAATTGTTCATCTCAAAGACGACAAACAAGTTTTTTCTCTATCAAACTAAAACTCAGAAAAAAGCGTTTTTTTTTAACCAAAATTGACTGAACTTCAAGAAAAAAACTAAAAAAATTTCCTTTTTTTGGCTAGGATTACTTTTTTTGAAATTGCTTGAACTTCTAAACTCAGTTTTTTTACAAAGTTTAAAGTCCGCAGAAATAAGAACTGCATTTTTTTATTAATTTTATTAAAGTTTTTTTATTAAAGTCCAAAAAAATATAGGATGACCTGATGCGATTTCGGTGTTTACGTGAACAGAATGTGGTCAACAAGACACATCCAGCGGCCTTTTTTTGTCGCAATTCGTCAAGTTTCGTCCGATTTGTGTGTATGTGTTCCAAAAACAATAGAATAAACAGTTTCAGAGATGAGCGATGACGTATGTTCGTTGCGGGACTATCAACGATATTCTTCAGTGAGTTTTTCAGAAGGAAAAGTAATGGCTGTTGGGCTTGAAAAACATCTTGAGAAAAAAATACACAGAGATATCTTAAGGACTTTTGAAGAAAGACCCAAACTTTCAGGCCCAGTTTTCTAAGCTTTTTTTTTCTCTGGGACGTTTTTCTGTGAGCTCAGTTTTCCAAGGTTCAAATTATTTGACTTTAAAGTCTGTGTTCTAGAAAATCGAATATATCTCACTTCAGTGAAAACTTAAAAGAATTATTAAATCCGAAAAATGTATTTTAAACGCTACTAAAAATCTACAAAATTGAAGTTGCAAATCCAAATTTCCAGATGGTCTCAGCCGCCACCTCAACAATTCATTTATTAAATGAAGGGCCGTTTTCGGTTCTATTTGCTTCCTCAGTAGTTTACAACGCCGTCAGTCAATTTTCCTACCATTCAGCGATCCGGAGTATAAGAAAGCGGAGGCCTATTTATGTGAGTCCAGTTTGAGGCTTCCAAAAAAAAGGTTCTTTTCTACTCTTCGATTGCAACAGATTTCAAAGTTCAGTAGGGAAAGAATTCTCGAAATGCGGAGAAGATATGCAGGCAGAAAAAACAGAGAAAGTCTCTTCAGTACTCCACTGATCTCTCTTCATGCCTTTTTTTCTTCTAAACTAACTCGAATCACGAGAATTTTTCATTTAGTTAAAGAAGCTTTGGCGAAAGTGAAGAAAACCCCGAAAAAAAGAGCCTTTTTTGTGAAAAAGTCCAGTGCTTCGAAAAGATCTCGAGCCTTGCTAAGAATAGGAAAATTTCATCAATTGCTCGTAAAAAAATGCTATAGAGACGTCTGAAAATCTTCTTTTTGGAAAACCTCTGATCCTAAGCCATGGGTGATTGAAATACTCGAAAATGTTTTCAGAACTTCTCTCTAACGATACTGGCTCTTCTGCGAGTTGCTTTTATAAGTCTCAGGGACGAGTCTACGATCGCCCTAGTGAGTAATTTGACGGCAAAAATCAATTTAAAGCGCAAAAATTCAGTTTTTCGCCTACTTATCACTGTTCGTCGCGTTTACCGAGAACCTCAGCATGTTAAGTTCGGCAAAATACCTGGAAGCCACCTACGATTTGAATGTTCGACGTCAGCGCCGAAGACTCTACGATCAGAATCCCTACGCCGCGCCTGCAGCTTAGAGATCTTCGATATTGAGTCCAGGAATTCGAAAACAGAAAAAAATAGCATACTTTTCTCAACGCCTCCCACCCCTTCTCAAGTCAAAAGCTTTCAAAGTTGTATAATACACACCTTTACAGGTTCAAAATAATACCGTGTTCAATTACAACGGGTTCGACTCGATTTTCGATTGTTCTTTTTCTTTCAAATAAAGAAGTTTACTTCAAAAAGCAACGGCATTCAAATATCGAGTAATAAAAACAGGGCAATCAACAATAAGGAAAAATTGGAGTCCAAAAGCTTCAACAGGAATATATATGAAGAAAATAAGACTAACAAGGAGGAAATGATAAAAATTCATATAAATGAAGAGAGATATAAATTAGGAGACCAGTATCATTGAAAACAAATCCAAAAATGTCGGGAGTTCAATCACGTCTCCTTTTTTCGCGCTCCTGCTGAGTCGGCGGTGGCGGCGTTCCTTTCCGGTGAAGTTGATCTGAGAGGAGAATACAGATTTTTCGGCCACAAAAAGTCTATCAAAGAAAGTTGTTTGACCAATAAAGATTATTTTTTTCCCTCCATATAACTCATATACCCACCAATGTACTCTTCCAGCAGCCGATCTCGTTCAGAAGCGCTGTTCGACGTCATCCGCACCCAGCGCTGATCATTCTGAATGGGAAACGATTAGGAGAAGCCCTTTCCTAGACGGAGAAACCTCCAAAACAGCAAGAATATCCTTCAAGTGCTGTTCGCCTTCTTCCATCTGCTTCTTGCTTTTGTAGGTGATAATCTTCGTTTCTTTGAGCATCTCCTTGAACTCGCTGACCAGAATATCGTGCCGTTTCTCTTGCCATTCACGGAAATCTCGCTCAACTTTCTACGAAAAAAGAGTTTATTTGATTGATAATTTTCGAACGAACCCTCTCCGAGTTGGCAGCAACTTTGACGAAAAGGTCTTCCTCGTCCTGGATGATCCTCTTGACTTCCTTCCATCTCATGTTCGGTGTGATCTTTTCGTGCTCATTGAGAACGTTGAAGAAGGCGTCGCGTCTTTTTCGCTCCAAACCCCTGGAAAATAAATTTGAACTTTTTTTTTCTTTTTTTTTTTAGTTAAAAGAGAGCGAATTCAAATTTTACAAAGCCGCAAATTTTTAAAGAAGATTCTTCTAAATTTGAAAAATTTTCATCAGCATAAATGAAAAGAAAACCTTTCTGCAGTTAAATATGAACACATAGAAATGTTCTGAAGAAGCTCATAACTTTTGTAACAAAAAAAAATAAGAAGCCATTTTCTTCAGAATCCGAAATCAAAACCGACTTCAAATGCTCGTCGAACAGAGACTCCTTCCTCTTCTTATCCAACAAATCGCACTCAGAATATCGATCATCGCCTCGGAGTTGCCGCCGGGCTTCGTGCCAACTCGTTTCAACAGATTTCACCTAGGACGTGTCCTTTTCGGTACATGATAAATCGAAAAAGAAGACGATATTGTGAAAATCCAACTGATTTACTTGAACTTAATGAAGCTCATCTCCTTTTTCATAATAAACTTCCACTATGAGTGAAATAAAGAATTTTAAATAGTTTTGAAGACTCACCATATCAATAAGAAGAGCCCTGAAACGTTCCTCATGTTCATGTTGCCGTTGTCTTTCGCTTTCCTTGTTCCTTTCGCGGAGCTGATCGCCCAACTCGGCCTCAACCTTTAAAAAAAAAGTTACTTTATTACTGAAAATGGGAAAAACTTCTTTCTGACGGGCTGCAATGGCAGCAGCTGCGGCCAAACGTTTCTCCCGTTCTTGTTCTTCTTCGATGTCCTGAAAAACCCCAGTGAAAAATTTTGAAAAATCGCGTTACAGCTGTGAAACTGAGCCAAAAAAAATAAATTTTTAAATAGCTTGTATGAAAAAAAAAAAACGACTAAAAGCTCTAATTTCAATTTTAAATCAAAAAAGCGAATTCAAAAAATTATATCAAGTGTAGTCTAGACATGCGAAAATTGAAACACTTTTTTTCCCGCCACCTTGTGTGGGGGCGAACATTGTATTTTAAAGAGTTCTGAGCGTCAGAAAATATCGCGTTGGGGATTCTTTGAAAAAGTGTTCATAGTCTGTTCTGCGGGTCCTGCAAAAATTGCCACCATGAAAAAAAATTTTTTTTTCGCCTTGTTCTCTACAAGTTTGCAAAAACTCTAACACGGTGCGCCTGAAGATCGACACAACAAGCGCTTTTCGGAATAGTAGATAATAGTACCTCTCAGGGAACACTCAACCCGATACTTCTATGAAAAAAAAAATCCAGACAAAGCTTAAAAAAAGGATAAAAATATCAACAGGAGCGAAATTTCTTCGAATAACTTCGAAAATGAACATGCAAAAAGTCATTGATTTGTAGTTTTGAAGAAAGAAAATCCTCACAGACAAAGTCTCATCGCCCAACTTCTCAACGTGGTCGCGGAAGAGACCTTCTCGCGTCGAGCTGCTGTCCAATGCTTTGTACCTAGATGTATACAGTTTGAACAATCTCCAAGCGTTTTATTACCTCTCATCATCCTCCAAGGTCTTTTTAACGCTGGACCACTTGGATTTCCTTGTGAGACCCTTTTGTTCTACCAACAAGGCCACAAAATCTGCTTTCAGCTGAAAATACACGAAGTACGGGGAAACTACGAGAAAAGTGGAACCTTCTCCTTTTTCTGCTTCTTTTCCTCCTTTTCCTTCCGATGAATCTCTCCGACATACTCATTGAACATGTCCTCTCGGTCGCGCATCTTTTCAACGGCTTTGAATCTCGAGTCTTTTCCAAATTTGGAGGAGAACGACGAGAATGAAGATCTGAAATCATCTGTTTGTTTTTTTTTTTTACAAAAAATCATCTTGACTTTCGATAAAATATTTTCTTATTCTCTGTAGAATAACTTTAAAAATTCCGTTTTAACTCTTCTTTCTACTTCGTATCATTAATTTCAATTGAATTTTTCAAGTGTTTTGATCTTTAAAATCGTCTTTTTTTCTGTCTTTCTGTCCCAAACAACTCACTTTCCGTGAAGTTCAGCTTCCTTCAGAAGTTGCTGGAACTTTTCCTTGGCTTCCTTGGCCTTTTTCTTCTTCTCAGCCCGGACCGTCTCATTTTTTTCGCGCATGTAGGCATCGAAACACTGGAAGGAATCCGCAGAAATTATTTCAAGTGCTGGTAAGTTATTACGGCGCGACGTTCAGTTGCACTGAGGAGCAAATATCTTTTGTCGAAGACAATTTTGGACAGTTCTTTTTCAAAGGTACTTCCAACGGAAACTTCCCGCTCTGCGAGCATTTCCTTGAACTCTTTGAGACGTTCTTCCAGAGGAATCTGAAAGTGCAGGAATTAGTTATTTTCCCGTCGAATTTGAAACTTTTTCTCTCTCCTTCTTCGCTTCGATTTCAGCTTGAATTGCCGGATCGACTGGCTTCTCGAGCATTTGACGCACAGGCTTTTCCTTAATAATGAAATAAAATAATGATTATATTTCTCTAAGAAACAACTTTTTCTTTCTTCTGAGCGGCCAACAAAGCTTCACGCTTCCTCTCGGCGCGACTTTTCTTCGGCTTCGGCGGCCCGTCCTCATCCTCCGCTTCCGAGGAATCAGAAGAGGCTCCCTCACTTTGATCAGCGTCTTTTTTGGGCTCCTCCTCTGAAATTTATCAACTTAACTTTCCAGGAACTCCAAAGGTACATGAAAATCGAGTCAACAAAAAATAGAGCCGTTTTTTGTTTTGTGAACAGTCTCAAAATACCTTTTTTGACATCAGGCATTCTGGAAACCATCTGATCAACGTCTTCACGGCCGTAGGTTTCTGGTGGACGTTCCCATACCGAAGTCTTTGTTGAAGGGTTGTAAAAGAACACCTAAATGAATATGATTTGTTAAACTTCCAACAAAGCGGATAAATGTTTTTGTTTACATTGTACGCTGTTTTTTTCAATTTTTAAAAAATTTTAAATCGCGCTAAAAACGCATCACAAACGCCACATACGGCCGTTTCGAGCCGAGAAAATTATGACATTTCTTAATTTATCCTCGCAGATTCTGCAGAAATCACCTTTCCATCGCCGGTCCAGACGACACACCACGGCGTTCCAGAGACTGGAGTGCTGCTCACAGGTCTCGTCACATCTTTCGTCTTCTCGGTGGCCGCAGCAATCGCCGCTGCACCCGACGCCGCCGCGGTTTTTGACTGTGGCAATCCACCGCCGTTCGCCGCACTCGACTTTTGCTGAGACTTGTCCCGATTAAAAAATGATTCGCCTCACGGTGTACTTGAGCTTGGTAGGCTGCGAGGGCAGCCTGTGCCTTGGCTTGGGCCTGAGCGATAGCGGCTGCTTGAGCTGGATCCAACACAGGAGCGTCCGAGGATGCTTGTTCTAAAAAAAATCTCTTGATGTCGTTCCAACCTTCGGAGTAAGAACAGTAAATATTTATATTTCAAAAGTTCAAAAAAAACATTAGTCTCTCATTTTTAACACTGAGACAATTGAATGAAATAAAATCTTCTAGATACTGTTTTGAGAGGTTTCATTTATCTCTGATATCTTCAAAAAAAATTTTCTTCAGAAGGATAAGGGTTTTGGTTATGGCATATTAAAAATCAAGTTTTTTCAAAAGAAAATGTATAAGCTCATAAGAACTTGTTTGATTCTTAATTTTTGAATAAGTACAACGGTTAACTCAATAAAATATTTTTTTAACTTTTATTATTGGGCACTTTCAGCTCACAAACCTAACACATCTGGCTACACAATTCCGATATTAATTTATCGGAGATTTTTTTTTTCGAATTTTCACCTTTATCAATCAACGCCTTCGGTTTTTCCCAAGTATTCTCTTGAGTGATCGAGTTGTAGTAGTATTTGCGACCATCACTGGCAGCGAATTCGCTCCAAGCATCATCGACACCTCCTGAACCACAAGGTATAGAAATTGATAAGAAGAATTTTGAAACCTCCGGGGGCTCGTCCGCCGAAAGCTGGCGGCGCTGCTGCCGGCTGTGACTTTTCTGAAACGGAAAAATAGAGATTACGAGATGCAATGATTTAAAAAATATTTTCCATGTGTTCGCGCAAAGCGAAAAAATGAAACAAAAAGAAATGAAGGAATCAAGCTTGGCAGTATGATTATTTTAAAAATCTTGTTCAAAACTGGACATTACACATTGTTGAAAGCTGAGGCGGCGCATTTCCATTGGGGGGAAGAGACCAATCGAAGCATTTGCTGGCCCAGTGCTTCAATACGATCAAATGTTCTCAGCGACACGTCGAAATCAATATCAAATTAGCTTTCTCTTCTTTTTTTTTCTCTTTTCCACTCGATTATCTGCCTACCGGGATACTTACGCGCGTGATATCCCTGGTGCCGTCGCAAGGTCTCGTCAGAAGTAGGTTGACAACAATATTAAGAAAGGATATGGGTTCAATTATTCATTATCATCAATGGTCAAGAGGAACAGAGAGTATAAAAACAAACAAACCTTCCTGTTCTGAAACAAAGTATTAAGTTAGAAAATAAAGTTTTTTATTGACGGAAACAATAATAAAAAGTAGTTATACCTTCTTTCTCCTTACGTTCCTCCTCGCCGGCGCGCTGAATCAGCTGCGAAAGAGCCGTCTGATCGATGATTTTGGCGTTGGACGGCAGTTCCCAGACAGTGTTGCGGTTGACCGGATGATAGTAATATTTTTTGCCTTCTCCCGACTCTGTTTCTACCCACAATTCTTCTCCATCTTCGCATCCAGCTAGCTGGAAAAACACTTTGAACGGCGCAAAGAAGTTTTTTTTTCGCGATTATTAATTTCGTTTCTGAAATGGTTACTCTACTTTCAGAACATCGGTCAGAGAGTGAGAAAGATAACTGAATTTGGAAGAGTCAAAGATTTTTCGAATCCCGCGGAAATTACTCTGAACACAACATACGCTTCTCGAAGTGTAGCTCTCCTTATTTTTCACAATTAAAGTAGCATTATTAACTGTTTTATTTTAAGTTACTCGATTTTCTTCAGATTCGAAAGCAAAAGCTTTGATTTTTGCCTAAGGAGATCTCAGGTTCAAGACTCTTTAATATTCGTTAAATATACTTTGCTGAAAAGATTAATTTTTAATTAACTTGACCCTTATCAGAAGCCTACTCGTTAGCCTTCGAAGTTTCTGATTTAGAAACTCGAACAAGAATCGAATATTTACTTTTAATGAGATTTTCGCAACTTTTTTTCAGTTGCAAGACATGAATT